GTACAGTACAGGACACGACTTATGCTATTTTTTCAACAGATAAATATATACTCCCTCCGTTCGGGAGTGAATTTTTTATTTAACTTTTACATACGAATTAAGATAAATTAGTATTATATATATAATGTAATAAATTAGTATGATATCTATTTTCCTATTGACATTAAAATATAAATAATACTCCCTTCCGTTTTATAAAAAAAAATATTGTTTTTTATTTTTATTCGTTCAAAAATAAACAATGATATGTGCACCATTAAAATAATTGTATTACATATTTAATATAATTAAATATAATTGAGGCATTTCTGTCATTTTGTAAATCTTGATCTCAATGCTCGGGAATGAGCTACAAGGAAAATGCGGTGGCTGTAAATACCGGCGTTGAGTTATCGGTGGAGCAGCGAGCTCGAATCTCCCAAAGTTTCAGAGCTGCCAAGGCACGCCTCGCTCGAAAACGGCAGAGGTTTGAGTCTGGCGATTATTTAGGGTGCATTTGACAATTAGCTGATAGTTGATTCAATTAGCTGTTAGCTGATTTTATTAGCTGGTTTGACTAGCTGATTCAATTAGCGGTTAGTATTAAAGTGTTTGGTAAAACAATTGTTTGACATTAGTTGTTTATACATAAAATGACTATTAAAAACATTGATATGTTATTTTTTAAAATATTTAATTTTGTTCATTTTTGTTTGAAATTTATAATAATTTTTGTTATTTATTATTGAAATTATAAAAATATTACTTCCTCCGTCCCACATACCGTGTCTGCTACACTGTAGACACGGTATTTTAGGAGGAATGTAATTAGTAGGTAATTAAGAATGTATTAGTGAAAATAATTATTCTATAATATAAATAATTATAAATTAAGATTAAGATAACTAATTAGTTTAATTAAAATTAAAAAAAATAAATTAAAAAGTTTAAAATGAGATTAAAGTGTGTAATTATTTTCCAAAAAATATTTGTTTGTATTTTTAATTTAAGATTATTATTCTTATTTTTTATATTACCCATTAGAAGTGTGTTGACAATATAAAAAATAAATTTTTGTTAAATTGTCAAAATTTGATAAGCTTATAAAATATATAGATTATGTTGACGTGTATATATTGGATATATTTTTTTTAATAATATTAATCATAAAGCATATCAACTATTTTTTGTTAAGAGTGTTTGATTTAATATTTTGTATTATAATTTATATTTTATTTTTTTCAAAAAAAAAAAAACAGGAAAATTGCATAATTTTTAGTGCTTAGGATTTTATTATTAATATTATTTGTTATTGAGAATTGTAAAAATATTATTAAAATATTTAATTGTATTATTTTGTAAGAAAAAATAATGTTTATGCATATTTAGAAAAGAATGAAATTCAATTTGAGGATTGACAGAATATTATTAAAAACTGTGATTAAGAATTTTTAAGAATAAATAAATCCATAACTGATATATAATATTTATTATTATCACTAACTAAATTTAATTTTAAATTTTATTTTTCATATTTACAAATAGTTTTATATGAAATATTATTATATTATTAATGTTTTACTGATGATACAATATTTTTTTTTGGCTAAATTGTACAAAATCTGCATGTGATTTCACGAAATTGTGTCAAATTCCTCGTACTATTTTTTTTTTTAATTTTAGGGGTTTGCAAATTGAGATTCTAAAATTTATTCACAGTAACATCAAATAAGGACCGCTAAAGGGGTTAGAGGCAGAGTTTATGAAACCGCGAACAAGTTAGTATCTCCTACTTTTTCTTTTAATTTACGCTTTATGGGATATACTCCCTATTATGGGATATCCTTCGAGTTCGAAGGATATTCGCGGATCCTCTCGTCTCCCATAAGCTTTACCTACAAAATAAAAACACACTTAAAAAACAAGTTAGTATAAAATTTAGGAACAAAATTAATGCATGCAAGTCTCGGGATATGCAAGAAAATAAAATAAATGGAAAGTGTAAATTAAAAAAAAAAGTAGGAGATACTCCCTATTATGGGATATTCTTCGAGTTCGAAGGATATTCGCGGATCCTCTCGTCTCCTATATGCTTTACCCACAAAAGAAAAACATTTAAAAAACAAGTTAGTATAAAATTTAGAAATAAAATTAATGCATACAAGTCATAAAACAATAAAATGTTACCAACAATTGTGTTATTATTGGAAGTTAGAAAATGTCCATAAATCTTTGCTACTATTTTGTTTTCCTTGAAGTGGATCGAGTAATGAATTACCGAACCTTGAGAAAGAAATATGTCTTTTGCATCTAATAGCCTCTCCACAGTCAATCAAACAGTGCTAGAATATAATGAACAATAAATAATATATCAACATGAACATGAAGAATAATAATACATAATAATTTCTTTAGAAATTAACCAACAACCTCTAATAATTTCTTTTTCTTTTTCATTCCATCATTATTATTTTATTTTTGGACCGTGTATATGTATAAATGAATACCTGAGGATTTAGGGCTTAGGGCATTATCAAGAATTGAAATTCTTGATCGAATAAAAAAGAGTATGAGAGAGTAAGGAAGAAATCAATGGCATTATCTTACCATCATCATCCTCTCCTCTTCCACGATCTTGATTCTTGAACTTGAACAGGGCAGCGCGAGAGATTGAATTGATTATTGAAGATGGCTGCGAGTAGGCAGAGGAGGAGGAGGAGTGGTGGCGCAGCCATGGCCGGAGAGACTTAGGAATGGATAGAAAGTGGGTGTATCCAGAGGGAGAGGGAGAGGGAGGGAGAGGGAGAGAGAGGAATTAGATCTAACTGGGTTTCTTTAGTTGTTTTAAAATAATTTATAGTAAATTAAAATATATATAATTTTTATTTGTTAGTAAAAATATATAAAATATATTTGATTACCTTCACTATAATAAATATAAATATTTTTAAATTTATTACTATATGTTTAAAACATAGTTTGTTAAGTTTAATTTCAGTTAATTGAAATTAAAAAATTAAAATATAAAAAAAATTTAATTTATAAATTTAATTTTGGATCAAATAAAATCAATTTACAATGTAATTTGTAAATAAAACCAATTTACAATGTAAAATGAACTTTTTATTTCTCACAAATATGTTGTTTAAGTAGAAGAGTCAATCAGTTTAGTAAATTTTTTTTTATTATTATAAATGAATTTAATAATATTATTTTAGAAATATATACATTAAACTGTGTAGAGATATACTAAAGATTTTTTAGCTATATTTTTATATTTAAATTGATTTTTTTTAATGAAAATTTCAATGTTTTCTTTTAAAAGCAGCACATAATATATATATATATATATATAATTAGTCAAATTTTATTCTATAAATAATTTTAACAATTAATTATATGATTATTGAGGTGTAACTAATTAACTACAAGTCCAGCATTATTATATTGTCAATGGTTAAGTATTAATTATCTCGAAAGAAATGAATTCATTGATTTTTTCTATAAAATATTACATTAATTTTTTCCATAAAATACTAAATTAAATACTATTTAAAAAAATCTAAAAAGCTTTAACAAATAATATTTAAACGATGCTTTATTCTACGTAAATTTTTTAATATTAATATTATATTTATTTATAATAAAAATATTTTATTAGTATTGTGTATTGTAATTAATTTTAATTTTATTTAAATATATTTAGTATTGATTTATTATGTAATAATCATATATTCAATTATATAAATAATTAAATAGATTGCTACAATATAAAAAATAATTAAAATAATAAATTTGGTAAATAACTAAATTAGATTTTAAATTAAAAAATAAATTATAGAAATATTAATGTATTAAATAATAACATAATTTAAATTAATTATGATTATATAATAAAAAATTATAAAAACTAAAATATAATTATAATATTTTTTTTTCAATCTAATTATTCGTTAATAATTCTTTGTTTATATTAATATTATTTTTATTTTTATAAAAACTTGATAATATATATAAAACATTAATTATAGATATATATACTATTATTATAAAATACATAATTTTACCACAATCAATAACACGACGGAATTTATAAAAGCATTTTTTAATATCATTTAGAGACTAAATTTCAAAAAAAAATTTATTACTCCCTCCTTCCCATAGAATTGATCTCCTTTCTTTTGATACAAAGTGAAATATTGTACTCTAGATAATTAATTAGTTTGATTAATTTATATAATATTTATAATATATTGTTATTTTTATTTTTTTTATTTAATGATATATTAAAATTAAAATAAAAATAATGTTTTATGCTGAATATTTCATATTTTGAAGTTATTCTTTATATAAAAAAAAATACCCTAAATTGCCGAAAACCTATAGATTCATAAAATTGTATCAAATCTCTGTCGAACTTCTTTGTGGTTTCATAAACTCTGCCTCTAACCCCTTCAGCGGTATTTTAGAATCTCATTTTGCAAACCCCTAAAATTACAAAAAAAATAGTATGAGAAATTTGACGCAATTTCGTGAAATCACATGCAGATTTTGTACAAATTAGCCAAAAAAATATTGTATCATCAGTAAAACATTAATAATATAATAATATTTCATATAAAATTATTTGTAAATATGAAAAATAAAATTTAAAATTAAATTTGGTTATTGATAGTAATAAATATTATATATCAGTTATGGATTTATTTATTCTAAAAAATTCTTAATCACAATTTTTAATAATATTCTCTCAATCCTCAAATTGAATTTCATTCTTTCGTAAATATGCATAAACATTAATTTTTTTCTTACAAAATAATACAATTAAATATTTTAATAATATTTTTACAATTCTCAATAACAAATAATATTAATAATAAAATCCTAAGCACTAAAAATTATGCAATTTTCCTGTTTTTTTTTATTTAAAGAAATAAAATATAAATTCTAATAAGTTTTACCTACAAAATAAAAACACTTAAAAACAAGTTAGTATAAAATTTAGGAACAAAATTAATGCATGCAAGTCCCGGGATATGCAAGAAAATAAAATAAATGGAAAGCGTAAATTAAAAGAAAAAATAGGAGATACTCCCTGTTATGGGATATCCTTCGAGTTCGAAGGATATTCGCGGATCCTCTCGTCTCCCATAAGCTTTACCTACAAAATAAAAATATTTAAAATTAATTAGCACGAGAAAGACACACAATTGGAATAAACCAATCAAGATCAATTTTAAATTCATAATCAATTATCAAGAATTCAATCAGAAATTAAAGAAATCCTGGAAAAAAAAGGGAGAATCAAACCGAACCAACCTTGTTTTTTTTTAGAGAAGAGAAGAGACTGATCATTGAAGCCATGGATATAGAACAACCTTCCGATCCTTCACACCCTCAAAATCTGAACGCAAGCAAGCAGGCGATTCGGATTAGGATTCGGAAATGGCCAAAACCTTTCTCCAAGACACCAACCAAGATAGAGATATAGATAAAGATAGAAATACCAACCGAGATAAAGATATAGATAGAGATAGATGATTGTAGTTCTTGCAATTGTATGTATGTATGTACGAACGATATCTTTATATATATATAACAAATGACCGTTGGACAAAACAAAGGAATTTTAATTAATTAATTAATTGTTTTAACAAATGACCGTTGGGAATTTTAATTAATTAATTAATTATTTTTATTTTACAAATTATTAAATATTTTTTATTTTTTATTTTTATATAAAGCTTACCATATTTAAAACAAATTTATCATATTTACAAATTTATTATATTTTCAAATCATTAAATATTTTCAGTTTTTTATTTTTATATTAAAACTTACCATATTTAAAAAAAACTTACCAAATTTACTATATTTTCAAATTATTAAATATTTTAAGTTTTTTATTTTTGTATTAAAACTTACCATAATTACAAATTTATTATATTTTCAAATTCTTAAATATTTTCAGTTTTTTATTTTTATATTAAAATTTACCATATTTACAAATTTACTATATTTTCAAATTCTTAAATATTTTCAGTTTTTTATTTTTATTTTATAACTTACCATATTTTTTAAAAAAAATCTAACCATATTTACAAATTCACTATATTTTCAAATTATTAAATAATTTCAGTTTTAAATTTGTATAACAATGGTTTAACATGATATTTTCTATAAAAATAAAAATAATAATAATAATAATAATAATAATATATAACAATATAGAAATATATCAATGATTGCCGATTAAGTATCAATCAAAGATAATTTGCAAAATCGATGGGTTGTTATGTTGTAGGAAGTGGAGAAAAAATTTTCCTTTAATTTGTACTATATTCGATCATTCTATACATATACTTACAAACTCATAATTCTTATTAATGTTACTCTTGTTTTTTATTAATTTTAATGAATTCAAAATTTTTCATCAAAAGCAATAAATTCATTGATTTGTAGTTCAAATTAATACTTGTACTATTTAGTCTATATAGTTTTTATTTAAAAAAATATATATTATTTTTTGTATAAAATATTATTTAAATAAAAATAAAATCAATTTCAGAATATTTTTTGAACGAAGGAAGCACTTTGTAATGATATGTTGATTTTTATTTACAATTAGTCATTATAAATACTTGCAATATACTCCTTCCGTCCAAGTTAAAAGTATACAATTACTTTTGGCGCGGAGATTAATGAATAATAATATTTTAATTATAGTGGGCAGGTAAAATTAGTAAAATGATATTTTTGCCCTCACAATGTGATGTAAAGTAGGGGTATTTGCGGAAAAAATGGGGTATTTAATGAAATAGTTACTTTGTAATTGAACGTTTCAAAATAGAAATATATATATTTTCTAACTGGACGGAGAGAGTATAAAATATACACTTACTGATAGTAAGATATTAATCAATCATACAAAATATATATTAATATAATATAAATATAACAAATATATTGATAGTACATTACATAGTCCACAAATAATTTCAACATACAATATATTAATACAAACACATAAAAAATATATATATTTAAAAAATCAAACTAAAATACTTTACATTATTTTTAAAATTTTGAATTGTTCCACACATCACTAATAAACAGAGGCGGAACCAGACTGTCATGAGAGAGGGGGGCTAAATTTTCAAATTTCGAAACGATCAAAATCTATTTGTTATCCAATAATTTTATCAATGGAGTTATCATATTTCAAAATATCAACTTACATAACAACTACATATTACAATATGAATTTTGTATTAAATGAAATTGATAAATAGTAAAAAAAATTTATTAAAAAATACTAGCTTTTAAAAATATCATCTCCTATGCATTTGGTTGAGAATTTTTTGAAGATTTTTCTTTTTTTTTTAATTATTATTTCTTACTTTTTTGTTCATATCTATATTTATAGCATCAAAAAATTATTATGATATAAACTTTTTATTATTCAAAATTAAATTTTCACATAAATACTCTATCAATTTTTACCAATTTTTAAATTTATTTATTGTTTTTTATATTATATATTATAAAATAAAAATAAAAAATAAAAAATTATAAGGGGTGGGGTGGAATGGGGTGGGGTGGGGGAGGGGGGACATCCACCTCTGCTAATAAATATATAGACGAAAAATTATTATTTTATATTTTACATCATTTTCAATTGAAAAAATTATTTATATTTTTCAATAAAAAAATATTATTTTTAAAATTTAACTATAATAAAAATAAATATTATTTTATAATACTTTTACAATTTTCAATAACTAATAACAAAAAATTTCAAACAGTCTAAACTCAAAAGAACACAATTGAATATATTAAAAAATTATTTTTACGTATAAACAGTTAATATCAAATAATTATTTTACCAAATATTTTAATACAAACAACTAATTGAATCAGCTAACAACTGTCAACTAATTATCAAACTCGTCTGTCTATCGTTTATTTAAAATCAAATATAGTAAAATTTTATATTAAATAAATATTTTAATACGATATTTCAAGTAAAATATAGGGTCTTAGATATAAATAAATGAATAAAAGTCGCCCAGACTTGGCCCAATAATTTGCGTCTCTCTTTGAATAATTTCAGATGTGATTTCAATCATCAATTCAGCATTATTAATTGTATTTTTAATCATTATATTATACTGAAAATACATATTAATTTACTTTAATTTTAAAATATTTATTATTTAAAAGATATGTGCCTATTAATATCAAAATATAAAATAAATATTTTATTCGTTTCAAAACAAAAGGGACATTTGAGATGAACACAAAAATTTAAAAAATAATAGTATTATATTGACTGACAGTAGATGTAAAAATATTTTTAAGTACCAAAATACCAATACTTTATGTAACAAGGTGGAGATGATTTTGTAAAAATTAGTTATCAAAAATAAAACTGAGATAATTATTTTTGTGTTTTGAGACCAGCGGAGCATATGCTAATGTTTGAAGTTGTTTTGAAAATTTCATCTTGAATAACATTGAATACAACGTTTCAAACAGTATTGTACTCCCACCGTTATGCATCATTTGGCCGGATTGTTACTTTTTCCTTTTATAGTAAAAAAAGTACAAAAGTGTAATAATTTCTACTTAAAAAAGAAACAGGAGTATTTTTTTATAACAACCCTAAAAAAAAAGTGAGTATAAACTTAAATAATGGATGGAATATATTTTTATATATTTATAATATTTAAATTTAAATAAATATTCATTAACAAATACACAATAGGAAGTTGATAGCGTGTGAAGAGACACATGATTGGTGCATAGAAGCTCACATTGGATTGGATGTGTTTTCATAAGCCAGCTGTGTTATTAATTATCATAGTTTTACTATTTTATTTTATTTTTCATAAAAAAATATAGAATTAAATATATATTTTTTATTTATTATATTTTATTAAAATTTACTTTTAGATTTAAAACATCACATTTTATATTTTTAATCTGGTTTAAAACAAATGACTTGTTTCTCTTGTTAATCAATTTATTCAATTTTATTTTTATCTTTCATTAATAAATAAATATTTATATTTATATTTATTTTTTATAAAACTAATTTTTAATTAATTATAAACAAATAAATATATATATTTTTTATTTATTTATCTTACATAAAAATATATTGTTTATAAAACAGCATCTATATTATATATATTTAATTAAGATATAACACTAAGGGTGTGTTTGTTTAGGCAATTTTGGTCTAATTTTACTGTATAGACGCTCAATTCCTCTCAAAATCCTATTAATCTCTACCTAGAGTTTACTTTCTTTCTGCAGTCCACTTCCCTTCTATAGCAGTTTGCCTTTTCAGAAATTGTCAGCGCATCCATCGCAGAATAAAAAAAATAGTGTTGTGTGTGTTTGGGGTTGAAATATTAAAAAAAAAAATGAATTGAAAAATAGTACTTCCTCTGTTCCAAAAATATAGTCTTGTTGTGTTTGGCACGTAGTTGATAAAAAGTAAAGATAAATGATTTTTTTGTCCTTGTGAGTATGGTAAAAAGTAGTGGCAATTGTGTAATAATAATAAAAAAATAGGATAATTTTATGGTGATATGATTATTTATGGAAATGAGACTATTGTTTTGGGACGGACAAAAATGATAAACAAGACTATTGTATTGAGACGGAGGGAGTATTATAATGCGATATAAATCAGAGTTGATACAATGCATTGAATGTAAAATTAATTTTTAGCATAATTTAAAAAAATGTTTACTTTGATAATTTTGAAAAAAAAATTGAATAAATAATACAAATTTGCGAGAACTCACATCATCCAAAAATATAAAAGAAAACAAAAATTTCTAGAAATTAAATTTAAATTTAATTAATAAATATCAAATCAAACATCACTTTTCATTATTATTTATAATTTCTTTAACAATATTAAATATCATTCATTTCAAACTATCACATCAATTTATCATTTTTTCAATAAAATAATAATTTTTTTTTCAACATACTCATTACAAAATTCAAACCCCCAAACAAATACAACTTAAAAATTCATACTTCAAAATCTTCAAAAATTTAAATCTAAAATCTAATCCCCAAACAAACACACCCTAAATGAATCTTATACGAATTTATTGTTACTCTCAAAGTGTCACTTTCTGTATCAGTATATTAATGTTACATATATATATATATATAAGATTATAAGAATGATGACAAATAAATTATTATTTTATTTTTATATTAAGATCCAACTAAATGATAAAAATACTCCTTCTGTCATTATTCAATTATGTGTTTATTTAATCGGACACAAATTTTAAAAAAAATAGATAAAAGTATAAACATTTACCTTTTTAGATAGTAAAAAGTAGAAAAATTGATATTTTGTTACTAGAAAACGAAACGAGAATAAATTTGGATGAAAAAAAAACAAACATTGAAAATAGATTTGAATGAAAGAGAGAGTAATAAAAACTGTTAATTACAAAATAATTTGGTATTATAGTTTTTTCCACATATATTTGTGTATGCATATATAATGACAAAATTGATGTTACAACCCAGCTTAGCAAATGGTCCAATTGGATTGTTATCGACTGTAAACACTAAGTATCATAAATTCCCCAAAATACATGCCAAAAAATGGACCACCAGATTTGGACCCAAATTTAAATAAAATTGAAGATATTTATAGAAATTATTGGAATTGGAATAAGTATTAATTGGAAACATACCATTTTTTTATTTTATTTTTTTAAAATTTTTATCATTGTGACCAAAAATCCATACCCAAATCCATCTATAAAATATTCCAAACTTTTATAGTATAGGCTTTGTTTGAAGGTTTCAAATTCAAATTCAACTATTAATTTATTTCCTTATTTTCCTAAAATATTAAATAAATACTTATTGTTTATATTATATAAAAAATTAATTTTACATTAAAATATCACGATAATAAATATTTAGATTATATTAACATTCTAACTTGAATTTAGTATTCAAAGTTCTAAACTCAACTTTCAAAATCGTTTGTTTGGATTTAATTTGAAATTGAATATTTATTTTGAATTTTGATTTAAAAGTATTTTCATAATTTTTTTAAAAATAAATATATAGAATATTTTTTTATTGGGAACTATATAGGCTAAATAATAATGATTTTGATCTCAAATACACTTATTTCAATACTCAATTCCCAAGTTTAACTCAAATGTTTTTTAAATAATTATTAATCTTTTTTAAAAATAATATCACTAATCATTTTTACTAAATTGATAAAACTAAACATAATTCCAGGAAAGTGAGCCAAATGACATAAAATTAATTTATTGAATTATTTAAAAGATTTATAATTTTTATATGTTGATTGACATACAATGTTCATTGTGTTTAGTTCAAATTTTTGTAAATTTTCATAAAATCTTTTATACAAAGTTTTCAATAATATATATTTTATAAAATATTATACCAAATTATTATTACATAAACAGAAACTTAGGATATACTCCATTCGTCCGATTAGAAAGTATATATATTTATATTTTGGGACGTCCAATTACAAAATAAACATATCATTAAATACATCATTTTTTTTTACATTACACCATTACTTTTATACCAAAAAGTAAAGGCAAAAATATCATTTCACTATTTTTAACTACCCACTATAATTAACATAATAATACTATTATTTCTTAAGCACCTCGTAAAAAATAAATATTTATTTGTGTGTGGACAAAAAAAGTATTTGTTTTTGTGAAATAGTTTAAATATATATATATATATATATATATTAAAAAGAATACACCCATAGGGAACCCTATGTTGATATACTTCTAAAAAAATGAGGAAAATTGGTCCAAGTTGCATGTGAGCCAATTTATTTCTTATGGTCCTAAATATTCAATGACAAATTAAGGGTGCGCTTCGGAGTTGTTTCATTTATTTATTATTTTTATTTAAATATTATATTTTATAAGATAAGATAATATTATTTTATATAAAAATTAGAATGATTATATAGTAAAAAATTAAATAAAATAATTTTTTTTGACAAAAAAAAAAAGAAAAACGCAACCTAATATTATCTAAATGGATTGTTGTGATATATATTTCTTCTTAAGGGAAAAAAGAATGAAATGCTGCAATATGTTAGGGTATGGTCGGTTTTTGTCATATATCAATCTGACACGAAATAATATTTATTTTAATTACAAAAAATATTATATTCAATATTTTGTTTTTATTCTAAATAGTATTGATATTGAATGTGCAAATTTGTACATTGGTAGTAAGAAATATAATTAACAAAATTTAAAAATTGCTATTATATTTTATATTCTTTGTATATATTTGATTTAAAATATAACTCTTTCATTAAAATGAATTAATTAATAAAAAGAACACGCGGCATCACTTTTAAGCGGCAAAGGGGAAGATAATTATTAAACCTTTTTTAAATTATTCATATGAAAACTTAAATGAATGTCCAGCCAGCATTATATACGAAGTAATCATCATCCCATTCAAACAACGAAAATAATAATTAAATGACCAAAATACCCTCCAAAAAGCTCCCGTCTCAACCCACTCCGAGCAAAATCGACAAGCCCAATATCGTATATTCGCATGCAAAAGGTTGACCGGGCCGACAACGAAAGAGATAGCCGTTGAAAAAGGCACGTGACATGAGGAGCCTGAAATTTATTAATTTTCTAAATAAACACACACAATAGGTAATAATTATATTAATGGCCCCCACAAAAGCTTCTTACAAAATCCATCGAAGAAGACAAACTATCCGTTACAGTTCTGTAAGATCAATAAAATGGACTAAAATTAAAATCGTTCCAATTCATCTAAATCCCTAAATCCCCAAATCCAATTAATTCTTTCCTCACCAGCCATGGCCGCCATTCTCGAAAAAATCGAAGCTTCTTACAACCCCAAAATCCAAATTTCAGACAATCGAAGAAGAAGACACGAAGAAGACGACAATGGCAGCGCCGGCGGCTCCGGTCCACTAGAACTTCATTTATGGCCGCTATTTCTACTAATTTTCCAGTCATTGTTTGGCGCGGCAAATTCCGTGCCGTGGGACGGAATAATTGTAACAGAATCAGACTACAATTCCCTCCAGGCGCTGAAGCACGACTTCGTGGATCCAAACGGGGTCTTATCCAGCTGGTCCGGCGGCGCCGCCGGCGCCTGCTCCGGCGATTGGGCCGGCATTAAATGCGCTCAGGGACAGGTCATCGTCATCCAGCTACCCTGGAAAAGCCTATCAGGCAGCCTGTCGGAAAAAATCGGGCAATTCCAGGCCCTGAGGAAGCTCAGCCTCCACGACAACTCCATCGGCGGCGCCGTCCCGGCGGCGCTAGGTTTCCTCCGCAACCTCAGAGGCCTCCAGCTTTTCAACAACAGATTTTCCGGCGCGATCCCGCCGGAGCTCGGCTCGTGCCCTCTTCTTCAGACACTCGAATTGGCTAACAATTCCCTGTCCGGATCGATCCCCGAAAGCCTCGCGAATTCGACGAAACTAATCAGGGTCAGTCTTGGCCACAATTCCCTGTCGGGACCAATCCCTGTCAGGCTTACAACTTCGTCTTCTCTTATGTTTCTTTCCTTGGAAATGAACAACTTTTCCGGCCCGATTCCGGACACCTGGGGCGGCGGCAAATCCAGGCTCCGATCCCTGATTCTTGACCGGAATTTGTTCACCGGCGGAATTCCGGCGACAATCGGAACCCTGTCGGAGCTTCAGACACTCGACCTGTCGGGGAATTGGCTCAACGGCAGCTTGCCGGAAAGCCTGTTTGGTAATAACCTGAAGAACCTGTCAGTTCTTAACCTAAGAGACAACCAATTCGATGGGAAGATTCCAGAAACAATTGGGGAACTAAATTCACTCAAAAACATCGATCTTTCCCACAATAGATTCAATGGTGAGATTCCAGGCCTTCTTACAAAGATTCCGAATCTCCAATCCTTCGATGTTTCTTACAACAACTTATCAGGCCCTGTCCCTATAAGCCTGTCCCAAAAATTCAACCAAACCTCATTCACAGGCAATGTTAACCTCTGTGGCTACACTGCTTCATCCCCCTGCCACCCCTCCCCACCCCACCCCACCCCGCCCCCCTCCCGCCGTCGACAAAAACTCGATACCAAAGACATCATCCTCATCCTGGCAGGGATTCTTGTCATAATTCTCCTTATCACCTGCTGCATTCTTATCTGCTGCTTACTCAAGAAACGACAGGCGACAAATCGGGACAAGCCGCGCGCCGTATCGAGCGGAAAGGTCATCGAGATCGAGGTCGAACCGAGCGGCGGAAAGCTCGTCCATTTCGACGGGCAGATGGACTTCAGCGCCGACGATCTTCTCTGCGCCACGGCCGAGATTTTGGGCAAAAGTACTTATGGAACGGTGTATAGAGCTACCATGGAGAATGGAGTTCAAGTTGCTGTCAAAAGATTGCGCGAAAAAATTACGAAAGGGCAGCGCGATTTCGAGGCGCAAGCCGAGGTTTTGGCCAAGATTAGGCACCCGAACCTTCTCGCCCTTCGGGCTTACTACTTAGGCCCTAAAGGCGAAAAATTGCTCGTCTTCGACTACATGCCGAATGGGAGCCTCGCCACATTCCTCCATGGTAAGAGATTTTCTCGATTCTATTGGTTATTCGTTTTTTAAAAACTGATACATAATCATCTCACTTCAAAGTTCAAAGTTTAAAGTAATGCGCATCATTTATTGATATATTTTAAAGTCAACCAATACGAATGAACATGGTAAGAGATTTTCTTGATTCTATTGATATTCGTTTTTTGCAAATTATTAAATGATCATTTCACCTGAAAGTTAAAATTAAAGTTTAAAGTAATACATATCATTTTTTTTTGATATATTTTAGAGTCAACCAATACGAATGAAGTTAGTCCATCGATCGTGGACTTTGTTCATCAAGAACTTTAAGTTCCGTTGTTTGTTTCGCAAACTTAGCACGTATTTAGGGTGTGTTTCGATATGTTTTAGAATTCTTAATTGATTTTGAAATAATAAAAAGTTAGTATAAAAATTGTGTGATATAATATAAATAGCTATTGAATATGATTTGTTGCATAGTTTCTCACATTTGTGATTCAGGGAGGACGAGCTTATGCTTAATTCACATCGTATATTTTATGCGAATATAGGCCGAGGACAAAACGCGTCGAAGAATTGGCCGACGAGGTTGAAGATCGTGCGGGACATAACAAAAGGCCTAATGTACCTCCACAAGAATGCCAACACAATCCACGCGAACTTAACGTCGAGCAACGTCCTTCTCGACGAGCAAACGGATGCCAAGATCAGCGATTTTGGGCTGGCGCGGCTGATGTCGGAGGTGGCGAATGCAAACGTGTCGGCAACGGCGGGGCTGTTGGGGTACCGCGCGCCGGAGGTTTCCAAGTCGAGGAGGGCCACGGCGAAGAGCGACGTGTACAGCCTCGGCGTGATCATGCTGGAGCTTCTGACGGGGAAGTCGCCGGCGGAGGAGGCTATGGATGGCCAGGATTTGCCGCAGTGGGTGGCGGCGGTGGTGAAGGAGGAGTGGACTAATGAGGTGTTCGATTTCGAGCTGATGAGGGATGCATCGGCGATTGGCGACGAGCTGCTGAATGCTTTGAAGCTGGCCTTGCATTGTGTTGATCCGGTGCCGGCGGCACGGCCGGAGCTGGGGCAGATCCTCCGCCAGCTGGAGGAGATTGCGGCGGCGGGTGGCAGCGGGGGGGTGGAAACGTCGCCGGTGGATTGAAAGGTGACTGATCCAATATTATTCTTTTATTCTTGAATTTGTAGGATGTGAATCCTTCTTGATTCCTCCTATATATATATATATATGTAGTGTAACATTCAACATTTGATTGAACAAATACTGTTTTTTTTTTTTTTTTTTTTCAATATATTCCCTCCGTCTATTAAAATTAGTTTATTTGGCCTCCCACGAAAATTAAGGAAAATAAATATTTTTTTAAATAAGTGATAGATAGTTGGAGGTATTGTTGAAAATTTAATTAAAAAATAAAGTAAATGAAGAGAAAGAATGTAATAAAGTTAGTGGTAACTGTTGTAAATAAGTATTAAATGAAGGGTAATAATTAAATGTTATTTGTTAACTTTGCCAAAATTAGTAATGAGATAAATTTAATGAAAAGACTAAAAAGAAAAGTGAGATAAATTTGGCTGAGGGATGAAATATTACTTTCTTCGGCTCTTAGGCACCTTATTTTGATTACAAAAAACGGAAGCTTTTAAAGTTATTCGCAAAATATTTTAACTTCCATGACTTGATGTTTTGAGGTGGTGTTACAAAAAATTGATGTTGGATACTCTCGGATGGTTAGAAACATCTAATGGTGTGCACGACAGAATCTAAGTTGTTGTTTTTGTTGTCGTAATCTTCCTCACCGTACCCACCATTTTAAAACAAGTGCCTGCCTTCAGCCATTTTTCTTACTATTTCTTGTATCGTATGAGCATCCAAAAACTCAGATTGTCGCCGATGTTGACACTTTCACTTTCATTAATTTTTGATATTTGGTTGTGCAAAAGTTCCCTCGCTTAAATGAACCCTTTCATTCAGTAGGTCCTTATGGTCTTGTGAATGGACAACGAGCAATAGAGGCATGCCCCCTGCCGTTTAATATGATCATCTTGAACGAGGTTTGCCATGGGATAGGGAGCTGTTGATATTCAATGAATGCCCGATGATACATAATATAGTTGTTCTCTCCCGTCATTCGACACGGTGTATGTCCAGATCGAAACTAGGCATGTCTCCGTATGCATCAACATGTGTGTAGGGAGAGCTACTTGACCATTGACTATTGGAGAAGAGGCAGGCCATTCCTGACTTTGGAAGGCCGAGACTAAATAAAAATAAGGGCCCTTAAATATATATATATATAATAATATTTTTTATTTATAAAAAAATATAAATAAAAAAAAGAAATTTCTAGCGTAAATTTAGTTTTAAAATTTAACATAAAATATTCATGTACTTTAAATAATATCAATAATAATATTAATATTAATTTTATCTAAACAATCTTAAAACAAAAATTAGGGCCTCAATAATATATATTTTTTGTCTATAATAAAATATAAATAAATAGTATAGATAGAACTTAATAAATAATACATTTTTTTATATAAAAATAAAAAAATTCAAATATTTAATAAAAAAATAAAAAATCAAATATACAATTTAAAATAATATATTATATTCTTTTTAAATTCTGATTCCGACTTAAGCTTATACAGTTGCAATGACAATGTCATTACTGAGAAAGGCTATGTCAATCATTTTAGATGATTTATTTATTTAACTCAGTATTTTCAGTAATTATTTTATTGACTATAATAGTTTTTTTTTATTTATTTGAATATTATTAGATAATCCTTTTGGCATCCAAATCTGTTCACGATCCTTTTATATTTTACAAAGAAAATGAGAACAAATTTTAATGACGGGATAGTACTATCTAAAATTAAATTTTTTTTGTAAATTAATTTAACAAATAAATATTTTTATAAATTTTATAATTAATTATATTTCCAAAGTTTTAATTAAGAGTATTGAATTTAAATTATATATTTTTATTAAATTTAATTTAAATACATTTACAACTGCTCCCTTTTTTATGAATTAGTTAGAACTATATATATATTGTGTTAACTTGATTATACGGTCCAAAAATACTAAAGTGAACAAATTCCTAATATTAATGCATATTATTGTTAAATATATATATATATATGTTCTTTATAATTTTAAATAAAATTAAAATGTATATAGTGTGTTTCTTTTGATTTAATTTGAAAAATTTTGGTTTAAATTTAATATTAAAATAATATTTAATAAAATATTTTTTAAAAATTTCAAGAGTCAACCTGTTAAATCTGATTAAAAAAATAAAAATATTTTTTTTAAAAATATATAATCCAAATAATAAGATTATGTAGTTTGGTGAAAAAAAAAACACACTATTAGATTTAGTTATTTTTATATTAAGGACATACAAAAATTTTATTAAAATAAAAAATTATATTTTGAATGAAATATTTAGCCCTTTTATTTTTTTTAGAAGTTTGTAGGTATTACATATGGTATTGCATATTTTGTATTATTTGTAATATTAATAACTACAGATCAGATTATATGTTGGTATTAATATAATCCATAATAATAATAATAATAATAATAATAGATAGATAGATAGATAGATCTCTCTGACCATTTCAATATTATTTTTAGTCTATTAAAATATATCCGTAGTGAATGTTATTTCCTTTCACTAGCCTAGAACACACATTACGTACCATTCGTTCATCGAATCGGAGGCGAAGATGAATAGTACTGTAGATGAACATACTGAATTAGTTTCGGATGTCTTAGAGCTGATCCTCGCGAGACTTCCAGTGAAGTCTCTGGTTCGACTCCAAATCGTGGATCCACACCATCACCGATAGGCACATCTCCATCGATCCAAGAATTCATCATGGTTCTCCAATCTAAAAGAGTTTTTCCTATCGTGAGGAAGAATTACGCCTCTTTCATGATGAATTGATCCAAGGCTCGAACAGCTTCTTCAGGAGGGGATGTGATGGACTATTACTCGAAGGTTCGCGTTCTTATGGAAAAGACGACTATGGAAACCGCTGTATCGTTGTCTTCAATCCTTCTGCCGGAACATTTACAGATTTGGGCTTCCCTTCTCCATATTTTCGTGATTTCATATGTGACATTGGTTTTGATCCGTTGTCCAAGGACTATAAAATAGTAGTCACTGATCGGGATATGAAACAATATTCGGTGTTTAACAACAGAATCCGGGATTGGAGCATGTTGAAAAAGGTGGAGATGACTTTGAAAGTTTTCCATGGGATGGCCATATGATCAATTTGGAAAATTGGCCTAAACCCCGAAAAGAAACTGGAAGATTTCTTCGACCCAAGGGACGACAAGTTTTACAAAACTATTTACAATACAGGGCGAGGATCGAGAATTGGATATTTTCAACCTTTCGTATTGATTGTTCGCCCAGTCAATTTTGCATTTTCCTTGTCGACACTAGCAGCGGCAACTGTCGTGTTGCATTGAAGAAAAGAGATGGCGGCGAATTGATGGAGTTTGATGAATTTTCGATTCCGTGGATGACGGGTCCGATCAACTATTATAAGCAGCGGCACGAGGGGTTCTTCGACATGCCGGAAGGCAGTCTTGTGTTCGAAGTTGGCTCTCTATTTTAAGATATACTTGACCGACGACCTTAGAGAGCTTATAGTTGAACGTCCTAAAGCACCTTCCATAGTCTATAACTTGATTGAAAGAAAAAGTAGACTGATTTTAATGCCGGGTTGTTCAATTAGTAAGTGTCCTTCTTGGATGGTATATTTGGAAGATCTCTTCTTCAGCAGCCCAGCTGGTTAGAATAGTTTTATTTTATTTTATTTTTTTTATCTTTCTGTTTTGAATGTTTTTTGGCACAATATTATTTCATTCTTGTATTTTTTTTCTTTTGTTCTGGAGCTTTGATATATTATTTCTTCTACGTCCATGTCGTCTCTAATGATAAGCACTGTTCATATACAATTAGTAAAGGAATAATTCGTTGGTGAACTGAATTCGAATTCCCTCACAAATTGTTATAATCCCTTACTGTGTTAATTTCTTCGCAGTTCTGTGATGATGGAAGAGTGTTTTCATTCATCAACGCGTTTCTTTATCATTCCAGTGAATTTCTTTTGTTAGACACAAAATGAGATGTCTCAGCTAGTGAATGCATTGAAAGAGCATTCAAATCATGACTATGTTCATTGTTTCTTGTCATCAAAGAAAACATGTGTCATTTGATTCTAAACAACTTCCCCATTTTTAAATTACAACTATTAGTAAAAGAAAACATATGTCTGTCATTTTTTAGACTGAATGTTTATCGTGAAATAGCTCATCTAGATAGCAGGACATAGGTAGATGAACAAGGCGTTGAAGATGCTTTTGAGCTTCTTTATGAAATTAATGAACATGTATAGAATATATAATAGACTATTGCACGTGAGAAATGAAATCAAATTACAGTAATATAGAATTATATATGGAAAAATTATTAATTAACATAATAAATTTCTCTAATTTCTGCAATCTCTATCGACAATGGAGTGGGGGCAACAGCCGCAGCAGCAGACGGGGGATTTTCATGGCGGCGGAATGTTTGTGAAGGTGATGACGGACGAGCAAATGGAGGTACTTCGAAAGCAAATAGCGGCTTACGCAGCCATTTCCGAGCAGCTAGTCGAGCTGCACAAATCGATCGCGTTTCAGAACGATATTGCTGGTATGGAATCATCAATCGTCTCTACGATTTCGTTGAATTGATGATAGTGATTTTGTATATTTTCGTTTAATCATCGTTTCTGTGTGCAATCTTCATATGTTGTTTGATTATTTTGGCGTTGAGGTTGAGAACTGAGGCGGAAGCTGTTAGTATTCGGTGTAGAAAGTGCAAAATAATCATTGAGAAGCAACGCTACCATTGATTTTTCTCTTTGTTTTAAATTCCTAGATCTGAGTTTTGGCAATGAAGATGTTGTTGCTGCTTATTTATCACTTTTTTCTTCGCAATCTCTGTGCCTTTAATCCATGATCAAGTGAATGTGTTTCTAAAATTTATAGTTGGAACACCATTGATTTCACTTTCATCTTTCCAACACTGATTAACTGCCTTAATGTAAGCGATACTCTTGACTAAACTAAGGATTTTACTGTGGTTGTTCTTCATTTTGATTAACAGTTCAATTGGATTCATGGATTCCAGAGGTCTAAAAACTCTTGAATTAATGATCCCGATTCTGGAAACTGTAAGCCTTGGTTTACAATAAAAATCATGACTTAACTAAGGATTTTATTGCGGTTGTTCTTCATTTTCATTTACAGTTCAATTGGATTCAGGAATTCCAGAGGCTTAGAAACTCTTGAATTGATTATCCTTTGAATCTTATTTGATTTTTTTACACTGTCGTATTATTTTCTTGATGCAAATGAATACACTAACAAACAAGGCTATAGAACACTAACTTGCAAAACCCTATCCTTCAATATTCTTCAACTTCATGTCAATAGAATTGTCATGCTTATTCAGGATTGAGGTTAGGAAGAATGTATTATGACCCTTCAGTGTCATCTGGTGTGCACAAAATCTCCGGGAGGCAGCGATGGACGCCAACGCCTATGCAGCTGGAAATACTTGAGCAGACCTTCCAGGAAGAGGGCTCCATAGGCAAGACAAGAATCCCTGAACTAACAGAGAAGTTAATGCAGCATGGCCAAATTTCCGAAACAAATGTCTACAATTGGTTTCAGAACAGGCGCGCCAGGTCGAAGAGGAAGCAAAAAGCGATGCCATCAACAGCAAACAACACAGGATCTGAAGTTGAAACAGAGGCAGCAGAGTCTTCCACCGACAAATCAAAGAACATCCTCGACTCCAGAAGTAGTGAGGAGATGGTCTTTCACTCTACAGATCCATTCTGCAGCAGTAAAAGCAAACCACATATGTTATCCCTTGAAGGCACCACATCGATCAATGCCACCGGCCTTGGACAGATTCCCTTCTACGAAATGTGGTCCATTTCTTACCAATTCTCGCATTGCGCTTTTTGTGTGCTTAAACATACATGAATTCATTACATGATCGGTTAATGATTGCAGGAATGGACCGAATGAGATGCTCGATGGCGACCCCACGGGACTATGATTCTTACAACAAACATGTGTTGTTCATCTTCTCATCCTGGTATGTTTGGCTTTTTGACAAGCTTGTTACACAGTTTAGTGTTCTTGATTATGCCAACTTGACCTTAGTAACTCTCATCTATTCATCTAATACTCATCGATGACATAGCTTACAATCAGATGGGGATTTGATCATTTTATAGTTCCTTAATTTTTTGAAACAGTTTTTGGCTGTTTTATTATCCAAAAAGACTAAACTTAGTTTGAATATTTGAATATTTGGTTGCTTACTGTTTCCTTGATTTTTGTTTAAAATCAAAGTTTTCATTTGAATTTTGTTTTAAATAGTATTTTGCCTAAATATTTTATGAGAAGGAATAATATATTTTTATTAGAAATTATGTATGCTAAATAGTGGCAATTTGAGTTTGAGATCAAAACCAAACACACCTTAATCTTTCAGGTCTTAGAATTCATATTGCTGCTTAAGATGAGTATCATTTTCTTGATATTCATTTTATTAGTCTCCTGTAATTTAATAAATGAAAAAATAATTATGGGCTTTGTCTAGTAAATGAAGAATGGGCCACAAGAAAGTATAATTGTGATTAAGGAAAATTGATTTTACCATTAAAAAAAATACACCCTTTTTTTATGTTTTATTTTCAATGTAAGGCTACATTGTGGCGATGCATTTATATTGCTTTAAATAATAATAATAATAATAATAATAATAATAATAATCTGTTTAAGCATTTATTTTAGGGCAAAAATAAATTCCTATGTAATGCATTTACTTTCCTCAATTATATATATAATATCTATATTTTAATTAAAAATATATATTTTTTATTTTCATCATTACATTCAAATGCAGATCCGCCCTGAGCGTGGGCAGCCCACTGCCAGGGCTCCAATTCTTTTGGGCCCTTTGGAGACCATTTCATTAAAGGGATTTATACTTCTATATATCATCTATAAATATATGTATAACGTTAAAATTGATTATATCATATTGTTAAATTTAAATATTAATAAAATAAATATTAAAAAATTATTTGTTATTTTATATTATGAATATAAAATTTAAATAAAGGCGGCTCAAATGTACTCCATATTTTCTATTATATTCTGGTGTTAATGTAAAAATATTTTTAATTCTTAAATAAATTATAAATGTAATTTTATAAATACTCGGAGTTGGGCTAGTGCTAAACTAATTCTTGTATATGGATGAGTTGGGATTGGATGATTTGAAATTGTATAAAAATTAAATTAATTGATTAGACTAATTATATGAGTAATTCTTTGGAATAGTTTAACCGTGTTTGTTCTAAAATAATTTTAGAATGAATAACTGCGTAGCTTGTAGAGTGGAGTGTTACCACCACTATTTAATAATGTCAATTATAAATAACACTAAATGAACTATATGATAAAATTAAATTGTGTCAAGGGTTGCGACCTATACAGATGGACTAAACCAAACGGGCCGCAAGACTTTTTTCATGGGCCGAATAGAATTTTGTCCAAAAACAATATTTTAAGATAACAAATACTTTTAAATTTTATTATTTTGCCAATAATAATAATAGTAATAATAATAAGAAGAAGAAGAAGCAAGGAAGGAGTGGTTCTGGTTAATTAGTTGACAAAAGGTGTTGGTGAGTTTTGTGACCAACATTAACATGTGTAGTAGTAATTGTTTGTTTTTGGCAACATGGTTATGGTGGTGGTGATCAATAAGGTAAGTGAATATGTTGTCAAGTACCCATCCATCCACAGTTTCCACAATAATAACTCTTGTTGTTACCACACTCAAATCATTATTTATATTTGTTCTTCCAACTTTTATTATGACATTTTTTTAAGAGAAAAAAAAAGATTAAACAAAGTTGAATTTTAAATTAAATTTTCGATATAGATCAAAGGCTTAACCGGTTAAGTCAACTGCTGACTTGACCGGATCACGTTATAGGAGTAACCAACGTATATTTATGCATAGGCTGATCCGGTCAAATATATATGTTGGTCACCCGTATAGCATTTATATATAAATATATGTTGGTTACATAGGTTAAATTAACGCTATGCTGTTTGTGACCTTAAATTTTATATATGTATAATAATTCCTCTGCGTCTTAACAATTTATTAATTTTTTCATTTTGGTTCGTCCTATAACAAAGTATCTATTTATTTATTTTTAGTCATTGCTCAATCTAGCTGACATTACAAATACTCTTTCAATTTATAATATATTACACAAATGCTATTATTTTTATATCATATAATATTAATGAAGTTAGTTTAGTTTTTTTTTATCTTTATTTCTATTATATCTCAATATAATATTAATATTCTTAAAAGTTAATGCAAAACACAAATGGATATATAAAAATGAGACGAAAGGAATATTTAATTTTGAAGCGATGTTTTTAGTTTTATTTTTGGAATAATTAAATAGTGTGAAAATGTGAAAGTAAACAATAGGAGATGACCAACAAATTTTGAAACTAAAATTATATGTTAGAATATTCATTTAGTGAGTGTGTAGTTGGTTTTTAGTCAATTTTGATTTGCCATTAGTTCTACTTCTTTAAATTTATTGCATCTTTAAATTAATTAATTAATTAGTAACAAACATACCTACTGGTTTAATTTTGTGCACAAAAATTTCTACAGTCTTGTTGAGCTATCTCTATCTCCATCATTTGTGTCTGTGTTTTCCATTTCTATCTTTCTTTGATTTTTTATTTTTGTCCCATTAATTTCCAGAAATTATACATTATCACATTACTTTTGTTGAAAATTATTTTCGGAAATTCAGACTTTGAAAATTATTACGTAATTTAAGTAAACAAACCCAAACTATATATATATATATGTGGTGTATGTATATAGTAATTTCCCATTGTAATTTGGGGTTTATACAATTTCAGCACGGTCAATCCAATCACTATTATATAAAAAATAGTAATACCTATGTCCGCTAAAAATAGTTTTATCGGAGCTGCACATAGATTAAGAAAAATGAATATTTTATTAAAAAAAAAAGTAAAAATATAATTGATGTTACTTTTGAAAATTTTAATTAAATGTTAATATTTTTTTTTACTTCGGTAAAATTACTATTAAGATAAAATTAACGAAGAAGAAAGTAAAAATAAATTTGACGGAAATATACTTTTATATCGAGAATGTATAGATTAAATAGTAAAAAAATAATTATTTGAAATGTCAAATGTGTATAGTTCAAACAGTTGAACTCTCAACTAGTAATTAAAAATAATAAATGTAATAAAATTAGTTATCTTTAATAAATGTTGAACGGTATAAATAAATTTTAAATATAGTAATTGAATAAATTTAAAGGATTAACCAAAAAAAAAAAAAAAAATTAATTATAAATTATGTTACGTGCAAAGTAACACATCCGCCCGTGATGAATAATTTATTGTTAAGAAGGATCTAAGACTGAGATTGTTAGTTTAAATTGAATTTTGTTTCACCTAATTGAAGAATATTTAATTGCAAAATATTGTGTACGTAACTTGTCGTTATGGACTTGTCTAACTGAATTACTGTTATTTACTTGCCAAATCAAATTCGGACAACGCATAACTAAAAAAATTTAAATCTAATTGTCACCTAATAAATCAAACAAAGACTTTCTACGTCTACATCTACATCGTCTACTTGGTCTTATTTTTTCTTGTTTTAGGAATGTTAAAAATATAGTATATACAAATACGTTCAAACTTCAACTTTTCGACTTTTCTTCCAATGAAATAATTTGATTATTTTATATTAAATCAATAAGTAAAATTTAGTTAACATAGATAATAACATGTTTGTTTTTATTGATTAACTGTACGATTTGAAATTGAAATAACCCTAATACTATAACAAAGGGCTAAAAGGCATAATAAACCGGGAAGTTGATAAACAAAAAAATAAAAATAAAAATAAAATAAACAAAAGGCTTCCTATAATTAAATTGAACACCAATTTTACTGTAAAAGCATAACATTGTCTCTATGATATTTAAATTAATATTGAAGGCATAAATATATATATATATATATTTAAAATTAAAAATTAAATAATGAATAGTAATTATATGATAAAAACACGCACAAATAAAACAAAATCCAAATGGAATCACAAAGGTAAAGGTAAGAAAATAACAATAAGCAATGATGAATCACCACATGCATACTTCCCATTATTATTATTATCCTTTTTTTTTATTGAGAAATAAATAAATAAAATTATGCCGGTGGTATTTGTGTTTTCATTTTCTATATATATATAATAATTAATCACTATTTTACTTTATTATTTTTCTTTTTTTTTTTTTTCATGTCGATCGTTGCAGTTTAGGGTTTAGGGTTTAATTGCTCAATTTTTTTTGTACACCGACTTTACTTATCGAGTGATATATACAAGTTGAGGGTACCGTCTAACTTCTGAGTTTTTATATATATATATATTTTACAAAAATAAAATAAATAGAAATGAAAGTGACTAATACAAAATGATTGTGTCACAAAAAAAGTGGCCTATTAATCAACAAAAACACCATCAATTCTTATAATGATGACCTACTGAATTAATCACACCTAATAAATCACATTCTTCAAAAACCACTCCCCCTTATATTACTGTCTTTCCACATATATATATATATATATATATTAAAAATAGCATACACATCATAATTTTCATTTACAAAGTATAAATAAAATAAAATTTAATTTAAATATTTATTTCTATTAAAATTTATCACTAAAATATCAATACAAACAAGCAAATCCCAAAAATTTGTTCATTTGTGTCTGGATATCTATATAGACATTATTTAGTTCTAAACATGATATATTAAATTAAAATTTGAGTATTCGAAATATTTTTACATAATGAATTGAATAGAAAAGTAACTCCAACAATTAATTAAATAATAATAACAATAAAACATATAAAAAAAAAATGAAAAATAAAAATAGAAGGGTTGAGATTGATGAGACAGTGGGTGCACCAAACTCTCACTCCTACAAGAAGTTTAACTAATCTCAGTTTTCTCACTCTTCTTACTCTCAACACAACCTAATCTGCCTACCTCTAAACAACCTCTTTCTCACTCTATATCTATATGTGTGTATATATATATATATGCATGCAACCTCAAGTGTTCTTGTATCGCTACTACCTCATACTCATAACCAAAGCAAATCAAGAAAGCAAATTCCACTCAATAGAAATGGAGGGCTCTAAAAAGTTGTTCTTGGCTACATTGTTATTCTTGGTTTTGTTTGTATGCACAATGCAAATGGCTCATGCAATGGTTCATCATCACCATTTTGTTGTAAGAATCTCTCTCTCTCTCTCTACTTTTTGCTTATCAAGATTTCACTTTTTTTTTGTGTGTATATATATATATGTATTTGTATGTATAATGGCGGTGGTGTGTGGTTGATCGAAGGTGCAAGCGACGCCGGTGAAGAGGCTGTGCAAAACCCACAATGCGATCACGGTGAACGGGATGTACCCGGGCCCCACATTAGAGGTCGAGAACGGCGATACGCTCGTGATCAATGTCGTCAATAGGGCTCGTTACAATGTCACCATTCATTGGTAATCAAAATTGCCATGAGTCAGTGTCTTCAAAATTCTTTTCGTGCCGTATATAATTATCATTTTTAAAACTTTTAAGTTGCATTTTTTTGTATTTTCATTTTCTTGTTTACATATTTCATTTCGTTATTTTTTCGTACAAAATATCATACCAAACTGCTATTTCATTTCAAATATTTTAAATACAAAAATAAAAAATAAAAAATTCTTCAATTTAAATAAACGATATACACTTAAAATGGTCGCATAATACAAAAAAAAAATTATCTGTGGTTGCCGAGCAAATATTAATTTGTGTCGAGCGTAATGTGTAGGCACGGCGTGCGGCAAATGCGGACCGGATGGGCCGACGGGCCGGAATTCGTGACACAATGCCCCATTAGACCCGGCGGAAGTTATACGTATAGGTTCACGATTCAAGGCCAAGAAGGCACACTTTGGTGGCACGCGCATAGCTCGTGGCTAAGGGCCACAGTCTATGGGGCTTTGGTCATTCGGCCTAGAGCCGGCGAGTCGTACCCCTTCCCTAAGCCCAAGCATGAATTTCCCATTCTTCTCGGTATTACAATAAATAACGATTTTATTTATTTATATTTTTAATTTTTATTATCATACAGCTCATTAACGATATTCATTTTTTAAGGGTATATATATATATATATATTTCCATATAGAATATTAACTCGTTTGTTCTATAACTATTAGGTGAATGGTGGGATGCAAATCCCATCGATGTCGTAAGGCAAGCGACACGGACGGGCGCCGCGCCAAATGTGTCCGACGCTTACACCATCAACGGTCAGCCCGGCGATCTTTATAATTGCTCTAGCCAAGGTTAGTTACTTTCTGACACTATTTACATAATAATATATATATATAATTTTTTAAAAAGTATTGTATTATAATTTTTTATTATTATTATTATTTTTTATAAAATATCATACTTCTTCTATCATATTTCAAAATATTATTTTTACCATATTTTTATGCATCTCAATTCAAAATATTTTTTTTCTGATTTTGAACACTTTCGTTAACTAATAAAATACTATTATTTTTTAATCTATTTGCAAAATCCCAAAAAATTTATTTAAAATGGACAGGAAAACAATCTATTTTTAATTATTTTAAATATATAAACATTAATTTCAATTTTAAGTGTCCTCCAAAATATTCCCCCAAAACAATTCCGTGGCTACATACTTACACAAATTTACTCACATCTTCTTAACTAGGCACGCTAACTTTTCCGGTAACCTCCGGCGCCACAACTCTCCTCCGGGTCATCAACGCTGCCCTCAATCAACAACTCTTCTTCAAAATCGCCAACCACAAGTTCACCGTCGTCGGCGCCGACGCCTCCTACGTAAAACCTTTCTCGACTTCCGTTCTCATGCTCGGCCCCGGCCAAACCACCGACATCCTCGTCGCCGCCGACCAAAACCCCGCCCGTTATTACATCGCGGCGCGCGCGTACGCGAGCGCCCAAAATGCGCCGTTCGACAACACGACCACCACCGCAATCCTCGCCTACGACAATTCCCCGAAAAATTCCCAATCGAAACCCGTCATGCCGACAATGCCCGCCTTCAACGACACCGCCACCGCCACCGCCTTCACCGCCAGCTTCCGGAGCCCGCGGCGGGCCCCGGTCCCGACCAAAATCGACCACAGCTTATTCTTCACTGTCGGGCTCGGGCTCATCAACTGCCCGCCCAAAGCCCGGGCCCGGAACTGCCAGGGCCCGAACGGGACCCGTTTCGCCGCCAGCATGAACAACGTGTCCTTCGTCCTCCCGTCGAATTTTTCGCTCCTTCAGGCCCACCGGCAGGGCATTCCCGGCGTGTTTACCAGCGACTTTCCGGCGAACCCTCCGGTCAGATTCGATTACACCGGAAATGTCAGCCGGGCACTGTGGCAGCCCCGCCGCGGCACGAAGGTTTTCCGGCTGAAGTACGGCGAGACGGTGGAGGTGGTGTTGCAGGGCACCTCCATTTTCACCGCCGAGAACCACCCGATCCACCTCCACGGCTACGATTTTTACATTGTCGCCGAAGGATTCGGAAACTTCAACGCCGCCAGGGATGCCGGAAAATTCAACCTCGTCGATCCGCCGCTTAGGAACACAGCCAGCGTCCCCGTCGGCGGCTGGGCCGTCATCCGATTCGTCGCCGACAATCCAGGTTCCGACCAACAACATATACTTATATATACATATATATATCGTGGTCTTCCTCTAACAATTGGATGAATTTCTTAATAGGCGTGTGGCTGATGCACTGTCATCTGGACGTGCACATCACGTGGGGATTGGCAATGGCGTTCGTAGTTGAAGATGGCGTCGGTGAATTGCAGAAATTGGAGCCTCCTCCTCGTGATCTTCCCGTCTGCTAAACCAATTATATATATATATATATATATATAGAAATTGATTGATTGGATCGATCTCTGCTGAAGAGAGTATTCTTCCTGGACTGCCATGGAAGCTCTCTGTATTCGTTCCCCCAATTTGGGGGCTTTTCTTATTCTTTGCATTTTTATTTTTATTTTTTGCAGTGTTTATTTGTCAGGAAATTGAAAGAACTATCAAGTTATTGTATTTTTTTTTTAGTGAAAAAGATTGAACTTTTTTAATGGCAAACTTCATCTTCTCCGATCATCTGTGAACCAGACAGGTCCCAAATTGCATGATATGAACTTTGATGGGAGTGTTTGAGAATATCTAAAGTGAAGGGTAATTCCGTAATTGGATTTCATTCTTCAAGGGCTTAAATTCAATTATAGTATTAATTTTGGGGATCAATTTGCAAAATAACAAAACCTATAAAGCCTCGCGCAAACCTTCTAACGAGCAAATCTTGCACGCCGCGCCATGGCTGCCGCCGCTGACGACGGGAATCCGAACAAAGCCTTGACTAGCACAAGGTTCTCCGACCTGAATCCGCCGTTATCTGAATCGGTTCTGGAAGTGCTCTCGGGATCTGGCTTCGAGTTCTGCACTCCCGTTCAAGCCGCCACCATACCCTTGCTTTGTAACTACAAGGATGTTGCAGTCGATGCTGCTACTGGCTCTGGGAAAACCCTAGCCTTTGTAATTCCTCTTGTTGAGATCCTCCGCCGCGCCGGGCCTCCTAAACTCCATCAGGTGATAATTGATTATACAGAATACCCAACTTTCTATGTCTAATTCAGCTATACTGCGATTTTTTATGCTTCGGTGTTTGAGCCGTCAAAATTTACTAGAAAAGATTTTTTTATGCTAGTTTAATGGAAAATAATTATAGACGTGATGTTTTAATAGAACCAAAAAAGAAAAAAAGAGATTCTGAATGAACAATGTGAAAAAACGGATTAAAAATTGCAAACAGCCACACATTGGTCTGGATAATCTGGTAGGAGTTGTAGTTTTAACTCCATTAATATGCAGTTTAATGTTCTATAATTTTTCAGGTGATGGGAGTAATAATCTCTCCAACGAGGGAGTTAGCGTCTCAGATATTTAAGGTTGCAGAGCCATTTATTTCAACGTTGTCAAATGTGAGGCCCATGCTGCTGGTTGGGGGAATGGATGTGAAATCTGATATGAGGAAAATAGAGGATGAAGGAGCTAATTTGTTGATTGGGACCCCTGGAAGATTGAATGATATCATGGAGAGGATGGATGCATTGGACTTTCGAAACCTAGAGGTTTTCCTTGTTCTTTGTTCATTCTGGATAATGATACATTTGTTTTCTTCTATGCCCTTACTTCTGTTTTTATTAGACAATAATCTCTCAAAATTGATGTTTCTCCAAAAATCTGCCATGAAACTGTACACGTTGAAGTTTTTATGGATTGCCTGGGGATTTTGATGTTAATTATGAGCGCAAAGTGATCCTACATATATAATTTTTATTTTATTTTTATGTAGTTTTATGGTTACACAATGAATGCTTGACCGACACCTTGGTATGTGTGGAATACTTGAAACAGATTTTGATTTTAGATGAAGCTGATAGACTATTAGATATGGGATTCCAGAAGCAGATAAGTGCAGTAATTTCTCGCTTGCCAAAGCTTCGAAGAACAGGTCTTTTTTCTGCTACTCAAACTGAAGCAGTTGAAGAGCTTTCAAAAGCAGGATTACGGAATCCTGTGAGGGTAGAGGTTCGAGCTGAAGTAAAGCGGCAAAAGGATTCTACATCTTCTGAACAAGTTGCATCTTCAAAAACTCCCTCGGGACTTCATATTGAGGTATATGATGTTTTATTTATTATTCAAGTTAGATGCTTATGGTCTTTTTCATTTATTTACTGCTGATATTGACGAAAGTGATTTTCCTCTCTAACTCTCTCTTGAATTTGCAGTATCTTCAATGTGAAGCAGATAAGAAACCTTCACAGCTCATTGATATCCTCCTAAAAAACAAGGCCAAGAAAACAATTGTGTAAGTTCCATTACTCTCCTTTTGAAGCAGAATCGACAATTTTGTTTGTTAATTTGGTTCCAGAAGATCTCACTGATGCAAAACCTCCTGTTTCTTTTTCCTTTAGCTATTTTATGACATGTGCCTGCGTTGATTACTGGGGAGCCGTACTTCCACGATTTTCTTCATTGAAAGGATTCTCATTAATTCCTCTCCACGGAAAAATGAAACAGGTGAGTTTCGAATATTAAGGTTTCATGTTGTGGGTTTCGTAGGTGAATAGCCTTTGACCATTAACTTTTGCAGTCGGTAAGGGAGAAGGCATTGGAAACTTTTACATCACTTCCAAGCGGCATTCTTTTTTGCACTGATGTAGCTGCACGTGGGCTCGACATTCCTGGTGTCGACTGTATAGTACAGGTAATCACCGCCCTAATTGAACTAAGTTGCTCGCGTTTGATCATATTATTCTTATTCTCTATTATATGAACTTCAGGAACTTAAAAAATACATATATGTCGATGTTAAAATTAGCTAAGGGTTTACCTTTTAGGATGAGATTATAATCCTTAGTATTATTCAATAGATTATATAATTATGAGACTAATTAACACGTATTTACTTTGTTTGATTACATATAGGATAATTTAGTGTATTATTGATTGCTTTATTATTATGACGAATTTTAATCAATTCCGGGCTTTAATTAGTTCAGCTTTGTACATCAACATGGAATCATCGTTGGCATTTGATGATTTATATAAATTTGATCAATAATTACATTGGTTTCATAAAGCTGCATCTAATAATTGAAGTTCATTGCTATGAGCAGTATGATCCCCCACAAGACCCGAATGTGTTTGTACACAGAGTAGGCCGAACTGCTCGGATGGGGCGACAAGGAAGTGCAATTGTCTTTCTATTACCCAAGGTTGCAATTTCTGTTCGAATTCTTTCTTTTGGTTTCATAAATGCAACACATAATTGTCTGTTTTATCGATCATTATCTGTGTCCTAAAACAGGAGGAAGCATATATCGAGTTCCTTAGCATCCGGAGAGTTCCACTCGAAGAGAGAAAATGCTGCGACGAGGATCCCGATATCATTTCTCAGGTAGGCATCCTGCCCAACACCTTGTCTTATCTTATTACACCTATCTGTTGACATTACTCGTGTTGTTCTAGATCCGTACAGCTGCAAAAAAAGACCGCGACATTATGGAAAAAGGAATCAGAGCTTTTGTATCGTACGTCCGCGCTTATAAAGAACATCACTGTTCTTACATATTCAGGTTAACACAATAAACCGCGTTTACACTCCTTCAAATCATCATTTCTTGATCGTGCAGTTTTGAGTATTTATTTTTCCTCTGCAGATGGAAAGAACTCGAGATCGGGAAATTGGGCATGGGATACGGTTTATTACAGCTCCCTTCAATGCCGGAAGTAAAGCACCACTCTCTTTCCACCGAAGGATTTGTTCCCGTCCAAGATATAAACCTTGATGACATCAAATTCAAGTAAAGCCTCGCCTTTTCAATTCTACGCCGATTTAGATTCGATATAAATTATTTCTTAATTCATTGTCTAATATCGGATTTGGATTGCGATTTAGGGATAAATCCAGGGAGAAACAAAGGAAGAAAAACATGGAGGCGAAACAAGCGGCGAAAGAGCAGAAGCAACTGAAGCCCAAACCGGCGGCGAACTCGTCGACCAAAGCCATGCGAAAGAAAACAGCGCGGCAGAGACGCTCAGTTCAGACAACAGAGGATGCGGATGAGCTCGACCGGGAGTACCGCCTCCTGAAGAAGCTGAAAAAGGGGAAGATCAATGAAGACGAGTATGCGAAATTGACGGGCACTGAAGACCTGTGATATTCCACAGCATCTTATTACACTGAAATTCGATTCACAGTCGAAGACGGATGGCTCCTGATGAACCGGAAGCTGCGCCACCGGTTCTATCTTTGTTCGGGTTGTGGACCGGCCGCGGGAGAACTGGGACATCATCGGCGACAGCTGTACTGGTTTGCTTGTTTTTTATCGGAATGTCTCTGTTTTGAGTTTGCTGATGATGTGGGAAATTTGAAAGAGTTGCAACAATAGAGATGTCAATGGGTGAACCAGCCCGGCCCACTCCAGCCCAGCCCGGCCTGTTATTTATATATACATATGATTTAAAGGTTTAATATAGTATTATTATGCAGGTGTTTCCTTTTTATTGATCGATTTATTTATTTTAAACTTTAGAAGTAATGTTTATTTGTTACTCCCTTTATTAACAAAATGACGTGAAAAGACGAGACTAAAGAAGTATTATGAAGAATGCAACGAAGGCATATATTATTTTTTTAAAAAAATAAAAAATTGAAAGAATAAACCGAAAATTTGATATACTAAACAAAAGTCGAGGGAAGGGGATAACCAGAAAATTGAAAGTAATTATCATTTGCAGGACAGATAAAAACATCACATTTGATCGTTTTTAACAGTTCCAAATAAAAAATTAATATTGAATTCGATTGTTTGAGATAAATTGCCAATTCAAATTTTAAAATAGTTTTCTATTTTTAATAATTATATTATAATTATAAAATTGCAGACAGCAAGCCCGTCTAGCTCAGTCGGTAGAGCGCAAGGCTCTTAACCTTGTGGTCGTGGGTTCGAGCCCCACGGTGGGCGATTTCTATTTTTGGAGTTGTTTTTTATTTTATAATTTTTTTTTACTCGGATTCCTTATTGATTTTTAATTAATAATGATTTATTATTATCACCGACTATTAAAAAACCATAGGGGAAGTGGGTATTCGATTCCTTATTGATTGTTTTGCTCTCTCTCTCTCCTTCTCACTCAGTCTCAATTTCTTCAAAACCCTAAATTGGGTCGAATTGGCGGCACGAATAAACCTCGGCGAGCGTCCATGGCAGCCAACGGGCCGAACCTCGAGTGCCGGATGTACGAGGCTAAGTATCCGGAGGTCGACCAGGCGGTGATGATACAGGTGAAGAGCATGGCCGACAGCGGCGCCTACGTTTCGCTCCTCGAGTACAACAACATCGAGGGTATGATTCTCTTTTCCGAGCTGTCGCGCCGTCGTATTCGGAGCATCAACAGCCTTATTAAAGTCGGTCGGATCGAGCCGGTCATGGTCCTCCGTGTCGATAAGGAGAAGGGTTACATTGATCTCAGCAAGAGGCGTGTTTCCGAGGAGGATATTCAGGCTTGTGAGGAGAGATTTAATAAGAGTAAGCTCGTGCATTCCATCATGCGACATGTCGCTGAGACCATGAATATTGATCTTGAGGTAATCTTCTGCCTTTAGGGTTCTTCATTTTAGCTAATTTATTTACCTTTCGGGGGTTTACAGCAAGTTTTCCGTCCATTTTCTGCAAAATTTTTATTATAAGATTGGAATTTTTTCGCAATTGTTAAGCGTGTCTGTGCCTCAAGAAGAGTTAATTTATTGTTTGATGACTGAAGAAATTTTATGGAGCATAGGAAAATATGATCCACATACTGGTTCTTAATGTGATGATGAATATATTCTTTGTTTTAACTTTGTTAGTAAAGTACTTCAATTTCAATTTCAATTTCTATCAGGTAAGGATAGCACAAATAAAAATTGCAGCATATAAAGATAATATTGTACATAATGGTTTCAATGTGTACCTTAAATTGATGGCACATGGAAAAACCTGCTTAATCAGTGCTATACATTCGAAAATACATTTTGAAGTTTGAACAATAATTTCCTTGCCTTGCTTGCCAATGGTATTTTGTCTTTTGAGAGAGCATAGTGACTTAATGTTGTCGTTGAACCATAGTTTTAGCAAGTTGACATGAATGATGGCCATTCGCTATATTTGGAGCTGAGTCAAGTAAACTGAAAAACTATAATCTATGGGAATTTTAGGGTTTAAGTGGCAAAGTCACTTTTAAGTTAGCACAGATGTAGGCATTCAAAGATTTGGGTTTGATTGTCTTTACGCCACCTATAAAAGAGAATCGCCAAGGTTGCTAGGCCTCTCTGTATTATCCTCCACATCATTCTCTTAGGCTTAGTTACCTTGTGGTGTTACCATTTTTTTGTGCTTATTACTTTTACCCTGTTAGTCATCAAGAAAAACTCTAGGGAAGAGAATGGCTTAGAGGCAAATTAAAAAATTCGTTGCAGGCAGGCAGGTGTTATTGTTTTGGTTCTGTTTAGGTGTTATTGTAGGTATTTATTGAAAGAGTCATGCAAAGATCTTCAGAGTCCTGATATGTATGGTCTGGATATCATGGAAGTTTATTTTATACTATGATTTTTATGTGCTACTGGGCATAGTTATTGATATTTTGTTGATGGTATGTAACCAAGAACTTACTGTAGCCTGGAGAAGTTTTAACAGAAAATAAATCTGTGGCAGGATCTCTACGTCCACGTTGGCTGGCCTCTTTACAGGAAATACGGGCATGCATTTGAGGTGTGACATTATGTACTGCATCAATGTGTAATTTCTAAATTTTCTAGTGACGAGAGTATATGTTTTTGTACTTACATTCATGTACATGCAGGCTTTCAAATTAATTGTTAATGATCCAGACACATTGCTTGATTCCTTAACTCGTGAAGTCAAAGAAATTGGCCCCGATGGACAGGAGGTTACCTTTATTCACCCACCTTTGAACAAAGTGCTTATTTATCTTCATAATGTTGTTTTAACCATTTATTAACTTTTTGTTCTTTAGATAACGAAGGTGGTTCCTGCTTTAACTGAGGAAGTAAAGGATGCGCTCGTTAAAAATATTAGGAGGAGAATGACACCACAGCCTTTGAAGATACGAGCTGATATTGAGATGAAATGTTTTCAGTTTGATGGTGTTCTGCACATTAAGGTTGTAATCTTGCAACTATTCATCTAACTACATTCTTCAGACATTTTTATGTCTATAGGAAACAGGGTTATGAATCTGTGTTTTAACTCCTCAGGAAGCAATGCGCAAAGCTGAAGCTGCCGGAAACAATGACTGCCCTGTTAAGATTAAACTTGTTGCACCTCCAGCGTATGTTCTCAACACACAGACCTTGGACAAGGTAATTGTTATATTCATTTTTTTCCTTTTAATTAAACGTCTTGCGGCTGCTTTCTATCCAAAAGTTGTATTTATACCTGTTATATCTATATATGCAGTTTTATGCTTTGGATGTGTAACTGTATGAATAGAGTTATTTGATAGAATAAAGTGCTCAATTTGTATGCCTGCGGTAATTCTATATGTAAGAAAAATGCAAGTTAGAATAATGTTATAGCATACATGTAATGATTTGAATGCCATCCTATGTGCGATAACTAATCACAATACCCGTCAAAGTGCGAATTTAGTGTCTGATGGAACATTTCGATATGAACAGCTTATGTGTAATGATCCTGTTTCTTCTAGCCTAAACCCCACACCATGAGAAAAGCTATAATTTGAACGAATAATTTCTTATCATTTCATCCCAGTGTAATATGATGAAAACACCCTACGATTTGTTAGTGCAGTTTTAAGAAATAATACCGAGAAAATGCTTGCCCTGGTGCTCTATAATCTTAAAAAATGCGAGACGAGTCTATTAATTTATATATAAGTTCTATAATGTCCAAGATAAAAGACAACATAGAGTTGTGAAAAGATATTTCATTTGAAAAGAATTTATAATTTTTGGCTGGAAATATTAATTCGGTATATTGCAGGAGCAAGGCATTGCGATTCTCAACAAAGCTATCCAAGCTTGCATGGAAGAAATCGAACATCACAAGGGAAAGCTTACTGTTAAGGAGGCACCCAGAGCGGTGAGCTTGAATATATATATATATATCTTACATATGCTCCAAATCAGCTTCTAAATTTAACATTGCCACCCATCCCTGAATAATGTAATTCAGGTGAGCGAACGGGAAGACAAACTGCTTGCAGAACACATGGCTAAGTTGGGACGTGAAAATGAAGAAGTTAGTGGTGACGAGGACAGCGAGGAGGAAGAAGACACAGGTATGGGAGAAATCGACGTGGAAAACACCGGAACGGGAATAACAGAGTGAAAGAAGATGATGCTACATTGTTTTTCTTTATTTCGGACAAATCTCGATCAGCATCAATCAAAATTTTTGTAAGTGTCCTCTCTCTTTCTCTCACAAAATGGTTTCTCTGTGCAATTGGTACCATAATGTGTTTTTGTTTTTTCTTAAATTGTGTTGGTAAACAGCGTTTGTTTGAATGCCATAGAACAGAACACAACAGAACAGAACAAACCCTCCAATTTCATTTCTTCTGCAACAGCCATTATTTAACTGATTCTGTTTATTTGATTAATGCGCCATGTTTTGCTGTTGGTTCAATTAATTAATTAATTAATTTATTAATGTGCCACTTAATTATTATCATTGCTACTATTATTATGGCTGAAAAATAATTGCAGGAGCAGCATGATATGAACAAAGCTAATTTATAGAGTGGGTGATGCTGTTGGATATTAATTAATTAATCATTATTTTTAATCCTATATACGATTAAAAAAATAAAAATAAAAATTATGAGATTTTGAATGTATGATTGAAATATCTTAAACTATAAGTAGTGCTGAAACATTCAAATCAAATAGTAATATAAATAAATAATGGTATCGTATAGAAGAATTCACTTCCGAGTAAACGGGTGCTATTATTATTCCTAGTTATGATTATAAACATATATATTTGTAGGGATATTGAAAAATGAAAGGAGACAGACAGAATGAGTGGAAGCAATGATCATCCACATACTCAAAAATCATATGAAGGAAGCAATCAAGTGCGAAATTCTTTGCCCATTTAAATACCCGTCACTTTCCCCACCAGTCCTTAAGGAGCGTGCTGCTTTGGTCCTCTCTCTCTCTCTTTATATATATAATAATAATAATAATTAGTCCGGTAATCTAGCATGACTTGCCTATCGAGCTTAGTTTGCAAGGTATAAGATTCGATCGGGGTTTATTCAGTGTACACATTCGAGTAGCGGTTGCGAATTCTCACATCATAAATAATAATAATAATGAGTCCCGTAAAGATGACCGGTGGTTTGGGGATTGGTTGTGATCGTGAAATTATGAGTTTAAACCTCGACGCTTTCTAGTTTTGTCTGTGCAGCATATGGTTCACTTAATATGACTTGTCTTGTTGAGTTTAATTTGCAGACTATTAGGCTCGGCATAGCGGCTACGGATTTTCACCGTACTAAAATAAATAAATAAAAATTAGAAGATATTGCCACTTGTTGTGTTGTTGTTGCCTATTCTTGAAGAAATTTATAAGAGAGAGGGAGAGAGAAATTCCAACGTAAGCAATGCCAAACTCAAGCCTGTAACTGTAACTCCTCTCTCTCTCTCTCTATATATATATATATATCATTTATTTTCTTTTGTATGTAGTGATTAGAGGTGATGAGTACCCTAACCACCCTCCCTCCTTCAACTCTCTTTACTTTTGTTTCTTTCTCCAGTTCTATTATTCATTTGTTTTTTTATGGCCTACAAATTTCTCAATACATACATACAATACAATACAATACTTATATATTAATTAATTAATTATAACACACACAAAGAAGTATCAATCAGCATCACCTCTCACTTAACACCACTGCATTATTATTATTATTATTATTATAAATATTAATATTAACAAAATTCAACCCTACAGATAGATATGGATGTTGTTAAGTTCAGGCTCAACAACTAAATTTTATTCCTCTATTTCCATTATTTGAAAAGTCACCTTCCTTCACCAAAACTTCTCAACCATTTCTGCAACTCATCTTCATTGCCTCTCTCACTCATCCTCTACCATCTATACATACACACACATATATATATACACAATCTGTCGAAAAAGGTGTCGTTTCGCTTGCTCGAAGATGGCTCGTCGTTGTCGCGAACGTCATGAATTCGATCGCCCTTCTCATTCATCATCATCATCATCATCATCTTCTTCTTCTTCTAGCTTGATCATCAGTTTCTGAGTCAACTCGAGCTCGGATCGATCAGTTTCCGATCATATGGATAGTCGATGGAGGAGATACAGAGGTCTCTGCCCCTTCACAAGATTGATACTATCTTCATCTCTTTATATCCTCAACTTGACCCTCTGCTCCTCTCTCAACAATGAAGGTATATATCGTCGCTAATTTTCTTATTAGCTAGCTAGTTAGTTAGTAGAATAAAACAGTGGATCGGCGAAAACCGAGCGATATATACAAGAAGTTACATAATTTTGTCGAATTCCAGGTGCAGTGCTGTTGAGATTTAAGGAGAAACTCGGGAGTGATCCATTCGGGGCGCTGTCGAATTGGGAAGACGTCGCTGATACGGATGATCCGTGCTTTTGGTTCGGCGTGGAGTGCTTCGATGGCCATGTTGTGTCCTTGTAAGAACCATAAATTGAAATAATGTTTTGACTGTGCTATATGAACATATTTTGTATGCTGAGATCGATAGTAGTTTGCGCCATAATAGACAATTATCATGTGTTAGCATTTGAAATAGTAACTATTATGTTATATTAACATAAATTGTGTATTGTCTGTCATTATATCGTATACCTTCATCAATGTAGTAAATTATACTCCTCTGTGAAAGTGTGTAAAAAGTTTCGACATTTTTGCCATTTGACTTTTTTATAAAGTAATTGTATGAATAATGATATATTTGTAATTTAAGGAGAAATTAAAAGGTATCTTATAATTACTTTTTATAAAATGGGAAATTAATATTTTGGATAGAGACTAACGAAGAAAATGGTAAAAAAGTAGTTTGAGTTAAGACTAAACGAACTAAAATTCAAGATAGTAATTTCCGCTATATATGCATGTATGTATTTAGTGACTTCCTCATGTGTCTTTTTTGATGATGTAGGAACCTAAGGGATTTGTGTTTGAGAGGAACACTGCCATCTGAAATAGGGGAATTGATTTACATCAAGTCCTTGTAAATGCACTCACTCTATCTTTTTCCATTTCAATCTTCGACCTTTTGACAAATCGAAACTGAAAAACCCGGCTCTTCGTCGTGCAGAATTCTACGCAACAATTCCTTTTCCGGAATCATTCCCGATGAGATTCTCGATTTGGAAGAGCTGCAGCTGCTCGACATCGGATACAATGACTTCAATGGCGAGCTCCACTACGGCTCAACAACACCCGCCGTCATGTAAGAAATCGAAAACCTATTACATACAATCATACTATAGTCAAATTTAAAATCTTTTTTAATCGATATCGAATGCAGCTTGTTCGACAACAACGAGCTTCTGGAGAACAGATATCCCAAACATTTTCGACTCGACCATCTGTTTGAAGTTCCCGCCGGCACCAAGCCAACCCCGTCGTGTAATCAGCTCTCGGTCGCCGGGTACTTAAAATCTTCACCTATAATTAATCATACAAAGTAAACATAATATATATATATATTCATCCTGTCGTCGTGACTCCTTCGCTGCAGGAGTTCAGGCAACGTGATAAGACGAACGTCTTTGCAAGAATCTCCTTCCAATAGACGTGTCCGGAAATTCATCATACCGTGGGATCCTCCGGCACCAGATTTACCTCCTAATTCTGCGCCTTCGCCTACAGATCAGAATCCGTTTCCGGGATCACCAATTCCTTCGGCAGCTCCCGACACACCTTTTGCTCCATCCCCTCTAATGGATAAACCTTTGAGGAATAATAATCGTCATTATCATCGACACCAGCTTCTGATAATATATTCGGTTGCCGGAAGTTCTCTATTGCTCCTTCTAGTAGTCGGGATCGTATTCTGGCAATGCAGCAACGTTGCTTCCGTCCGGCCATGGGCGACGGGACTCAGCGGACAGCTCCAAAGAGCTTTTGTAACTGGTAAACAAATCCTTATGATATCATATTAAATGACTATCTTACCTAAAAGTTAAACTAACAGCGAAATGTATCATTAACTATATATTATGGTCTTCCCGCTGACCTTCCACGTTTTGATACCATGTTGAACGATCATTTCGCCTAAAAGTTAAAACTGATAGGAAAATACATAATTGATTATATATTTTAATCTTCCGACAGGCGAACATAAAACCTCCTTTGTTTCTGATACCATATTAAATGATAATCTTACCTAAAAACTTATCTGATAGAGAAATACATCGTTAATTATACATTATAATTGTATTGCTATCACTTTGCGCCTAATTTTTGTGTTACAGGCGTCCCGAAGCTCAGAAGATCCGAGCTCGAGGCTGCTTGCGAAGATTTCAGCAATGTGATCGGTTCTTCTCCGTTGTTGTACAAAGGAACATTGTCGAATGGAACAGAAATTGCGGTTGCTTCCATTGCTGTGACATCGTCCAAGGACTGGTCGAATAGCATGGAATCCCAATTCAGGAACAAGGTACACTTTCTACAAGCAGATAATATATTAAATGACTATCTCATCTAAAAACTTAATTGCATCATTAGTTACATGTTATATAGTCTTCCAATAGTGTATCCTTAGATAAAAATCGAACTTTTTGAAATTAATCCAACACACCGTTCTTTTTTTTTTTTTTTCAGATTGAGACGTTGTCAAGAGTGAACCACAAGAACTTTGCTAGCCTGCTTGGGTATTGCATCGAAGACGTGCCTTTCACACGGATGATGGTTTTTGAATATGCCCCCAACGGTACTCTCTTCGAGCATCTACATAGTAAGTAGCAAGCCTTCTTTCCTTTTCTTCGGCATTTCGTTCATCCATATTCGCCTCATAGTTGTCAATAGCGTGCTAATAGCTCTGCAATGCTGCTTTTAGGGAATAACATTGCAGTGGCTTTTAGCTTTGCGGAAAACCTTTGAATTTGATTAACTTTGATTGTTTATTTATCTGTTTTTGCTTATATAACTAGTATTAACTACAATACGTTTTCTACAATTTTATTTGTATGACTTGATAAGGCTGCAGATACTGTGTTGATCCGAAAAAAAGTATAATATGTTATAAGAAAGCATATGTTGAGTTATAATATCATATATGATAGTATTATAAATACGTCGAAATATGTATAAATATGTTAGTCACTTTATAGTATATGCTGATCCGGTCAAATCAGCACCATACAGACTTGACCAAATAATTTATAATTTTTTTTCTTATAGTATATTCTTAAATTTTTAAACAGTAGTCGTCCTATTATCTTTGCTCTCACTCTATATTATTTTTCGCTATTTAAGATTGACAACTATGCTTCGTCTAATCTATACAGTAAGAGAAGCCGAGCATTTAGACTGGGCAACGCGACTACGAGTCGCAATGGGGATCGCATATTGCCTCGAGCATATGCACCAACTCGTCCCGCCAATCGCCCATCCAAATCTCGACTCTTCGGCCGTCTACCTAACTGAAGATTACGCTGCAAAAGTCTCCGACTTCCCCTCCGCCAGCTCGCCATTGTCATCGAGAACAGAACCAAATCCATCAGCCAATGTATACAGCTTCGGTCTCGTCCTGCTCGAGATGATGACGGGAAGGCTATTATATTCGGCAGGGAGGAGATCGCTCGAGGATTGGGCATCGGATTATCTTACCGGAACACAGTCATTGAGAGAATTGGTCGATCCGACTTTGGAGACTTTCGACGAAAATCAATTTCAAGAGATTGGTGGCGTGATAAGATCGTGCGCCGGCAAAGATCCTCGGCGGCGACCGGATATGAGAGAAGTTTGTATGAGGTTGAAGGCGATAACGGGGATGGATGCCGACGCGACGGCACCGCGAGTGTCGCCGCTTTGGTGGGCTGAAGTTGAGATCATGTCAGCTGATGCTAGTTAGAGCTGTAACTTCTACATCTCTTTTTCAATGTGTTGTATATAGGGATGGTTTGGTACAGTATATCAGAAATACTGGATTATGTCTTATGTTGTAGCTTAATTATTTAGGTATATTAATAAAACATACGGATATCATACAAAAAATTTGGTATATAGAGAATTCGGTATACCAAAAATTATGAAAGACATATATATACACTAGATTGTACCAATAATTTGGTATACGGAGTTTCTTGTACAATATCCTATATATATATTTACTTTAATACCAAAATAGTAAAATTCAAGGTAATTTTAGAAAAAAATTATAATAACTTTTGTATCAATAGCTATTTATCAAATATCAAAATATCAAACAATAAACAATATTTTTTATGAGCATGAATCAGCTATTGATCAGTACATATGCTATAGGAGTGGTGAGTATATATATATATATATATATTAGCATATTTATAACATATGCTATCTTAACAGTCTTACAAGCTATTAGCACTGTGTTGACTTAGTCGAATCAACATATAATTTACATCCGTTTTTTTATATATACCAAAATATCAAACTATATACTATTACCATACTGAAAAAATTTGATGCATACGATTGTACTAAAATTTTGGTATTTATCAGAGATATTAAAAATTATAATTACCAATTTATATAACAAATACTTTATCCGTCTCAATACAATAGTTATGTTTACGATCTTTATCAGTCCTAAAACAATAGTCTCATTTTCATAAATAATCATATCACTATAAAAACTATCTTTATTTTTTCATTATTATTACACAATTATCACTACTTTTTACACTAATACACCTGCAAGGGCAAAAACGTCTTGCCCGTACTTTTTACCCATTAAATTCTGTGTCAAACACAACTCAGACTATGATTTTGGGAAAGAGGGAGTATGAAATTCGTTAAAGTACAAATGTGCTGAAACTAAGCATTGAAAGGTTATTCAGCATAGAGCATCCAATTTTTAAGTATCTTTCTCCTCCAATACTAAAAACTAAAACTCAATCATTCAAATCAATAACAAACTTTCAATATTGACGAAGAAGAGTATTCATCATTTAAAAAAAAAAAAAAAAAAACTAGTGTACAAAGAGAAACTAGCATCTTTTTTTTTTTTTAGCAAGAAATTTTCTTATTGTTCATGCTAAGTCAGCATAGTTTCGTGTCAACTGAATAAATTTCATAAAATACTACCGGCATGGTTATGCACGAAAAATTTAACAGCAATGGGAAAACAGAAGGTTAATCTTTTCGCAATGCCCGAATGTCACAAAATTAAGCAATGTTTTCTTTTTCATCCTGACCTGGACGTCGATGGTGCCATGCCGGGTGGGGTGTCGAAGAAAATTGCCCACATTTGATCGTATTATCAGCCTTCAAGTCAAGCGTGCAAATCTTTGTTCAATTCCCAAGTTGAGCCTTTAGGGACTGTTATCTCATTCAGATTTACCGAATCCTTTTCAGCCGGGAGAAGTGGATCAGCCTCGATGTCTTTCGGCTGGAGGTACAAGATAATGAAAAGGTTAGGATCTTCTTACATTTCCTATATATAAAAGTATAAATAGAAATCACATAGTATATGTTAATTTAATATAAATGCAACATATGAACTGTCAGCGTATAATTCATACGATATGTAGGATATATAATAACAGTGCACATTTAAAATATAAATTATGAAATAATATAATCTGAAAATATATGAAGTATAAATAGACATCACATATTATACGTTAGCATAATGCAAATAAAATAAATGAATACACGACAATAATGCATATAATACATACTATAATTGAACTCTTCTAATATATAAACTACCAGTATATTGTAAAAATTATAATCGAACTCACCATATAAGATATCTTAAAATAACATACATTTAAAATGCAAACTGACGGCACATTGTAAGAATTAACACAACACACGGTATATTTATTAAGTATACGATAACATACGTATTGTAATTTAAATCAGCACTCTAACCAAGCAATTTATTACCTGACTGAGGGCCGGGGGGTTATCAGCCTTTGTCTGACTCTCGATCGTGCAAAAATAAGAGTATAGAATCATTCCAACTAACGCAACCATTATCCCAAAAATATTTCGCCAATTGAAAGGATCGCGAAGTAAGATGTAACCGAATGCTAATACTAAGCAAGTTTTAAGGTGTCCAAGAACTTGATAGGTGACGGGCGATGTCTTTCCTATCACAAGGAACGTGCTGAAATTAACTGAGATGGAGATGAGACACGACAAAGTGATGAAAATCTGCATCGACAATAAAAAAAAAAATTCAACCTACACAAAGTTTTGTAAGAAATCACTAGGACAAGGTGTAATATCACAAAGTTTATATATATATATATATACCACGACTTCTTGTGTATAGCTGAAGGCAAATACGTCTTGGTTCGTCAAAAGCTTATCCAGAAACGGGCCGGAGATTAGCAAAGTTATCGACTGATACAGACAAGATTGGTATAGAAGTTGGGTTGAAGACACCTTATGCTTCTTCTGAATGGTATTTGTCATCTAAAGGGACCAAGTTAAGCTTTAAACATAATAAAATCAACCCCAAAAAACAAATGGAACTTGTGTTCAAATGTAACATACACTTTGAAACTTCAAATTTAGAATGCTAGAAGGTTGCGTAAAAATCATTATGAAAGATTAAATGAATGAAACAACCGAAAATTTTACGGGGTTTGCGAGCATTTAACATCAAACAAAGGTGTGAATAAGCCCATTTTTTAGCCTTTAGAAATATGACAAAATTGCTTATAATTCATCAGTTCTTTGGAAAATTGATATCATATTCCCCTGAAATTTAAAAGTTATACAAAACTCTCTTGTGTTTTAAAATATATTGCACAAAATTTTTTAAAAATTATATTAGAGTCCCTTTCATTTTAAAATATTGCATGGAATTTTCTAAAAAATATATTTTGTGCGAATTTCGAAAACACAACATCAGAGTCCCATCAAAGTTTTAAATCATAAAGGAGAATAATACAAACTTCCCCAAGGGGATCATAAGTAATTTTGCCAAGAAAGATTGAAAAACAATTATGATGGTCATGGAAACTTCCCTCAAAACATTCAATGGTAGACTGTAAAATCACACAAAGAATTCAAGATTTTTAAGAATGTAACAAAGAAAACCAGACATAAATGGAATGGAGAGGATACAATTTGAGCAACACAAGTGGTAAGCACTGCAAGTAGAGAGAGAAAAGAGCCCAAGATGTTGAGCTGCAGATCAGTAACCGTTGCTATTCCAACTCCAATTAGCAGAATCGTCAAAGATATCTTAATGTTCCTACTGCACTACCATATTAATTGATCATCAGGGTTAATTATACTTTATAATATATAAATTAATTATTCAGCCCACCTGAAAGTTTTGCCTAAGAAAAGGGTCTCCAAGAGTATGGTGCATGGAATAATGGCTAACTTTGTCATCTGCCAAGGTAATAAAATAAATCAGTTAGGAAGAACATGCATACATATATCAAATCAAGTAAGAAGGGATAATAATTCTTGATTAAATACCTGATAGAAACCGACAGAATTGAAACCTAAGCTGAGGTTTAGCAATCCAATAGAAATCCCATTCAAGATTCCGAATCCAATATTGGTCTGAAAATCGATGGCCTTGTGCTCGAAAAAATTCATCCTCAGTGCCACATGAAGAGAACAATAAGTCACCAGCAAATGCCAGCTCGTCAGAGTCGTAGCTGTAGTAATTATTATTAATCAAAACCAAAATAGTATTATATGTTCTTAAAATGATCAGGGTTTTGTTAAAATTGAAATCGAAATTGATGTTAAAAGTAGTCAGTCAGTCAGTCACTCACCGAAAATGAAATGCAGAGAGGTCATGAGAGCTTTATTGCAGATGACAATGGAAACCGACGAGACGACAGACAACGTAAGGGCACCTACGGTCCCAAGGTTAAACCCTTTGTCCTGATCATTCATTGTTATTGTTTTTTTCACTTTCTTCTTCTACACTTTCTATCAAATCAGCGATCCAAAGTATGAGATCTGCATTTTTGTTCTTTCACTCGATCGGGCAAATCTTGATCTTGATCTTGATCATCGATCGATCATCATCACAAAAAAGGTTGTATTACCTGAAGGGTTTCTCTGTAGGTGCAATAAACGAGATTTGTCTGAATGTCATACAACACAACAAATCTTCCAATTTCATTTCATCTGCAACAACCATTATTTGACTCATTCTGTGAGATTTATTGATTCATGTGCCATTTTTTTGCTCTTGGTTTGATTAATTAATTAAATTAATTAATGTGCCACTTATTAATTATTATTATTATTATTATTATTATTATTATTATTATTATTATTATTATTTCTAACTCAAGTAGGATCAACATACACGATAGCTATGGCTAAGATATATTTATAATATAAAATATATAATTTAACATTGATCAATCAACATATACATAGCTCTCTTCCTCATCTCTCCCTTTCATCCTTTAGACTTTTACCATCTATAAGATATACATACATATACATAATTTGTCAAAAAAGGTGTCGTGTCGTGTCACTTGCTCGAAGATGGCTCGTCGTTGTCGCGGATGTCATGAATTGGATTGCCCTTCTCATTCATCATCATCATCTTCTTCTTCTAGCTGAGTTGAGTCAAGTGGAGCTCGGATCGATCAGTTTGGGATTATATGGATAGTTTATGGAAGAGGAGATACAGAGGTCTCAGCCCCCTTCTAAAAATCAGTGTTGGGGGACTCGCGTTCATAGATAAATAAATAAATAATATATACCCCTAATAATTTAAATTTTTAGATAAGATTACATTATCTATGGTATTACTCTCAAAAAAATCATAATGGTGTATTTGGTTTTTGTTTGCATTTTGTATGTGAAAAATAGTATTTTTATGAAAAGCTATCTAAAAATTTTGCCTTAAAGTGTTTGTTGGTGGGTTTTAGTCTTTGAGTTTGGATTTTTGAATAGTAAAAAATTGAATTTAAATAGTTGTTTGAGGTGATGTTTTAAATGTAAAAATAAATTTGTAATATAATATAAAATAATAATTATTATTTGATGTGATATTTTTTAAGAAAACAAAAAGTAAAAACCGTAAAACAACAAAACAACACAACCTAAAAAAAAAATTAAAAAAAAAAACCTAAATTTAAAATTTAAAATAGGTGTGATTGATAGTAAGGTTTTACTATTCCAATTTTTTAAAAATTATTAAATTAAAATACTTAATTTTTTATTTATTACATTTAAAATATTACATATTTTAAAGCAATACCTACCTCTATCTCTATTGTAGCCAATAATTATTTCAATTTTACATTTTAGTAATCAAAACCCATTATTAAAATCATAATTCGAAATTAATTATATATTTTATTTTCTAAAATAAGAGATGCAGCAATAGATAACACTGAGCCCACGCGCCATCCTCGAAGTAACTTCAGACGTCCTGTGGGGGACGAACTCAGTCGACTCCGTCTATATATATATATATATCAGCTACAAACACGTTTCTTCCTCTACTTTCAAATCCAATTCCTAGATTATATTCTCTCTACCACCGTAGCAAATTCCGTCACAATCGTACTCATCTCTGCATCGAAAATATCACATCGTAAAGCATGGGATCGCTGCCGTTATCGGAGCCGTTACGATGGCCGTACGCCGAATTCGACGAAAAAATATTCCAAATCCACAGCCGACTGCGCTTTTCCATCGTCGTCGTCTGCTCCATCTCCATAATCGCCACAATAATCTTCTTCTACACGCGTTGGATATGTCGTTTCAGCGCCTCGAATCCGCCGGCGCCTTCCGATTCCGCCATCCGTCATTTCCCGCCGGAACCATCGCCGCGCAGAGGACTGGACCTCGCCGAGATCGAGAACATGCCGATCGTTTTGTACAGAAACCTCTCCGCCGGCGGCGGCAAATTCCACGAAGCAGAGTGTTGTATATGTCTCGGACTATTTTCGGCTAAGGAGAAAGTAAAAGTGCTTCCGCCTTGCCGACATTGTATTCACTCCGAGTGTTTGGATAAGTGGTTATCGACTCAATCGAGTTGCCCGTTGTGCCGTGCTTCGCTCCAAGTTGACTCGCCGGTATGACTCGCCGATCGGATCGGCTTCTAGAAAACTCTTTGATTCACGCCGAATTTTATTAATGGTACGCTTACATTGTACTGTCAAGGCTGAGAAATTTTTAATTGTAATTTTCAAAATAACATTCGTGGTAAGTGTAATTTATATATTTTAATTATGTAAATTAATACAAAGCACCAAATAATTCTATAAGAGTGATTCAATATATTGTCCATAATTCTATAAAATTATCAAAAGAAAAAAATTAAGAAGGAAACTACTTGTAATTTCTTTGTGTAAAATTATTCAAACATGAGTATGGTTGTTTTCATTTATAATGTTATATGTTTTTATTGTAAAATATAAAAATAAATAAATAAATAAATAATTGAGAGTATTACATAAAATAATATGATATTTTAGATATTTTTGTTGACTTATATTAGTATTTTATATGCACATACAAATGTACAATGAATAGATGAATGAACAATTATATCACTAAAATGATAGTAGTACTTTGTATGTAAATTAAATTGTAATAATATGTAAAAAAATAAAATTATTAAAGAGAGAAAAATAGATTGATTGATCCGAGCGATCAAAATGGTAAAATAAATATATTGATTTATGACCGAAAGAGTAATATTTTTAAGAAGCGCGCTAAGTGAGCACAGTCTACTATAGTGTTAGGTCTCAATGTGATATATATATATATATATATATAGATATATTGCTAATAAATCATTCACTATTTTGGTGAAATTTGGGGACTAAAAATTAGTTCAGTAAACAGTAAAGTGAATGTTTACCTGAAATCCAATTAAATCAGTAGCAAAATTGAATTTAGAGGTACATGACAGATGGATGTATACATGTTTTTGCTTTTTGATGGATCCAATTTTGTGAAATTTATTGGCCAGGCCTAAATAAATACATTAGTTTCTGGCAAAATGGAATCATCTTACATTGTGCTTTTTTTTTTCTGTGCATTTTGCTAAATAAGTGAAAAATAAATGAATTATTAGTGGTAATTACTTGATTAATCATGTAAAGTTATGACCATGTGCTTACACAAATTTGTAAATAAAGTTAACCTCACTGAAAATTTTTGAGTTTGCAACTTGTAATGTACATTCTTGTCATGGCTGCTTTTGATATTATGATATGCATACACACTGCCTCGACATCAAATCCAGTCCAGTCCTACAAGACTTCAATTATTATGGAAAGTTATAAGCTTGTGTTTAGGCACATTTTTATTACACTTCACTTTATGTTGTTGATTTATATCTAATGTGTTGTAGAATCATTAGGTATAGTTGTTTTTATTGTTAGACTTAAAGAATTGTTACAACAAATTTTGTTATGTATGTATGTATGTCTGAATTATTGATTTTTATTGTATATAAAAATATTTTTTGAAAACATTTTTTTATTATTAAACATAGCATAACCATCCCTGTTAAGACGGAACAATCCATCACTTCTGTTAAGTTGTTATCATTTTACTACGATTAATAAGAAACAAAAAATCAGACAATTTAATTTATGATGTTAAGAGTCATTTTGGGCCTTGGGTTCAAGCCCACCTTTAGCCCGCAACTTGTCAAAGTAACTCCGAACCTCTTCCGCTATAATCCTGTGCATGATCGTGACCAGACACGTGTCACCAATCTCGACGGACGGGGCCGTCTTCTCCTTCACCGTCAAATAATCACCGTCACGGGCGGGTAACTCTATCTTCTCCTCTCCCGTCCCGGGGGGTAAAAGCGTCAGAGTAAGCCCATCACGGCCCTGTAGGCCCAACTCCCCCTGATCCGCTTCTTCCAAAAACTCATCCGCACCGTAACTACCCTGCTCCGGCGACACACGGGAGCACCGCCGCTTCCCCTCCGACTCCTCCTCCTCCTCCTCCGCCCCGGTGGTTAGACGCCGCTTGCGGCGGAGGGTGGAATTCCAGTGGTTTTTAATGGCGTTGTCGGTCCGGCCGGGGAGGAGCCTGGCGATGGTGGCCCAGCGGTTGCCGTGGAGGGAGTGAGCGTGGATTATGAGGGCGTCCTCGGCGGGAGTGAAGGGACGGTGGTGGACGGCGGGGCTGAGCTGGTTGCACCACCGGAGGCGGCAGGACTTGCCGGACCTGCCGGGAATGGCGGTGCTGATGAGGGACCAATTGCGGGGACCGTGCTCCTGGACCAGCTTAATTAAGGCGGCGTCTTCCTCGGGGTTCCAGGACCCTTTGATCCTCTGGCTCTGCCGGGCCCGGTTAGCCTCCTCCTCCTCATCCATTATATATTATATAATTATAATTATGATATATATGATGGTAGAAATTGTAGGGTTGGGGGTATGTATAGAATTAGTGTGTATGTATATATATATGGAGGGGGGAGGGGGGAGGGGGGAGGGGGGAGTTGGAAGGCATGAACCTGAAACTGCTCGCGCACAATGGCGAAACCACTTCCATACCATATTGTTGGTTAGTCAGTTTCGTGTGTGTGTGTGTCTCTGCAGTGCAATTTTGCCATTGACATTGAGTTTATTTAATTATTTATTTATATATATATATATATGGAGGGGGGAGTGAGTATGAATTAATTAATATAGTAAAAGAGAAGAATTGAATAGAATTGTTTGTTGTTGTTGTTGTTGTTACAGTTAGTTAGTTAGTTAGTTAGTGGATGTAGGGGGGTAAGGTGGGGGAGAAATAACTGATTTGATTTGATTTGGTTTGATAGATGAAGAGGTGAAGGATGGGTTTAGAGGGAAACGGTTGAGAATCAAAACTACACTTTTAGAGGCAGCCAGCCAGGCTGGCAGGCAGGCAGTTATACAACTACTTGCAGTGCGGCATTGTACTAATAATAATTATTATTATTATAATAATATTATTATTATTATTGTTATGGATATGACAGATGAAAAGGGGGAATTAGGTGAGCATTTGGTGGGAGGTGCCCATGCGGGTTGGAATGCTACAGTTGAACACGTTGATTGCATGCATGCATGCACGCACCAATATCAATCAATACTCCTTTTTCTCAATTTCATCCTCAACAATTAAATGCTGCTACCTTACCATGCAATCACAATCTAGTCTGCTCTTATGAGTATTTTAAGCACTCACAATCACAAATAGACAAAAAAAAATACAAGACTCAACTACAAATTATTATACTGAAAAAGCTAGTAAAAGGGCGAACAAAAATCAATGCCATTTACCCAAAAAGCGCTATTAAAAACTCTTTTTTTAAAACTTCACACAACATTTTATGATTCTAAAGAAAATTTCAAAACCTTATCTAAACAAGCAAATAGTACATTAATATTGTTTCAGAACTAGAATTGATAGCATCTCATAGGAAGAAATGAATGGATCAAGACTTGCAACAAGACAACCAAACACAATTCAAAACCAAAAGCACAAAAACAAAAAACAAAAAATAATCAGTATAAAATGTGTCCTCTTGTTTTACAAAGCACAAATTAACCTCAGCTCCGTCGCCTAAAGCTGCAAAAAAATGCCTCCGCTACTAAAGAATATTACAACGAAAATATATCCACACCCTAACACAAACAAACAAACAGATAGACAAACATAGACACATTGAATTCCCCGCATTATTTTTGCTAAGCAGAGCTAAGTTTTCGCCTGTCGATTTCCACAAATGTGAGAAGGAAAAACACACCAGTGTACAGTAATATATATATATTTAGTATGAATGCAGCATTGTTTCTTACTAGCTCGATCACCAACCACGAAATCATACACCGCATTAGTAGGACCCCATAGGTGGCATGCCGAATGGGGGCATTGGTGGCATCCCCATCCCGGCCATAGGTGGGGGTGGGCCACCAAAACCTCCTCCCATTCCCGGGCCTCCCATGCCGGGAGGCGCAGGCAGAGCAAGAGGAAGTAATTGAGCATACATATTCTGCACCAAAATTAACAGAACAAATCAGTTGAAGGTAGGTTTGTTGCAAAGAAATCAGATAATCAGAACGAATATTTTGCAATATGTGATGAATTGGATTGATTATCCTTTTTTCCTTCTATTTTGAAAGGGTTTAAGACTTGAGAGTTGCAACGACGGGTTTTCGAAGAGGGGTACCTGTTGCTTCATAACTTCCTTCTCCTCACTTTCTTTGGCTTTAGCGTCGTTCATGTTTTCGATCTTGTCCTTAATTAACTCATCAACTTTGCCTGTGTATTCTCGGATGAACTGCAGAAGAGGTGAAAAGAAAATGAGTGTGCATCAAATATCCGACAGCTGAAGATGAAACTGTTAAATACATTTCCAAAAAATAGTGATTAATCACCTGTAACAGGTATGGGAAGGCGAAGTCGATCATGTTGTTCATCCAGGCAAGTTCGAGTGCAATATCTGGGCGGATTAAGTCGTAACAGACAAAGAGGCACGATGCGAAGCATTCCTTCTTACCCTAGAGGAACAAATGAGTTAATATTAGATTTACAATTTTTCCACTAAATATTGAAATAATTAATGTAAACTTCCAAAATGTACTGAATCACCAATCATAATCGCAATACAGTAAATAAACATCAAAGAATTACGATATCAATCAAAACAGCAGTGAGCATTTTGTCGGAATATATACAGGTCGATTGATTACCGAATATATATATATATATAATGTTATATATGCTTATTACCTGATCAATGAAGTAAACAAGTAGTTCTTCAGCAAGTTCACGGTCACCGGATTGTGAAGCTGTTTCCATTGCATCTTTGTAAAGGTTGTCTTTCTTCGACAAGGCAATTGATTGCTTCCACTTGCCTGCCTTCTTGTAGATATAGGCAGCTACACGTCTCATCTCAAGAAGCTCATGCTTCTCAATCTGCACGGACACAAAAGATAGCAAATACATAAGCATCAATTCAACATGAAAAAATTAAAAAAATAATAATAAAAAAAAAGGTAGTGAAAAATTCGATCCACCTTTTGTGCGAGGCCAATCTGATCAAAGTTATCGTGCAAGTCTATTGATTCGCGTAGCCTGTCATAGTCTTCTTCTTCCACATAAATTTCATTAAGAGCGTCGTTCACAGCTGTCACATTGTTGCTCTGAACAGCAACCATATATGGTTTCACAAGTCGTAGGTGGCCAGCCTGAGATCATTATAAAGTCTTGTAAGAATAAGGGCGGGCACATTCACATAAAATATATTGTGGAAATTAAGACAAAGTACGAACCTTTCTCATTATGTCCACAACTCGGGTATGGTCCACGCGAAGAGCGAGAACATTCAAAACATCATTGATGAGATCAGGGTGCTCTTGCAGGTAGAAGTGCACCGCTTTGTAATAAAGCTCGACATTGGCAACCTTGACAATGATATCTTTGAACTGCATGTGATCCCAAGCTTCCGGCGAATGATTCATGACAGTGGTTGCCGCATTATCATATTCGTCGTACTGAATGTACAGGTAAGTCAGCTCTTTCCAGTGTTGCTGTTCATCACAAGCCCGAATGAGCTTGGGAATATTCAGACGAGTAGAGAACAATTTGATGTGCTCCATGAGCTTCTCATGGCGATATCTCGCATAAAGGACACCCAGCTCGGTAAAGATGCCCATGTGTGCACGTTCCAATCCTAAACCACTCTCCATTAAAGATATAAGCTCATTAAAGCATCCTCTGTTTTGATAAAACTCGCTAACTTCTTCCAGGTCATCAACCTACAAGAATCACAGTATTATGTAAGAGGCGGAAAATATCAATTTAAAGCAAAGCTATTGAGGATTGGGGAATGAATCTGTGAAATACCTGCACAATTATGTTAAGACCACAAATTTGAGCCAACCGGAACTCCTCAGCATCGACACATGCGAAGCAGACTTCCTTCCATGTCTTTGCGCTGTTGGCTTTCCGTGCAGCATCAACAGCTCCTTGGAACTGCTTCAATTTCACAAGAGTGCTTGCCAATTTGCCCCAGTTGGAGATAAAAGCAAAAATTATCTTGGCAGCCTCATATAGAGCTTCATCATACAAACGATCGCCGACATTCGGCAGATTGGCAACATTAGGCATGAGAATAAATTCTTCAATATCACCCAGCCTATCAATCTTAGCATATGCATAGATGAGCTCGCTGTCCACTTTGGGTTCCTTCGTTTTCTCCCTAACCATGAGCAGATACTTCACCAGGTCGTGATACACTTCTCCATCCTCTGCAGCTCGAATGACTTCCAGGAATTGAGTTGCATCATCAGCTCGGATGAATGATTCAATTGCATCACTGACTAATCCTTCCCGCAATTGAGCCTTAGCCACCTGACTCCAGACAGCGTCTTCCTCAACACGGAAGGCAAATTCTACAGCCCGGTTAATGTCACGGATGTTATCTAACAAAACATTGACAGCCTGAACATTCAAGTTGAACTTCTTGAAAATAGCATAAGCTTCCTCGTACAATTGGGCTTCAACAGCAACTTCTCCAACAGCAGGGCCATCAAAGTTATCAAGTCTATTCACATAATCCATAACTCTCGAAGGATCGGCCTTGATGGCGGTTAATATAAGCAAGTTCTGCAAATTGAAGTTCCCACTGAATGCAGAATTCTGCAGCACAATCTTTTCAAGCAATTCAATCAGTTCGTGAGGAAGATCAGCTGTCATGAAAGCTTTAACAGCAGCAGAAACTTGCTCCGGGCTTTTGCTTTCAGGCAAAGCAGTAGATACGACTTGATCAATTAGCAACCTTCTGAATTCATTTTCAGGATCCAGTACCTTCGCCCACAGATCACCATCCATTCTTTCAACCACATACCTGCAAGAGAAAGAAAAATAATCTTAACAATTCTTACCAGAGATGAAACTACCAAAGCAGGTATTCTAGTTGCAGGGTACCGACCTGGCTTGCAGCTTAAACAATGAATTCTTGTTTGTAACATTGATAAGTTCATCATCACATTGTCCCCTCCGGTACGCAACAACAGCAAGGGTTGGATCACGTTTCTCACAGTACTTGCCCACAACCCGTGAATCATAATACGGATTGGTAGTGAGAAAATGTTCTGGATTGTTGTTGCTATCTATAATAATTTTACCCAGAGCATTGTGGACGTGCACATCTTGGCTTCCTTCACTCACAAGATGCTCCAAAAACTGAGTAAGCAGACGAAGTCGGTTCCTGCATCCATTATCATATATAAGATTAACAAAGCAGATGAAAAAACATAAATAGCTTACAAGTAGAGAAGCTACCTTTTTTCACACTCCTCAACCAAAGGCTCAACTGGAAGCAAGGAGCGGACAGAAAGGATCAGACCTTTGATAAAATCTTCAGGACACTCATCATCTAGAAGCTGACCAACAACCAATGGGGCGTTTCCAGGATTGACCTATCAAACAAAAGGATGATATATGAATTCCAGCCATCAGAAAAGGACTCCAAACTCAAGAAGTTACAGACTACAAAGAAAACATACCTTTTGTACATAGCCTTCAATATAGCGAAGCATGTTGTTGGTGTACAAATAATGTGTGAGATCAGGGACAAAACCAAAGCGGTCACACACATTGATCAGTGGCCGTGCATCGGGAAGTTTTGCTTCCATTAAGAAGTTTTTAGTTTTTTCGGGATCATAGAAGTTCGATTCTCGGGTTACACGCTCAACCTCTTTAATTTGTCCAGTCTTTGCAGCAGCTTCAATGTACTTAAAGTGAATATCAGGATCCTCACTGACAAGAGTTAATAAGTAGGAGAACTATTAGAAAATGAATTACAAATGCAACAGGCAATCCCACAACAGTAAATAAATCTGATTGCTCCTAACTAGATAACCTGGAGCTCAAATAGGAACCCAAGAAGAAATACAGTCCTTCATATGATTTGAACTGCTCAAAGAGCTTGATACACGCCTCCACACCCAACTGTTCACAGTATTCTTTTGCAACCTAAAGAAAACTTAATAATCAGTATTCAGAGTAGGAAACTGACTTTCTAATAAGATTAAATATTTGCAGAAAGTAAGCACGCTTCAATGTGAATCATAAGCATACCAAACCAACATGAGAAATACCACAGAAACATTCGAGGTGCCTTCCAACATACCTGGACAATTATCTGAAGATTTCCTCTAAGATTGACCAGTAACAGATCCTTCATACATTCCAGAGCCCATTCCTTAGATAGCGTCCCGAAGAACTCCACAAGTGCCTAAAATTACCATGCTTTAAGTACAAGTACAACCATTCCAACAGACAGAAAATAATATCAACATTTACAAACCTGTGGCTCAATTGCATGAGTATTCACAATGACACGCTTGATGTCAGGCAGTTCAGAGTAATGCTGCAGGCAAAAAATTGAGGTTTACTTAGACACAAAACCAAAAGAAAAAGCACTCCATGTACACTTTAATCACACAGGTACAAAGTTCCAGACACTAACCTGAAGAGCTCGCACATAAAGACCTGCTTTCTCACAGAGTTGTGCAATGCGCGGCCGGTCATAGTGACTAAACATACCATTTGCTAAAATAGCATCCGCCACATTAGGAAATGTAACAAGATTGATCTCCAGGACCTGAAGAGGAAAGTCATCATTCCATTGTTGAAAACATAATGACAACTAAAACACCAACCTTAGTTTGCAGGTAGGCATGCTCTGGAAGATTTGGTTTCAGAACATCCAATAGAAAAGCTGTGGCTTCACGAATCATGTTCCTCTGGTAATAACAAGATTCATGATTAGCACTAAAAAATTAGTTTTGGAATGCATAAGCACATAAATAAACATATTTAAAAATAAAGTAGAAACAACAGATGGAGAGGGTCAGAGATGCATGGACTCAAATTCAAAAGAAACAAGAGGAAGGCACTGAAACCTGAAGAAAAAGGTCTGTAATGGTATTATAATCAATAGGGCAACCTCCCTCCATTTGTGACATCATAAGGGCAAAATTGACGGCTCCCTACACAAAATATAAATTCATTAAAATCATAATTGAAAGGAAAAGAAGTGGGAGGGAGGGTAGCAGGAGGGAAAATGTAGCAGAGTTTTACATCATAAACAAACAAACTCAGCTAATGGAAATCCAGACAAACCTGAGGATCTGATCGGAGAATAGTTTGCAAAAGGAACAGATAGTCTGGTGTATACCCAACCTGTTTAAACACAAACAAGTTCTTCAGTAAAACCGCTAACAAGGGAAAAATAAACAATAAAAAAATAACTGTCGTGTTCTCATAAACAAGCTTAGTGTGTTTGTTTTTCCATTACCATTTCGCACTAGGCTATTTACTGTGAAATATCTTTTCCTAATAAAAACACTAAATCAAATAATTACTTTCCATTCAAAGACTCGCATCTAAAAACCTACTTTTCATTGAATAAAATTAAAATCCAAAACTTCAAGGCACCACAAAACAAATTCAAACACACTTCAAATTCTCCTAAGCAAAATGGTGAGGGGAAAAATGACCTGCTTTGAGTATATTAAGATCTTGTCGAACTCCCGACGCTCGGCAAAGGCTGCAACAACTTTGGGTGTAGCTCTAGCTTTAATATATATTTTCAGTGCAAGATCATTGTCAACAGTCTACGACATAAGGAAACATGTGTTATGCAATTACAAGCAAAATTTTGGACTAATGAACTGATAAAGAAAAAGAAAAGATTTATTATTTCAAACTTATATTGAAAAGCTAACCTTCACAAGGTCACCAAGTTCCTCACTGCATTCCAGTTTGTCTTCAGCTAACCAGTTCTCCAACAAATTCTTCTTGTTCTGGTTGACAACGAGACGAGACAACTCCAACGACTCAAATGCATTAAGCTTTCCCTTAGTTAACAATGTTCCAAAGTACTGCAACAACGGAGGAGTCTGCCCAGCTTGAACAGGAACACTCTGTATATATGAATAGAATGTGATCAACATAAAACTACCTTACTAAATACATTGCATGTTGTGCATTGCCAAATTCAAAGTGGCATCCTGAGAAACTTGTGTTTCCTATACCAAATCTTCAGTGCCATAGATAGTATCTACATTGCAAGGAAATAGGCACCTGAAATTTTGTAACAGTTTCAGGAGTCCGGAGGATGCCCTGAGGAGATTCAGCCGCAAGCTCCGCAGCCTCCTTATACTTGGTCTGAGCAAACAACTCTTGGAAGCGCTGGACAACCTGCAGTGTACAAGATAGTTATATTCTGTTCCCCCATACAAACTTGTCTCTACAGAAAATAAATTACTAGGGAAAGCTAAAATGAGGAGAAAAAGTTGACAGGATACAGTTGATCATGCTTTCAAATTATTAATTAAATGGATATGCGGGACAATAAAAGCAAGCACTAATATCAACCTACCAAATTCTCAGCACCAGGAAGGTTTCCTCTTTTGGCAAGATTGACAGCAAGCTCCAGATTGTTTAACTGGTAGAACAATTCAAACATGTGTAAGGGAACAAAACAAACAGGCATTCACTAAATAACAAAAGCTGCTAAACGTACTTGTCCACTGACAAAAGGCACAATAGTCGCATCATTGATTGTAGCAAGTAGAACTTGGCCACGCCTATTAATTGCATAGAAACCACCAACTGATGAAGCTTCAGAGGTCAGAAAGATGGGATCAGGACTGATCCTATTTCTATATACAGCTGCAGCAGTTTCCAGGTCGTACACAAAGAGCAGCCCAAGTTTGGTAATCACATAAATAAGACCGAACTTATGTGATATCTGACACATTTTACCCAAAAGAAAGCATGTTATAAATAGATGCAACAGAGACTCGAATATCAAGCGCAATAACTCAACCCAGTTAGGAATACCTGCATGGCCACTGGAAAATCATCTGCAAAATCAGGAGGGAAGAAAAGATCTGCCTGCTTTTTAGTAAAAGCAGGTTTACCTGCAAATATTGCCAGAGTTACAAATAATAACAGCAGAACCTGTCAGACAATATGAAAACCAATGGAAATATACATTATCCAAAAGATGACCAAACCTCAATTATATAACACACCTGGCTGAGCACCAAGCTCAATAACATGCAACTTAGATGTTATCTGGCCAGCATTAGAAGTTTTTGTTGCAAAAGATATCAAGATAGAGTCCTTGTCATTCCCTGGAACCTACACAAAAGGAACAGATATAACATAAAAAATGCACAAACCAATAACATCATTTTAGTGAACAAGTAAAGGAAGGATTGCATACTTTAAAAGTAGCAAATGCTGCAGCATGAGCTTCAAGTGCTTGACTACGCTGCTGTTCCACAGAAAACAGCTGCATACTTCCTTTGACAAGTTGAGGCCGCTGATGAAGAAAATAATGCCACATTACAATCATTGTCAAGGTCAATCATAAAGCTATAAATCCTAATCTAAGTAAAATATGAATATACAAATCACATCCTGCATATCCACAAGAGAAAAGGATTCTTAAGATAATCTAATGAGATTAAAGTAGTGCCCGGAAAACGCAATGACTAGAAAAAAAAAGTTGAATTATTCAATTCTCACATATAATTGCTAGCAAAATTTCTCGGGAAATCCTTCAAAATTATCACCATATAAAGGAAAAACAATGTGCACCAAGCTACCACACCACCATTTTAAAAAAAAAAAGAAAAATCATCGATGACAATTATCAACACCTTAAAACTAATAATAATAATGGGTGGTAATTATAAACACAACCCAGTTGCCCATATCTAATAGCCAGTTAGTCACTCAGAACCGTAGTGTAAGATGCAAGCAAAAACCCCAAATGAGAAACCCTCACAAGCCCAGAACATAATGTCATTATTCCAATACAAAATGAAGCATTGGGTACAGATTATCTTGCTTTATCTAATTATAGTAAAACCTACTAGGGTAGATGATAAAGTGTTTCCACAATATACAACAGAACTACCAGATACCATCTCTAGATGACAAAAATGGTTATTCACACAACTATTTCACTATCCTTATTTCTAAAATATTTAATGATGCAATTTAAAAAGGCAGAAGCTGATTAAAAGTTGGTAATCACACACCTCAGGTGAACCAGGAGCAATCCCAATCAGAACCAACCACTTCTCAGAAGGATCACATTTATAATTGATTATTTGGTTGTTGGCTAAATTGGCAGTTCTATCGAACATTTTCACAGGTTCAGATTCGCCTGTCAAGTAAGAAGAAAGTGATCTCAAGAAGAAACAAATAGCAAAAATGAACAGAAAATGGATCATCCGTAAGTTGTATTTCAAAAGACCTAAATAATGGCATCTCACCTTCAATTGACCAGTGATACACTGAGGATTGCGTGACTAAACCCAGCATTTTGGGGGTAATCCACTTCCAAAATACTACCTGTCCAACAATAAAATTATCCAGAGTCGAGCTTTATGATGCGGCATCAACAAAAATCAATATACCATTCGAGGCATCTAAGCTTCTAGATGTATTATGAACTTGCCTGCTCAGGCATCTGATGTGACTTTATCTTTGCTTTCGCTTCAATGTTAAATATTTGCAAATGATCTTGAGTGGTTCCAGGAAGTTGAGCTTCATCAAGGAACAATTATTTTCAGTCTCGCAGTTAAAATTAAAGAAACAAAACTGCAATTTTGATTAACTGCATTATTTTGAACAAGCAAAATTTATTACTTGCTATCAATTATTAGCAACCACAAGGAAGTAGAGATATCAACAAAACATGTTTTAGGCAGATGGCGAGGTGATTGCTGATATTTCTCAACATAGAATTATTATGCGCAAGTACAGAGAGATAAGAGTTTTAAGGCCTACAAATTAAATATTAATTTCACATCATTTCAGAATCAAATGAGATTCTCAACTTACTTATAACACATGCAGCCAAGGCATGTTCTGATTGAACCAGCTAATGTTCCTCAATCAAATATTGTTAGATTTATCCTTTCTCTACAAATATGTTCGTAATAAGGATAGATATTTAAGCAAATAAATAACAACTTGCAGAAAGCATACACCATAACTGTGAATTGAATCATTTGTTCAATGGCCATATCAGTACGTTAAACATCTACCTTTCATCATATATTTACAAATTTTCCTCAAGATTTTACTTTTTCCACTGAAAACCTTTTAGGGAAAACCTTGAGGCGAATGGCCAACAGTTGATCTATTGCATGAACATACTTTGACTAATGATCTGATAATAGATATCAGTGAGCTATTTTATAAACAAACTAAAATTTGGTAAATATATATATGGAATTAAAATGCATCCAATCAATCTAATAGTAATTCTTAGATAAGATCACCTTTTAGAGCCAAGATTCGAGAATTCGGATTCATAAGTGCAGAATCAGCAGTAATTGGCCGCCTTAACGGCTGATTCGGCATGGTCATATCAATAATGACCACACTATTCTGAGGTGCTGTTTCACGGACGCAAATGTACTTCTCCGATTCCATGGTAACATTGGTGAAGGTAATGAACTGCTGATTGATCCCTAAGCTAGTCAACTGCAATCATGGCATCAAAAACGTTCAGAATTCAATGCTACCGCCATCACAAAGTACAGCATCCGCGAATCAAAATTAGCAGATCTAAACACCAAACTAAGCATAAACAACTCAACCAGCAAAAAGACACCATTTCCCTCACCTTAAAACTCTACCAATACATCAAATCAAGCATCAATTAACCAAAAAAGCTAACCAACTTAAACAAGCAATATCACAGTCGACAAACGACAGAAACCTAGTTGACGACAACCAAATATACAGCAAAAGCAGTAAGCGACAAAATTGAGGGTACCGTTAGGGCTTCCTTCATGGTGATCGGAGCGTTTGCGGCAGCCATGGCGGCGAATCAACCAATAGTTCGAGATCAGCGCTCCGGATCTGAAAAAAGGATCGATTAATCGAGAGGCAACAAGGGAACGCGTCGGCAGGAAGTTCGAGATCTGGAGCAACAAAGAGAAACCCTCAATCCCTCGGAGAAGGAGAGAGGAGCGCAGAGAGAGATCTAGAGAGAGGGAAAGCGGAGGTCTTCTCCTTCGTCTATTCAAAGGAAATGAAGTGAGCTGCGATGGCGTGCTTTTATATGACCAGATATTTCTATTTTTATTCTTTTTTTTCTTTTAAAAATTGAGACAGAAGAAAATTAAAAGAGGGAGAGATCCGATCGACGGACGAGACGAGCGACGCCGCTTGCTAATCGTCTGCGGTTGGCATTCCTACAGTTAGATACAATGCTTAAGATTAGCGTCGACAAGACTAATACAGTATCTCAAAATTAAACCCGACCCGAAAAATCAAATCGGTCCGACATGAATCTTTTAGGTTCGAATTTTGGTATTTTGAATTTGTAAAAAATTGGATCAATTCGAATCCGAAACAAAAAAAAAAATTGTGTCATATTTCGGGTTGACCTGAAATTATTTGTTATTGTTATTTTAATTTATACTCCCTCTGTGTAAGTGGACTTATTAAGTAAAATATAATTAACTAATAATTATAATAAAAATAATTATAAATTAAGATTAAAATGATAAATAGTTCAATTAATTAAAAAAATTATAAAATTTAAATTTAAAATATGATTAAAATTTATAATCATATTTAAAAAAAAAAACAAAACAAATGACAAACTATATGGAATAGAAAGAAAATAAAAATAGGATTACGCGGGACGGATCGAGTAATATTTATATTATTTTAAATATAAAATAATATAAAAATTAAAATGAATTCGTTTTAAGTTAATTTAAATTTTTTTTTAATTTTCGAGTCTGTTTTGTCTCAAGTTCGTATTGAGTTTTTTCGGATTTCGAATAACCTGAGACTAATTCAGGTCAACATAAATCTTACATGAACGAATTCGTGTCGTGGGATCTATGGTTTTAGGTCAAAAAAAATTCAGGTTGGATCGGTTTCGAGTTGACAGTTTTTTTTATTATCTAATGACTCAACCCGGCACGAATACTACCCGAAAACACAAATTGATACCACTAATATAATTCATTTGTTTTGTGAGATAATTTGAATGTATGTTTCTTTTTATCTGAAATATAAAAAATTATGCCAAATAAAATATAAAAATAATAAATATATGTAATATATTACTAATATTTTTAAATAACTTATAAGAAAAACACACATTATGCAAATATAATCATTCTTATTGGACTGGACTGAGGTAGTATGTAATTTTTGTTAAAAGAAACACATGCAAATATGTTTTGTTGTTTATTGTTTGGTTTATGTTTTTTTGTCAATATTTTAGATTTCGTTTCTACAATGAAACTTCCACTCATTGGCACTATTTCTTTTTAAAAAAATATCACATCAAATATATTTTTTATCTTATAAAACATTAAATCAAATATTAATTTTTTATTTTTTTCAAATTTTCAATACTCCAAAACTCTCTAAAAAAATAGTTAGAGTATTTTTTTTTTATCTTTGGTACAGAAAATTATATCGATAATACTCTTTTTGTCTCATTTCAAATATTTTAATTGAAAATTTTTATTATTTAAATTCCAACTCAAAATCTATATCTCCTACAAACACACCCTAAAAAAAATATACACTTTTGATTTATTATACTTCCTCCGTCCAAATACAATGGTCTTATTTACTATTTTTGTTCGTCCCAAAACAATAGTCTTATTTTCATAAATAACTATATCATTATAAAATTATTCTTACTTTTTCATTATTATTACACAATTGTCACTACATTTTACACTAATAACTCACAAGGACAAAAATATCTTTTATCTATACTTTTATCTATTATTTTTATCTATACTTTTTACCAATATAACAAAACTATAATTTTGAAACGGAAAAAATAGTATTTAATTATTTAAACTTGTAGTTTCATGTTTATTTATAAATTTATTTTAAAATTTTTATATCAAAAGTACATGTGTTAAGTTTGGCCCAAATCCAATCCAAGAGGTGGGCATCTAAAGGTAACAAGTCCAGCCCAACGACAAATCAATAGGGATCAATCATTTGAAGGCCAATAAATAACAAAATGATTGTGGGAAGAAAGAGAACACATAAAACACACAATACAAAATATTAAGTTTGTTTCCCTCAAATTTATTTTTTATTATTTGAATTCTGAAAAAAAAAATTAAATATATATTTTTTTACAAAATATCTAGAGACATTATTTTAATACTAAATTCAAATATATATATATTTTTAAATCAATCAAAAAAAAAACACACGGCTCACTCATTTTAATATGTATCTATTCGTTTTTATTTTTGCACATATATTTACAAGACTATTAATATACATTTAAATAATACAATAAAAAATGAAAAATTAAGTTTATCTTTATAAAGGATAAATTAATAATGATACGTTTTTTCCGGTTATATTACTTCAAACAGTGCCGTAGCTACGCCTACAACTCAACTCAAACGACGTCGTTCTAGGAAACATTTAGAATTTAGACTAGCAGACGAGAAAGCATGAATCAGCAACCGCTGGACACGTGTCATTCATTTCCGGCTCGTGTCACACGTGTCATTCCGTAAGTCATTATCCAGATTCCAATGAATCCTAGCTAGAGTTCACTGTATATATGTACTGCAACTCCTCAGTCGATCAGCGACAAACCCTAACATCGAATCGAATCAATTCAATCCGCGAAAGACACAGTTGCGGAGAGTTCGGGAGGAATTATGGCTGCGCAGCAAGAGAGGAAGGAGATGGACGCCAGGGCGAAGCAAGGGGAGACGGTGGTTCCCGGCGGCACCGGCGGCAAAAGCCTCGAAGCGCAGGAGCACCTCGCCGAAGGTACGCACGAGAAATTAGTAAGGTTTTCTATTAATCAATTTGTGAAATGAATTGGCGAATTGAAGTAACGATTAGTGCGGCGGATCGGAGTGATTTAATTCAATTAATTGATTGGGATTGGAAAGGGAGGAGCAGGGGAGGGCAGACGAGGAAGGAGCAGCTGGGGACGGAGGGGTACCAGGAGATGGGGCGGAAGGGAGGACTGAGCTCCGGCGAGGGTGCGGCGGAGGTGGACGAATCGAAGTTCAGGACTGGGTGAATATATATCCTTCAAGTTTGAAGGAGTGTCTGTAATGGAGGATATGATATGAAGATATCATGGTGATGTGTATGTAGTTAGGTTTCAATAAAAACGACGTCGTCTGGTCTGAGTGTGAGATCTGAGGTGTGTCTTCCATGGCGGTTTTGTGTTGGCTTTAGTTGAGACGATGATATCTCTGTGTATACATGACTGTCGAGTGTTTTCTTTCTTTTTCTTTTTTTTTTTTTCTTTTTTTTTTGATTTTTTTTTGTTTTCCTTTTAATTTTATCTTGAATGTGAGTTTCAAGTTCCAAGTCCCACAATATATATATATATATATTATAGTTAAGAGAAAACATTGAGTCCAGTAGTCTTAGTTTTATTAACACATTTTCTAATAAAATGATCTATTTCATGACACAATTTGTTTGTTCGTTGTTTTGACAAGACAACAAACAAACAAGATGAATGGATATCACAAAAAGATTAGTGGACAGGGTGCAAATCTACAATATTGGTTAATGAGATATTTTTTGTACAAAAAGAAATAGTTATGAAGTACTGCTAGTTAGTAAAAAATTAAGACCCTACACGTTTCCTTTTCCTCAACCACGGCGACGCACAGTTTGGTCAATTGATGAAAAATTTTGCCCATTTTTCTTTGACTTCCACGACGGCGACAACTTCTTAAATCTCTATCTTTAAAGATCTAAATGATGGCTTATACGGATGTGTGAAGTGATCTGATTTAGGGTATTATTAGTTTGTTGGTCCTGATTAATATTGTATTTTTTGAAAAAATTGGTTGCTGCTAATGACATTCATGGTTCAAAACTTCAATATTCGATATTCGATTAGTATATTCTAAATTAATATGGAGTGCTTGAATGCGCTAAATGGAGTCTTTATCCCATCCGCTAGTGGACGAATCACTTCTATAGCTGATCCACACACCGGAGCCTTTATCCCATCCGCTAGTGGACGAATCACTTCTATAGCTGATCAACACACCGGAGCCTTTATCGCATCCGCTAGTGGGCGAATCACTTCTATAGCTGTCATATAGTAAGTTTCTGTAATTTGTTTTAATGATTTCATTGTTGTCTATGAACCGAAGAGTATGGAATCTATATAATAAGTTTTTTAAAATTCTTTAGCATGGTTGTCCTGTTTTTCCATCTATTTACATATTCGTTACTTACTTTGCTTATTTAAAGTGAAAATGTTTCATTTAAGTTATGATGTGTTTGTATTTTGTATTAAGCATTGTGGTTTTTATTTTTCTCCGTGAAGATGTTTTGAAGCTCATTTTTTGTTCTTTTTTTATTACCTATCTAACATAATAAATACCCTTTCAACTTATATTATATTACACACAAATGTTGTTACTTTTATATTACACCATACTAATAGGGTATTTTTGTCTTTTTTACTACAATTCAATATAATACTAATATTAAAAAATTTACGTGAAAAAACAAATGTTAATGGGACAGACGGAGTATTTTATTTCTTAAAAAATATAAGAAAACAAAAGTGCATACTTTTTTGTGTTTAGGATTTTATTATTATTATTATTTATTATTGAGAATTGTAAAAAATATTATTAAAATATTTAGTCTTATTATTTTGTAAGAAAAATAATATATTATGCATATTTACAAAAAATAAGATTTAATTTTTCGGATGGAGAGAATATTATTAAGAACTTGTGATTAAAATTTTGTGAGAATAAACAAATTCATAACTCATCTATCATATTTATTGTTATTCATTGTCTAAATTAGTTTTAAGTTTTATTTTTCGTACTTTTTGAATAATTTTATATAAAATATTATTAAAATAAAAATTTTTACAGTCACATTATTATTTATTGTTTAATTATATTTAAATTAAGAAAATTAAATTATTTTTTTAAGTTATTACTATTTTATTGATGATACAATATTTTTTTAAAAAAATTCAAAATATAAAATATTCAATATAAAAAAATATTTTTATTTTTATTTTAATATATTATTAAATAAAAATAATTAAAACAATAATACATTATAAATATTATATAAATTAATCAAATTAATTAACCATTTAATACAATATTTCTTAAACTTGTGCCCAAAAAAGGAGACCAATTTCATGGAACAAAAGGAGTACATAATATGTTTGCAGGGTAATCAACACAGACCTTCTGAATCATCCAACATGGCGTTGTTGAAGCCAATACGGCCGTGTTCATCCAGCCATCCTTCTTGGACTAAAATTGATCAATTTCATTTAAGTTGGACCAAAATTAATAATTATAATATTGAATGAGATCAAAAATAATTTTTTACTCTTAATTTTTTGAAAATATATATTGATATATATTTTTACAAAAAGAATACACCCATTATTTTTTCTTAATTTTTATGTTCAATCAATTTTATTTAAATTTAAATTTATTCAAACCTTTATACCTAAACTAAAATAATTGAATTAAAAATGGTTTATTTAAAATTAACCATAGAGCTATTCTTTAAATATAATACTCCATAATCTATGGTAAATTAAAATAATCTATGGAATATTCTTTTTATGATTAAAAATAGTTCAGTTCGCTAATGATTCGATGGTCGCCATGGAAGGTGAATGAGAGCTCGGAAGCTCCATCAATGGCGGTAGGCTGCTCTTCTTCTCACCGCCGTTGCAAGGCCACATGACGCCGATGCTTCATCTCGCCGCCATTCTTCATTCCATAGGCTTCTCCATTTCTTTCATCCACACTAAATTCAACGCCCCCAATTCCTCCAAATACCCTCAGTTCACCTTCCATCCCCTCTCCGACCATCTCTCCGAATCCGAAACTGCAGGTCTCAGCGTCTTCGATTTAGCGTATTTGATCAACCACAAGTGTTCGGAGCCTTTCCGAGATTTATTGACTCAGTTCTTCACCGATTCCTCCGAGAATCGTCCCTACGCTCTGATTTCAGATTCTGCCCTAACTTTCACCAGAGACATCGCCAAGAGCTTCGCCCTGCCGAGATTTGTGCTCAGAACCTCCGGCGCGGCGCTTTCCTCGTCTATAGCTCATTTCCTCTGCTTCAGGAGAAACATTATCTCCCGATTCAAGGTACAAATCGAAAAATTAGGGTTTCAGATCCCCCAATTAGTTTCTGAAATTGCTTTATCTTTCTTATATCTGCAGCTTCTCAGTTAGAACAATCCGTTGTCTATCTTCCTCCACTAAGAGTCAAGGATCTGCCGGCGATCGGCGTGCCGGACATGGAAACATTCACCAAGTATATATCAGAGCTTGTCGAGGAAGCTAAAACTTCTTCAGGCGTCATATTCAACTCATTCGAAGAGCTAGAAGACTCTGCCATGGCTGTTCTTCGCCAAACTTTTCTGGTGCCGATATATCCAATCGGTCCCTTTCACCTATACTCACCACCGAATTCAAGCAGCTATTTAACACCTGATCGGACTTCCATCTCCTGGCTGGACAAACAAGCCCCAAAATCAGTGATCTACGTGACTTTCGGAAGCGCTGCATCATTGAAACAGAGAAAATGCTTAGAAATCGCTTGGGGATTAGCCAACAGCGGCTTCCATTTCTTGTGGGTGATCAGGCCTGGATCAATCTCCGGAATGAATCGGCAAGATGCATTGCCTGAACAGTTCATGGATATGGTGGAGGGACGAGGATACATTGGCGAATGGGCTCCTCAGCTCGATGTTTTGGCACATCCAGCCATTGGAGCTTTTTGGACGCATTGTGGATGGAATTCGACGCTGGAGAGCATCTGCGAGGGCGTACCAATGATTTGCACGCCCATTGCTCCCATGCCTAGGTAACAAATTAAAAGCACCATTGCAGTATTGTTTCTTTATATTCATCCTATCTACATACATGTATAGTTATTAACATGAATCTTTATGTTGTAGAAAATTGCTTACTTGATAAGCATCCCCTGCCATGACGACAAATGACGCAGGCGGGACATCCACAGAAAGCCATTCTCCATTCCTCAGCTGTATTTCCAAACCATTGACCTGGTTTTGGTGAAGTATGGCTAAGAAGCCTTTATCAGTGTGAACATTTGTTCCCACATTATTGCTGTTGCCGTTGTCGCTATCTGGAGGTGAGTATTTTATGGTTCTGAGAAGGTACGTTGTTGATGAAATATGGGATTGGTAGTGTCTTTGTGCTCCATAGCTTGTAAACACCATTTTGTCCACAGTTTGTTCGAGTTCTGATACTAGTTTAGCATAACATAGTATGCTTTCACTACACAAGGATAGAGTAAGTAACCTGCTCGAAAAAGTTTTCTTAAAATTTCAAAGTTATTAGACATATTTCTGAGATAATATCTAACTCTTAGCTTGGTTACAAGTTAGTTCTGAACCTGAAGCTCAAGAACACTGTAATCAATTCATGTTAAAATTTGAACAGGTTTCCTGAATCTATTATTTCCCGACGGCCACATGAGATTTGTGAAGCTTTGAACAGCTTCAGAAGCTGTTACCTCTGGAATTCCCATGCTTTCATGGAGGGGGGCATGGGGAAGTTGTCCGACATAGCCATAGAACACCAAGTCAGAAGTGTTCCTAGTTTTGATCTCGAGTGGCAGATCGAACAGCTCTTCCATTACATCAAACACTTGCCTGTCTAGTTCACCTGAAACATAATCATATTGTGCTATAAAATATCCATACTCTTCAAGGGCTTTCTTCACATTCTTGCAATCTTCTGTCCATGAATCTGAACTGGTATTTGTGTTTTTTCTTGACAGATCAAAGATCGGAATCTTGGGAGTTGCTGCATTAGAACTACTCATCATGTGAGTAAATTACAACAGCATTTTAATCTGCTTGTTTTAAGCTGTGTGTGTGTTTGTGGTTTGGAATAAATAGGCACCACTTGAGCTTTATATTGTTGATTCGATAATAGTAAAAATTTGAACTGCAATAGTATTTTAGGTGATATTTTGAAATGAAATTTCATATATATATATAAACACACGGACGGAACTATTAGGGGTTTGGGGTCACCTGCCTCCGGCCCCAAAAATATATTTTATAGTAAAATTATGTATTTTCAATAATTTGACCCCTTTCCCCCTATTTCTTAGTTTTTATTTTTATGTGTAAAAATAATAAATATTATAACCGGCATCGGTGCCAGAAGGTATTGGAATTTGGTTCTGACGGAGGAGTCAAGGTTAGTATTTTGATCCTTTCGGCATTTGGACTCATCTATGAAATGATATCTACATCAATCAATTATTTTTCATGTGGTAATGCTTTATGAATTTGTTTTGTTAATCTTTGCATTTAAACTTGATTATGATTTTGTTGGCAGCGTCTACAATCATCTTTCCACAGAAGTTTTTTGTAGTTTTCGAAAATTTTGGAAATAGTAAAAAAAAGGTGGGTATTTGGCGTGATGTTTTGCGAGAGGAAATAGCTTTGCGATGCACTGATGTATGGATCGCGCTCATCGGCTGAGATCTGGACCTCGGTTGGGCATTAGTTGTCTATCCCTACCATCCATTCCCTTCCCATCCATTCCTCTCGTGTTCGATTGTTATGGCCGCTTCCATCTCCTCTATCGATTGACAGCGCAGCCGTCCCTCCTCCAGCTCCGCCTCCACCACTAGCAGGGCTGCTTTCCGTCTTTCCCTTCGCACGCGCTCCTTGGTGAAGGTATTGATTCGTGGTTTCATTTTCCCCCTTTTTGGGTAAATCTAAAGAAGCCGCATTATTGAAGCAGAACAAATATTATGAATGTTCTTCAAAGGGGCAGCAATAGTTGAAGAGGTTCACCATCAAGACAATGGAACTAAGGAGGCAAATCGAGATATGACAGGTATTGATTTTTTAATTTCAATATCTATAGAAATGATCTACAACTAAGTCACAACAGAAACATAGATTAACACATATGCTTTTGGCGTCTCAGTCTGGTTCCCCTGGAGTTCGGAGATCTCACTCTGGTTCGCGCCAATCCTTTCACGGAAATACTTACCCGGGCGCCCGTGATGGCGTAAGCACGTCGCAAGTCAGCTATCATACCGGTTATTGCATTTTACACCAATAATTCACCAAAAGCAAAAAATAATAGACAAATAGGCAAAAGGTTTTATCTGTTCTCTTTGGTTCTATAAAACTATTTTCTGCTATTTTTTCTCATTTGGTTTATTGGTTTTTACTATTTAGAATTTAGAATTTGCAAGTTAAACATCTTCTATATGTAATCAATGGCAAATAACACTAAATGATTTGCGGTTGAACTGGTTGTATGCTTTGGTGCTTATGTTCGACAATATTTGTTGTCTCAAAATTGCAACGAGATTGAATTTTTAGTTGTTCTAAAATAAAGAATGAAAATAGTTACATTTCTTCCATTATGTATTGAGCCAAAAACACTTGCTTGGTTCCTTTATCCTGTAAACATGATTTCATTATAAATTTTGATTATATATGCAATCATTAAGCAATTTTGGACCTTTCATTATGACACTAATATCTCCAACTGTATTGATTGATTTACTTCCAGTTGTTCGTATTTGTTTTCTATTAATCCAGTAATGGCTTCATTATGGGACAACGGGCGTGCTTTTATAAACATATTATATTGTGCAGAAATAAAATTCTTGTGTGGAGATTGCATTTACAATGGCGAAGAGGCATAAGAAGCGTGGGATTATACAATTCTTGATGAAGTAGGCTTAATGTTCTGTACGTCATGCCCTTGGTTTTGTATGCAACAAGTAGTAATTCCATATGAGTTCAAGTACTAATTTTGTACTCTTCCATTTTGAATGCAGAATTCTATTAGGGGCAGCTCACATTAATCAGGTGAGCATATCAATGAGGCATTTGGATAAGTGTATTTTCCAAACTAATGTTTAATATCCTATGCATTGAGATTTGGTTGTATATTTTTAGACTAATTTTTCTTTTAATCTTTTTTATTTTATTTTATTTTATTTTTATTTTACCTTATACATTGTTGCAGATCGAGTTTTAGGTGTGTTGCTACATCACAAGCAAGTCATCATTCGTTCTTTTCCTTTTTCAAGACGGAATTTTAGGTTATTTGGCCTTAATTCTTTCATTTTCTTTGTAGCTTTTTTTCATTGTCATGCATGTAGTTTGCCTGGGAAGTTTGGAGGACGTTGGAACTAAAAAGAATCTTGGTGTGATCCTTTCTTAGCTTAGCTATTTGTATGTCCATCTTAGTCCATGATGAAATCAATATAACCAACCATTTATATATAATATATATGTTTAGCTTTTGTTGATTTTATACTCTTTATTTTCTTGTAGTACAGTCTCTGAGATTTGGAAATTAAGTATTTATTTTACGGATCCATTTTTAGGTTGATGCGATGAGCGACCATAAATATATGTGATAGGTTTAGATTTATTTCCGGCGCTCCTATGGTGTCTATACTTGCTAATATGAAGTTTTCTATTTGATAAAAATAATATATTTGAAGTCATTTAACTCACTTTGTAGTCGATGCTGAAAATTTTGCTTATGCTATTTTGTAATTTCTCTAGCATGTGAATCTTTTCATCAGTTCTCTATATTAGGATATTTATTAGGCGTCTATTGAAATTTTGATAGCCCAACTCTTACAAGCATAAGTAGAACCCGGACAGTTTCTATTCCTTTACATTGCTCGACATTTTTGATTTAATACATGTTTTTAGACAATATTATTGATTTAGGTCCTACATATATCATTCAACTTGTGTTTATAGAATATTTAGTCTTGGTTTGGATTGTGCTTGCACACGTGCATAGACACTCAGTTGCATTTCAGCTGTCATTTAAGAGATCAGCATAACACCAAAAGTCGTAGATATGCAGCATATTTTTTAAACAAGATCTGAATATTGGTATCAAGCACCAAAGATTACTTTCTCCAACACATAGTTGTGCACCAAAAACCCTAGGGATGTCACAAAATAGGTGCAAAGATACTGAAGAGCAATGGATAATATCTCTAGGAACTGTGAGCTTAGATTTGTACATGATCTCACTCTTAAGATTATGTGTATTTTTTAATTAAGTTGTCTATGCTATTTGTATTTCAGCTTTTTTTTTTTGGACCCTACTCTATTCTTATTTCGGGAAATTGAAATTTTATTGTTTGTATTAGTGAAGGATGTCCAAGCCAGCAACATACTTCTTGATGATAAATATGAAGTTAAGTTGGGAAGCCTCAGTGAGGTTTGTCCTCAAGAAAGTGAAACTCATCAAAGGAGGATCTCAAAGTTGCTCCGTTTGCCCAGTAAGTAATTTCTTGCAACTAAATATAAGGACAATAAAACTTTCATTCTAGTTGAATATGGGCAGTACCTATATAGGCTTGCAATATAATTACAATTCTAAAATTCTAGTATTCATGTGTATATATGTGTGAATATTAATTTGTTGTCCAATAATTGTTGAACATATTTCCATAAGGCAAAAGGGTCAAATTTTATTTAAAACGTTGAAAAGAGTTGTCATGTTGTGCTAATAATTTTCTCACGGACATTTGTTTCTTCCCCTTATATTATGCTGGCACATTAAAGATGATATGAACAGATTGTTTGCAAGCTGGTATAAGCATGTGATCCGGGGTTTTCGAAAAGAAAAGATTGTGAATCTTCTAAGTAGTCTTAGTTTGGAAAATTTGATAAATTGTATTTCGTAATAATAATGCTTTGTGCAATTTCATAATAACAGTTATATGAAGGACTAGTGGAAACATGATTTGTGTTTTTTTTACTTAATCTCTTAATTCCAGGAGGTTTATGTGAAAGCATTGGGAAAGGGTTCTCTGTTGCACCATTGCACCATATCGGCAGATTCAAATTTTAAGGTATCTTGCTTCCATTATTTGAGAAGTTAACATCATATTTGACAAAAAAAATTTGACAATTTCAGGCTGGTATTACTCCCTCAGCCACGCAAAAAATTAGTACATTTTTTGCAAGAGAGAGAGTAATATATTTTGGGATGGCTTAGGCCGTTTTAAAATTCAAGCCCGATAGGCCCAACTTGATTTTGAATTGGGCTTGAAAACCAAAATCCACGCATGGCCCGGTTTCAAAATATACCGGGCCAAGCTAGGCTAGCCTAGATTTTAATTATACCGGGCCATACCAGCCTAGATTTTGAAATAGAGATCGAAGGATCTTTGCGGATCCCCTCGTCTCCACATAAGCTTTACCTACAAATTAAAAACACTTAAAAATAAGTTAGTATAAAATATAGAAACAAAATTAATGCATGCATGTCCCGGGACCGACGTAAAAATAAATCTATTTCTATATGCAAGATGCTAAATAACATTAAATGCATAAATGTAAAAGGAAAGGGACGAATTGTTCCCTATGATTTATTCGGTCGTCCGATCATGCGGCCGCTCCCTGTCGTATGCATCTAAGAAAATTAAAAATAGATATTAGTATATATGTATAGGAAACAACAAAATAATATTAAAATCACTTACCTTGGATTTGAAATCGAGATCGAAGGATCTTTGCGGATCCCCTCGTCTCCACATAAGCTTTACCTACAAATTAAAAACACTTAAAAGTAAGTTAGTATAAAATATAGAAACAATATTAATGCATGCATGTCCCGGGACCGACGGAAAAATAAATCTATTTCTATATGCAAGATGCTAAATTAAATTAAATGCGTAAATGTAAAAGGAGAGGGACGAATTGCTCCCTATGATGTATTCGGTCGTCCGATCATGCGGCCGCTCCCTCTCGTATGCATCTATAGGGATTTAAAATAGATATTAGTATATATGTATAGGAAACAACAAAATAATATTAAAATCACTTACCTTGGATTTGAAATCGAGATCGAAGGATCTTTGCGGATCCCCTCGTCTCCACATAAGCTTTACCTACAAATTAAAAACACTTAAAAGTAAGTTAGTATAAAATATAGAAACAAAATTAATGCATGCATGTCCCGGGACCGACGGAAAAATAAATCTATTTCTATATGCAATATGCTAAATTAAATTAAATGCATAAATGTTAAAGGAAAGAGGCGAATTGCTCCCTATGATTTATTCGGTCGTCCGATCATACGGCCGCTCCCTCTCGTATGAATCTAAAAAGATTTAGAATGAATATTAGTATGAAACAACAAACAAACAAACAGTAGAAACAAATACAAGTACAAAAATTAAACTACACACCAACATGATCGATCGATCAACGGACATATGGTCTGTCTGTATTATCGATCTAAAGAAGGGCAGTAAGTACATGTCATCCCCTCCCCTCCAAGAACTCAAACTTAGCAAAGAAACTAAACTACTCACCAACATGATTGATCGATCTACGGACTATGGTTTGTATTACAATCGATCTAAAGAAGGGTAGTAAGTACATGTCATCATCCCCTCCCCTCCAAGAACCTCAAGAATGAATTAAAAGTGAAAAAGAATCAGAAGTGGGAAAAACTCACTAGCAAAATGGAAGATAACTCACCAGATTGCTTTGCTGCTATTGCATCGATCGATCGAAATCGAAGCACTGCACTTGACCTCTTCCTTAAATGGATCGCCCTCCCTCCTATACCTCCCAAGCCCTGCACTTGACCTATGGATCGCCCTCCCTCCTGTAAGCACACCATGCCGCTGCCCCTACCCATGCCCATGCCCATGCCCCACCAAGAACCCTCCCCCCCGCTCGTACCCCATTGCATTGCATTGCATTTGCATTTGCATTGCAGCCCCAAAAATTTATAATAATGTATACAAAATCAAAATTATGAATATTTATAATGTATGCTTTTAACGGCTACTTACCTAATATAAAACTTACCATATATACAATTTCACATGTGTATATTAAAATTAAAATAATTTCTTTTTTTTAATTAAAATTAAAATCAAAATTATGCTTAACGGCTACTTACCTAATATAAAACTTACCATATATAATTTCACATGTGTATATTAAAATTAAAATAATTTCTTTTTTAAAAATTAAAATTAAAATCAAAATTATGCTTAACGGCTACTTACCTAATATAAAACTTACCATATATAATTTCACATGTGTATATTAAAATTGAAATAATTTCTTTTTTTAAAATTAAAATTAAGATCAAAATTATGCTTAACGGCTACTTTCCTAATATAAAACTTACCATATATATAATTTCACATGTGTATATTAAAATTAAAATAATTTCTTTTTTAAAATTAAAATTAAAATCAAAATTATGCTTAACGGCTACTTACCTAATATAAAACTTACCATATATAATTTCACATGTGTATATTAAAATTAAAATAATTTTTTTTTTAATATTATGTGTATATTAAAATTAAAATCAAAATCATTATGCTTAACGGCTACTTACCTAATATAAAAACTTACCATATATAACTTCGCATTTTAATATTATGTGTATATTAAAATTAAAATAATTTATTTTTTTAATATTATGTGTATATTAAAATTAAAATCAAAATCAAAATCATTATGCTTAACGGCTACTTACCCAATATAAAAACTTACCATAAATAATTTCACATTTTACCATTCTACCCTCCTATCTAATCTAATAAAAATTAAAATAATTTCTTTTTTTAATATTATATGTATATACATTTTTATATTTAAATTATATTTTATTGCTTCTATAAAAATATAATATTTTATTTGAATATACTACTACAATTACATATATTTATTTATAATCATTAATTTTATTATATTACTAATGGTATTTTAAATAGATTAATAATTTAAAATTTATTTTACTGGTGTATTAATTTTGTATTTTTAGTTTAAAGTAGTGTAAAAAAAAACAATACCCAACTAATTTGTCCATTTTAGTTGGGGCACGAAGTTTTAGGTATGATGTAATTAGTAAGTAATTAAAAAATATATTAGTAAAAATAATTATAGATTAAAATGACTTAATATTTAATTAAAATAAAAAAATTATAAATTATGAATTTTAAAATATGATTAAAGTGTATAATTATATTTTCAAAAAAGAAAAGAGCTAATTTATACGGGACGGACGGATATAGAAAAAGTGGACAAATTAAGTGGGACGGAGGGAGTAATATTTTATGTTAAACTATTATATTTTTTAGTGTATAAATTATATATTATATATTTTGTACAAAACTATATATATTATATATTTTTTTAATATAAATCAAAAATCGTATTAAAAATTTTTTTATTAGAAAACATCTAAGTTGGTGAAAAAATAAATAAAGTTCACGAAAAAAATGGACGTAAAGTTTAATTTATCATAATAAATAAAACTCGTGAAAGGATAATTATCTCATTTACAATATTAAAAATCCAAAATTTTCAATTAATTTGCAAAAAAAATTGGATTTGAAAGATATAAATCCCGGTTGTTTTATCAACCAAACATAGGATAAGATATGATCCAACAGGCCGATTATATATATATATATATAATGGAGGATGAATATGATCCAACAGGCCGATTATCCTCAAACATTATGTCAATGGATTCCCCAAAGAATCAGATATGATCCTCAAAACCGCTGTTGTCGAGCTCAAGGTGCCGGCTGGCGCCGGCGAGGCTATCTTGCTCAAGAATCTCTACTTGTATTGCGACCCGTACATGGACATCCTCCACGACAGCTACACCACCTCCTTCACCCCCGGCCAGATATTACTAACTTTTGAAAGGCTCGGGGAAAAACAAAAATAAAGACCCCTTAAAAAATAAATGTTGTATATTCTATGAAATTTAAATTGGAACTACTAGAGAAAATACATGGTTTAATCATCCTCAGACATAGGTTCGATAAACTGACTCACCAAATTCCCATCTCTCGTGTGTTAGTATTTATCTTGATTTCACTTAATTTCATCATTTGGATGTAGGTTTAGGAGCTGAATAAAATGTTAAGAATAATAAAATTTTGAATTGAAATAAAATAAAATTTTGATGTAATATAAATAATATTTGATACAATATTTTGAATGCAAATTGAACTTTTGACATAATATTTTTAAGGAAAACAAATATTTCATTTGATGATTTTGAAAGAAAAAAATTGATGAATGATGAGAAGTCCCGACCAAAACCTACCACATTGAAACATAATTTTGAAAATAATAAAAATTAAATCTAAAAATTAAATGTATTTGATAAGATGAAAATATGTATACATATAACATTTTAAAATAGATAATATATTTTTCATATAATAATTTAAATAAGAAATAAGGTTTGAATCACTTTGATTTTTTAAGAGAATAAAATTTTGGATGAACAACCACAAATACAAAATTAATAGCATAAGTTAAACAAAAGTCATTTTTTTTTTAAAACATGAGAATTTAATGCCATTACTTTTCGAGTACACTACAAAAGTCTATCTTTTCTTGTGGTGGATTTTGGGTGTTCGCCTCTTTCGCCCTGCTCCAGAATCAGCCTATTATATATATATACATGCATATATATATATATATTGAACATTAGTAAACCATATAGAATTTGCAAAACCGTTACTTTTTGAGCATGTGAAGATAAAATCTCGATCAAACGCAATAGATTACAAGTTAATTATCTATGTATATTGAAACAACTTATTTTTATGCGCAAATGTATTTATTGTTCATTTATGATTTTTTTAAATATTTTAATTATGTATACACCTGTGCATAGTACGAGTTTAAATACTATTAATAGTAAAAAGGAAAATAGAAGAAGAAAATGGAAGAAAATGAAAAGAGAAAAATTAGAAAAAGGGAAAAAAATAAAGGAAGAGGTGGAGAGCGGCCGGTTAGGTTTTTTTATTGGTAATAATTCTTGGATCGTCTTTCTCTTCTCGCGGATCGGATCGGTCGGATTTTCCGTTGCTTCCATAAGTGCAATGCATTCCTTAATTGTATGTAAATTATCCGTTATTGAATCGTTAAAAATATATTTACATTGTCGTCTTCTCGGCTAATCTTTACCTCGATTTAGAAAAGAAATCTGAAGCTGCAGAAACAACAATCGTTTCGGTTTCAAAATTTCAAATCCTTAATTTTATTTACCAAAAGAAATTATACAAAACTGATCTAATTTGTTTTCAACACATCTTGCTACAACCCAACCCGGTTCGAATATAGAAAAATAAAAAATAAATGTTAAGCTACTACAAGCCTATGTCCTTGCAACACCAATTAGGGTATCCTTATCTTAAAATCAAACTAACTCCCTTAGAATAAAAATAATAGTACCAATTATTAACTACAATAAGACGTTGAATTTAATATATTCTTATTAATTCATTACAATTTCATTAATGATATTAATTATTGCTCCAGGGCCTATATAAACCAACCAACCAACCAACCAAACCATATATACACACACACATACAAGACAACACAAAGAAAGGAGAAGAACGAGAACAAAGGTGGGGATGGGAGGGATGTTAACATTACCATTTACCATCGACTAAGAATACGACAACCCTGTTAGAGTGTATTATTATTATTATTATTATTATATTTATTTTTAAAGGTTAATTATATGTAAACTTTTGTGAATTTGGTTTGGTTTGATTTTCTTTAAATTCGTTTGCAAACATAAACGAATCAAGCCGAATAATATAAATATACTCATTTTATTAGCAAATGAGTTTGAACATTGTTCGCGAATGTTCGTTAAAAAGGACATTTTTAATCTTGTGAAATTGTTACTTAAAAATAAATAAGTAAATAGAATATTATATATATATATGATTAAACAAATAAAATAATACATCATACTTATCCAACCGAGTTAAATTGAACCGAATACAAACACTCAGTTCGAGTAATGAAATTACTTAACGAACAGAACTCAGACACTAAAAAAATAAAAAATAATGAGAATTTATTAATGAACAAAAAGAGATTAATTTTAGTCTTCTATGTAGTATTTCTTATCATACTCTACTCTGACAATGTTATTTTAGTGCATATGACAATATTTCAATATCATATGATCTTTTCAACGACAATAATAAATTAGATATATAATTATTTTTATATGAATTTTATTTACATGATTAAAATGATAAAGAAGTGTCAAACATGATATTAAAAATTCATTTATAGCTAAAAAAAATGATAATATAGATTCTTCTGATAGAGAGTACACTTATAATTAACTTTTAAAGTGTGTTTAACTTTATTTATTTATTTATATATGATATTCTATAAGAAAAAAAAAATAATTTAATTTTAATAATTAAATATTGGTTAATGAGATATTTTTTGTACAAAAGAAAAATAGTTATGAAGTACTCTGCTAGTTCAAATTCAAAAGTTTATATTTGTTTTTGGTAATAAAAAAATACATATAGATAATATTTTTTATTTTTTATTTTTTAATTCAAAATATCATTTTTACCATCTTGTCTATTATCATTTTAAAGTATTTTTTTTATTTTATAAAATAAAATCATACACTATTCAAAAATATCCTTAATTTTTACTTAAATTATAATGATTACGTGTATAATTACTTTGTACATAAATTTAATGCAAAAATTCTTATACACTTTTATTGATTAATAAAATACTATTATTTTTTAATCTATTATAAAAACTCTAAAAAACACCTTTGATTTGTGACATATAATAGTATTTTATTATTGAGTAAAAATATGTAAAATGATATTGTTATTTTTATTTTTAAGAATAAAGAATATATATATATATTTATAAAATTAAAGATATTTTGATATTTATATATAAGTTAATTCTTACAAAAAAAAAAAAAATTAATATTTTTTAACGTGATCCGAAAATAATGATAAAATAAATATATTAAGTTGGGGATGAAAGAGTATAACATTGGTTTAAAAGAAATATTAATAGATTAAATAGTATAAGTAGAGAGAGAAAGAATGTGTTTGTTTTTAAATATCTTGGTTGATTTTCATTGTGTTTTGAAATTTATTTAAAAATATCAAATTAAATAGTATATATATATTTTTAATATTATTAAAAAAAATATTTTTATATATAAAATATCATATCAACATCTACTTATATTATATTTTTTCCGTCCCAATTGATTGTTTGGGGTTTTGGATTTTGAGTTAGAATTTGAATAGTAAAAATTTTGAATTTGAATAGTTGTATAATGTGATGTTTTGAATGTAAAATTGATTTTTAGTATAATATAAAAAATAAAAAATAGGTGTTCGATTTGATATTTCTGGGAAAAAAAAAATGATGAACAGTGTATTTAAAATCCAATCCCCAAACAAACACCCTTAGAGAAATATTATGTGTAAAAAATTTTGATATTTTTATCATTTGACTTTATATATAAAAAAATTATATATATAATAATATATTTATAAATAAGCAAAAATGTAAAAATATTTTGATATTAATGTATAAAATAAATACAACGTACACTAATATTAATACTATATGTAACACATACATTTTATCTACTCAGGGTGTGTTCGTTTGGGGGTTTGGATTTTAAATTGGGATTTGAATAGTAAAAATTTTGAATTTGAATAGTTGTATGATGTGATATAAATAGGTGTTGATGTGATGTTTTAAATGTAAAATTGATTTTTAGTATAATATAAAAAAATAAAAAATATGTATTTGATTTGATGCTTTTTAAAAAGAAAAATTGAATGAATAGTATAAATTCAATCCAATCTCCCAGACAAACAAACCCTCGTAGTATTCACGTCGCGGCCAAACGCATAAAAACCTTTATTGAACACGTGGATCGTACGCGTGCAAGTGATTTCCCCAATCAACAAATCGCACAGTAACTTCATATTGTACATCTCCAGAAATATATTTCACATACTTTATTATTTCAATTTATCTCTAAGTTCTCACGTCGGCTCTCTCCTCCCATGGAAACCTTAGCTCGGCACAGGAAGAGCTTCCTTTGAATCGATCTTCGTAGAAGAAATAATTTCTGTCACATACTCAAATTCCACATCGATAAAACTGTCTATGAGTAAACAACAAAAGAGTTTCGTAACATAACAGATGGTACATCGGCTGAGCCTTTTCCGAAAATCATGAACCAAAATCGTGATTTCAGTTTTGTTTTAGGAGGCTGACGTTGTCACAGTGTGTGTTGGGACTCCCATTTGCGAATATATGAATAATGACTTAGTTTTCCTAACAGTTTGAGCTTTTAGGTGACCTGCACGGTATCATAACCTGATTAAGTCTCGAGTTCGAATCCCACCGGCTTAGTTTCCCTAACCGTTCAAACTTTTAGGTGAGACGATCATTCAGCATCCAACAATCGCCACGAGGTTAGACCGATGTTCAATCGAAATTTCATCCTCAATTTTAGTCGGAGCGACGGCCTCAAAATGGTGTGAGAAAACTTCTAAAATCAAGCCACCATGATTGATTTCACCGGAATCCATCCATTTATATTATTAATACAATTTTTCATATTTCACATAACAATACAGTCATTCAAAAATACAAACTAAACAAACTCGTATATGCTAAACAAAAAAAACACACACAAACAAAAAAACACAACCAAACAACTTTTGTCGCTAAACACTGATTTTCATTTAATCCCCGTATATATTATTATATTTATATCACAAGCATAAATTTCACGTTGTATCTATTTTTATTATATTTCTTCAGCCATACAAGCTTCTAGAGAGGCCGCCGCAACCACACCGCACAACCGCCTCCCAACCGCACGACGCCGTGGTCCCCCACCGCGCCAACTCATCATCCATACCTTCAATTTCAATAAATACCGCCACAAATTCGCTACGACGACGATGTACCTCACTCGACGTAGTAGGCGCCGGCGATGGACCGTATGGATTGGCCTGAGCCGATAATCCGCGTTCAATCGCTGTCAGACAGTGGACTCGCCGTCATTCCCGAGAGGTACATCAAGCCGCCGGAGTTACGACCGGAAATAGGCTCCGAAGTAGTAAATACAGGAGCTGAGATTCCACTGATCGATCTCGGAGGTTTAGATGACGAGAAATCGAGCATTCGAGAGACGACGCGGAGGCAGATCTCCGACGCGTGTCGCCGGGGATTTTTTCAATTGGTGAACCACGGAATCAGTCCGGATCTGTTGGACCGAGCGCGGCAGGTTTGGCGCGAATTCTTCCACCAGCCGATGGAGGTCAAGCAACGCTACGCTAACTCTCCGGTGACGTATGAAGGCTATGGCAGCCGTTTAGGTGTGGAGGAAGGAGCTGTTCTTGACTGGAGCGATTATTACTTTCTCCATTATCTTCCCTGCAACATCAGAGATTTCAAAAAATGGCCTGCTCTTCCAAGTTCCCTCAGGTACGTATCGATATATATATATATATGTATATGTTTGCCTGAATCTAACTTGTTGAGAAAATGAAATTCAAATTTCAAACAAGCATTTCGACGAACACCTTACGGTTTGAGTTTTCTCTGCACATCCAAAACCATATCCGTACAGCTCACAGGAGCATTTTTAGTTTACGGATTAGAAATTACAAACATCAATTTCATGATAATCCATCGTCTCCACGTTAGCATTAATTTTTGGAAAAAAAAAAGAAATTAAACTCAATTACCGTCTATAGACATGGATACCTGATTTTCTATTCTAGGGAAGTAATTGTAGAATATTCGGAGCAAGTTTTGAGACTAGGAGGCGTTCTTCTGAAGATTTTATCTGCAAATTTGGGAATGAAAGAAGACAGCCTCCGAAATGCGTTTGGAGGAGACGATATTGGGGCTTGCTTGAGGGTTAATTTCTACCCAAAGTGTCCGCAGCCGGAGCTCACCTACGGCCTCTCCCCACACTCCGATCCCGGCGGCATGACCTTTCTGCTGCCGGATGCAACGGTGGCGGGGCTCCAAGTCCGCCGCGGCGACGGCTGGGTCACGGTGGCGCCGACTTCGCACGGAATCATTGTAAATATGGGCGATCAAATTCAGGTGAACATTCGTTCCTTATTACCCTCCTTGTTTTTATAATCATTTTATATTAAATAATAATAATATGGCGATATATATACACGTAATTGCACACATATATGTTATTAATTATGATATTTATTTAACTTCTTAAGTTTGGAATTTACATATATATAATTTTATTAATTATATAAATTATAATAACACTAAAATTTCATTATTTCATGGGAGAGACAAGAGATTGTTAGAGAACAAAATCAACTACTTCTATACACGAAGAGATAAGCCTATGTAGTACCTCTTGGTGTGTTTATTCGTCAGATTTTGAGTTTTGTTTGGGAATAATAAAATTTTGAATTAAAATAGTTATTTGATGTGATACAAATATATTGATGTGATATTTTGAATATAAAATTAAATTTTAATAAGATATAATAAATAAAAAATATGTATTTTATTTGATATTTTGAAAGAAAAAAATTGTTGAAATAGTAAAATCAAAATCAAAGTATTACAAGTAAACACACGTGTTTTATACATAATGATAATAATGATAATAACACTTGTTGGGTAATAACATTTGTGAGGTTATTGGTTCAAACTTTGAGCCCTCTATGTTTCACACGCTACATACACTTAATGTGACTTATTTTATTGAGTCTAATTAATTTGTAGGGTATTAAATTTGATTAGGGGTTTACTCAGAGTCTGCTGGATAAGTAGTAGATGTGAAATTCCACATTAAAAAAAAAAAAAAAAAACCCTATTATTAGCATATTTTTTAAAATTTTTTGATATTATTTATTAATATTTTTTTTTAGAAATATCATATTTAATTTTTTCACTTAATTTTAATAAAAAAATATTTACTTTTTTTAAAAAATATTCTATCAAAATTGAGTACTATTTAAATTAAAACTTTAAAAATAAATAAGTAAATAAAAATCAAAGTCGATATCAAACAAACCCAGACATAATCGTTGATGGCCTTCATGTAACCAATTATTTTTAAAAGAGAACATATATAAAATAGTCTGAAAGGATCAGCATGAAGTAGCCATTGAAGTGATGCAAGGTTTTAATTTTTCATATTAAACTATACACGCCTAATACGACAATATTAAAATAAATGTACATGTGTTACATTTCATTATTATTTTAAATATATACTATATATTAAAATAATAATATAATAATTCAACCTTATCCAAATTCCCTACATTATTTTATAGATATATATCTCCTTATGTATACATTTATGTGCCTGTGTTTTAAGTAGAATTTATGATAATTTATTGCAAATAATAAAATATTTCATGGATTATTATAACTTATGGAATGGGTTCTTTATTCCGTAAATTTAATATATATTTTTTTAAAATAAAAGTATAGAAACGAAAATGGCCAATAATCTATATATAAACCTTACTTATGTTTCTCTTCAAATGTTTTTTAGGTTTTAACCAATGGAATTTATAGAAGCATTGAGCATAGAGTGATCGTAAATCCGAATCGACCACGCATTTCGCTGGCTTACTTCTACAACCCTAAGAGCGATCTACTTATTCAACCGATTAAAGAATTGGTGACACCGGAGAAACCCGCATTATATTCTTCCATGACTTTTGACGAATATAGACGCTACATTAGAACTAAAGGTCCTAAAGGAAAATCCCAAATAGAAGAATCGTCCAAATGTCAAAAATAATATATAAAGAGATATATATATGTTTTCTATGTAAATATCTTTGTCATTAGAAAAAAGATCTTGTAAAGTTGCTCCATTCATATGCTTATATGTTATCAAAAGTCAAGAATATTTCTTATTCCATTGTAACTCTAGGGTTTGTTTAATTAATTCTATTATTTTACTGTGATATATTTTTCTAAAAAATCATACTATCGGGTGTATCATTTTATATCATTTTTTCTATTTTTTAAAAATAATATTACATCTTTTAAATAATTAGTGTTTAATTTTTACATAAAATTTTATATTTAAATCACTATATTTCTCTCGGAAAAAGACACCATAATTATACTAATACACAACTATGTGTTTCAAATGGAAAGCATTAAATTATTAAATATATATGGCGATTGACAATTAATTGAGTGTGTTTATTTATTATACTACTTGTATTATTATTATTGAATTATTTTTATATAAGCTATAATATTTTAAAAAATTCAATATAAAATATCTATCTTTTTTTATTTTTTTACGGGTCCCAGCTCATGTCATTATGCGATGATCCAAACCTTTCTGGAATCCATCTGGCGGCTGTCGAATCCACCATTAATTTTCTATATATTGCAATTCGACCCAAATATATTCCAATATAAAAATAGCAGTCCAGTGAGTTTTGGGCCTAATTTGGGCCCACATCTAAAACACGGCCCATTGGCCCATTAATGCTTCAAACAACCCGAATTTTCGTTCTACCACGCTCCCATGCCGCTGTGATGGACACGCGCTGTTTTTAAAAATTAATTTTCACGCTTAATATTAATCGACGACAAACCCATCGCATTTCTTAGACTGTTCCTCCGTCGCCACATCGACATCTAAACGGAGCACTCGCCGGAGCACGCGGCGGGCGGCCGGCCGACCGAATATCAGCGCGCGTGCGGATATCGACTGCGGAGGTTTTCGTCTGAGGCGCAGTCCGGCTGATATCGGTGTTCGCATAGTTGACGATGGCGGAGCTGGTGGCGGAAGAAGTGTACGCGCCGCGGACGATACAGGTGTGGAGAACTCTTCTGAACTGGCTGGCGTTCTTTTCTCAGATCTTCGCTCAGATCCTGCGCGGCACACCTTCGGTTAGTGAGGTCCTGTCTTACTTCGGCTGGCGCGATGGCTCGTTGCTCTCTTCTGCATCGCCGGAGTTTAAGCCTCTGACGGTGGTTGAGCTCCCCGATTTTGTCGAAGAGACGGAGGAGGCACCGCGTTCCGGTGCTATTCCTGTTACCGGTGGCGGAATCGATGGAATTGACGGTGCTTCTTCTCTGGAGAAGCTGACGGTACAATTTTCTCGAGTTCAAACTTTGAATATTGATTGATCTGGATTTTGTGAAACGAGTCAAATAATTGAACATGAATTTGCTTGCGTGTGGCGAGTTTTTTGCACGTGGAAAGTAATAGGACGAACATCAACTCAGAATTCAGAAAGTGCTGCATTTAATTGTCTATAGCTGCGTCATTCAATCTATTTGCATAATGGTGCAATAAGGAGAAATTTCAATTGCAATTAATACGCTAAGCATTGATAACCTTGAATAATTGTTTAATATTTGTTCCGTTGTAGAGGTAGGAATCGGATGTAGGCCTGATGTAAGTGATGAAGAACGTCTACAACAGGAAGCTTTGTTCATCCATAGAAAAAAGGGATGAAGAATGGATACCTTAAGCCATTATTACTTGTTAGACCTCCTTTAATGTAGTCTTCTGCCGTATTCCACTCTGCTCGATTATGTTTACTAGATAAGGGTGATGTGGAAGTTGCATATCCAAGGAGATCTTGGCCTAAACAAAACCAAATTGAGTAAACCTTGTTTCAATATATCTCAGCCTAAACAATCGATAATTAAGGTGTTTAAGTGTGCAAGAAACTCTTTGGTGAAATTGGTAAGCTCTATACTGCAGGGACTTAGGTGGTTGCTCGATATCAGGTGTATATGTGGTTACTGAAATTAGTCGAATTAGAAACAATGAAATGATAATTGGTGATTGCCCTTTAGAATCACTTAAATGTGTGATGATGTCTCTATATATCTGGAATTGACTGTGTGATAGATATAATACCTTTACATTGTTACATTTTAACCTTTTTTAGACTTCAGAGTAGATTCTTTACCTTGTGTGATGAATTTGGCTAAATTATGGGATTTTTTTCTAATAAAAGCCAGAAAAGTTACAAAAATGCATTGAATTGTATGCTTACATCACACCCTTTTTGTGAAATTGTATCTATGTATACTCTGCGCAGGTGGTTCTCGATTTGGATGAAACTTTGGTATGTGCCTACGAGACATCAACTTTGCCAGCAATGCTACGTGCCCAAGCCACAGAAGCCGGTTTAGAATGGTTCGAACTTGAGTGCATTTCTTCTGAGGTGAGTTTCTTAATACTAAGCAAAACTTAATCGAATATCATATTGGATTTTCATTTCACAAACATTTGATGTTTCATTTTTCGCGGGGCTTCAAGGGAATCGAAGGCAAATCTAAGATCAGTCACGTGACAGTGTTTGAACGTCCCGGGCTACATGGTTTTCTAAGCCAACTTAGCGAATTTGCTGATCTTGTGTTATTTACTGCCGGACTTGAAGGTATACTAAGTTGGATGTTCAATTCACCCTATTAGGGTTACAAATTACGATCCATCTTTCTTTTGCAGGCTATGCTAGTCCACTTGTTGATCGAATAGATGTCGAGAAAAGAATCAATCGTAGGCTCTATCGACAATCTACCATTAGCACGTAAGTCAGTCCCCCATTCGATATATATCGAGCTCATTTCTTCATATCCTTAAGATTCATATACAAAATCGCAGGCAATACCGCGATCATGTGAAGGATTTATCGTCCTTATCCAAGAACTTATCCCGGATCGTCATTGTCGACAACAACCCATTCAGTTTCTTGCTGCAGCCATTAAATGGCATTCCATGCGTACCCTTCTCCGCCGGACAACCCCACGACAAGCAGGTACTCAAAACTAACAAAATTTACCCCTCCCTCGACTTTTTTGTCCCCTCGGTATCTCTCATTTGTGAAACCTTATCTGCTTACTAGCTTCTGGAAGTCATTCTTCCATTGCTTAAGCAACTTTCTCTGCAGAGCGACGTCCGGACTTTACTCTACGACAAGTTCCATATGCCCGAATGGTTTCAAAAGCACGGAATCACTACTCCGGGCTGGCCAAGCTGAGGATACGATCGTCGTCGTTCCATTACTGGTTTCGGAAAATATACACTTTAGAGGTAAATTATTCTCTTCCAAGCTGTAAATTTTTGGTAAATTTGATTGAAAATTACTGTGATTATTATGTAACTCTGTTGATAGGTTTCTCTGCATCTCCCATTGTTGTTGTTGTATATATTGGTGAATATTGTTGTGATTTTTTGTACCATACGTGTTCTTGATTTTAGAAAATATGTGTAGTTATGTGATGATTTGTGCATAATGTTTTGATTGATTTTTAAACAGTGCGTTACTGATTCCCACGTTATAAAAAAAAATAATTATATATATATATATTAATATAAGTAATATACTTGATTTCAATAAAATGTATGTTAACAGCACCTGCGTAACAATTCACATAATAATATGTTGTAGTATTCATTAAATTAAATCATGTAGTGTCAATTTGAATGATTCCCTTAAAAGATATAGTACTATTGTTTCATACAATAATTAATATAAAATACGATTTGAACAGATTTGAAATTTAAAAATATATATATATATACTATTTATAAATTTGTTTAAAATAAATAAATCAGAGTACATAAATGAACACATTTCCGAAATGGCAAAATCAAGTATAACTCTGTCACGTGTGAAATGCAGGGTTCCTAATGTTGACTCGAGAAGATTCCATGACTCATGATGATATGGCATCTTCTAGAAATATTATATATATATATATCTGAAAATTTATAACATTTTGTAGAATATATGAGACTATCATAATCTTAATTATTGTTGAATTCTAAATTCTAATTATTGAAACAAAATATAAATATATGTATATAAAAATTTTGAAAGGTCAAAATTGTTGCAGAAGGTGCTGAAAATAAAATTTGACCCTACTTGGGGGAAGGCCAATGTCAATTCAACTTTGTGTACTAATTTCACCAGCAATGAAGAAAAGCCCTTTTCTTGGAAAACAATTTATTTAATAATAATAATAATAATAATAATAATAAAGAATGGCATGGGATCCGAAATCTGGGCCAAAAGCAATGACACAAGTTTGATAGGTTAATTGAATAGTTTAATCCCATCAATTTAATTTTATACACACTATATATATAGTGTGTGTATACTGTATACACTATTTATAAAAGATACTATTACTTAAAAAATCAAATATACAATAAAAAGTCAATAAAAATATACAAAAAGAATATAATATTTGTTTTATTTTAAAAAATATATATATATTGACCAAACCAAAAACACAAAAAGAATATACCCACTGCCTCTGTCTCAAATCTCAATTTAAAAAGTATAACCTGAATTGTATGAATTTGTTGTTCTCGACACATAATCACATGGGCAGTTGCTGCCAAATATCAATTTCAAGACTACTTTCATAAAAAAAATAAAAATAAATTAAGCACAATAATTAATCAATTAATTGTATATATACATATTCTCAATTTCCAAAACATTGCAAATTTGGTTAGGGGGAGTTACATTAGAAGCCAAACCAATGCATAATTAACGGAGTAACATGTAGTTAGGTGTGCTTTGAATTTATTATTATTATTTTTTTTAGTTTAAATAAAAATGTATATTAATAATCATACAAATTTAAAAATAATTTATATTTCAATGAGAAAAAATATTTTACTGTAAATAAACAACACAAACAAATAAACTCTACAAATTTCAATAAAAGTCAATTATGATGTTAAATGTTGTTTTTCTATTTTTATCTTTATTTTTCCTATCAATACTAAATTAAGATTACATTTATTAATTAATTTAAAATTTCAAGACAACAGTGATTATTGTAGACTCTTGTTTTGGAATTATACTATAAAGTGAAATATGTAATAGTAATACATTGAATTTATATATCTATTATTACGTTAGATTTTAGAGAAAAAAATACTTTGGATAGCATATAATTAAGTCTAGAAATATATTATTTTATATTATAAAATATTAATTTAATTATTATTTAAATAAGAGAGATAAGAATCAGAATAACAAACCAAGATTATATTCTGCAGGACAAATTTTAGCATGTGGCCACACATTATTATTATTATTATTAATTTAGTTGATTCCATTTCCGCTTAAACCGCTGCAATTTTATTATTATTATTCTTTTAATTTTAAAATAAACTATTTAATTATTAAAATTTGATTCATATAATCATATATATAATTCTAAAACTTACAAATCTAAAATTAACAAATTACTGGCGTGTTTGGTAATACTTATTTTGTTCATAATAAAAACACACAGGAGTATAATTTAACCATTATTACACAAATTCAAACCAAACAAAAACAAACATATTCTGATATTCATTATTTAATTTAATTTAATAATATTCCCATGTCAATGACTTAGCAGAGCAGATTTGAAATTTCTTGGCAACGTAAAGGGAAAAACGCTTTTCCGTACACACGGTTTTAGTGCGGAATGAATGGCAAAAGCGTCATTTCACTTCACCCCAGAAGATAATACTAAAGTCGTGTTTTGCCAAAATGCGCATCATAGTTTGAATTAATTCGTAATTCTACACTCACATGAAGAATGCTGCAATTGGCAAATAACTATAAAATAAAATAAATAAATAATATATATAATAATTAAATATATATTTATATATATACTTTTTTATATTTGTACTATAGAATAAGCCCTCAGAAATTGACCGATACATACATACATAGAGAGCTTTTTTTCGTATTCAACGTCCGGCTCATTTCTAAATCCGCCTTTTTGATTCTCGCCGGAAAAGTAGGATGCGATACTTCAGAGAGGAAAAGGCGGGGAAGAGATCGACGGCGGCGGCGGTGGTTTTGGTGATACCGAGATGGGTGAAGGCGGTGTTCTTCTTCACCACTATGTTTGTGTCGTTGCTCGTGTTCTCGGCGCCCATTCTGCTCGTCGTCGCCGACGCCGTGCTTCCGTCGGCTTTATTCTCGGTCTCGCTTCCGCCGGCGTCGACGCTCTCCGTACATCTCCGGAACTACGACTTCCGCCGCTCGCTCATCGATGTGCCTCTGGTCTCGATCCTCCGCTCCGCCGTGATTTTCTGTAAGTTGCGCTGTGGAATCGATTAATTAGGCGAAATTTGGATTCGAAATTGCAATTGATTCGTAAGCCTAACTAACATGCTGTTTTCCGATCGGTGAAGGTGTCTACAGCTTCTGCGATCGGCCGGGGCTGTCGCGGGGGCCGTACCTGGCGATCACCACCGCCTGCTCGGCGGCGTCTCTGGTGTTCGTATCAGTAAAAGCTTCGTTCCTCCTCCTCGGCGGCGGCGGCGCCGGCGTAGGTGTAATCAAGGCAATGGAGGCTGCGATGTTCGCGTCGTCGCTAGGGTTTGCGATCGGACACGTGGCGGTCGCCTATAGGACGAGCTGCAAGGAGAGGAGGAAGCTTCTGGTCTACAAAATCGACATTGAAGCGGTAAGCCTGAGGTCTCCTCGTCTTTCAGGGCAAGGGCATTATAGTAATTTCATTTCATTCAAAGAGATTCATTTTGCAAGTTGTGTTGGTGGGCCCACCAGTATGTAGTGTGCCATGTGATGTGAGTATGACCAACAAACAATCATCCTGATCATGGGGCTGGCAGTTCTTGACCAGTCCCGGGACCTCAACTCCCCCCCACCCACAAATCTTTCTAGAACCTCCTAATTTTATTTATTTATTTATTTATTTATTTTAATTATCTCCTAGCCTGATTACTAGGGAATTGAATAAATGTCGTTTGGTAGAGGCTAATTTCAAGCTAGCTAGGGTTAGACTTAGATCAGTAGTAATGGTAAAGTTTCAATTTTTATTTACTTATTTTAATTTAAAAGTTTGACGATGATTGCAAAACTGCAGGTATCAGCATGTACAAAAGGGTTTCTAATCCACCAAAAAATACTTGAAGAAGCAAGAACAAGATGAAGGATATAATTGATTTTGGCCAGAAGGGTTCCAGGTAACAAAATGGGATCTTTTTCTTTATTTTATTGCAATGATCTGTATGATGATTTATTTATTTATTTATTTATTATAAATACTGAATTTGGTTTCAATCATCCATGTGTGATGATTTTGACAGGTGTCCAAAGGATTCTTGGAGCCTAATAGTAGCAGGATTGAAAATACCAATAGATGGATAGAGATTTAGATAGATTTTTTTTATTTTTTTTTTATTTTTGTGGGAAGTATATATATAGAGATACATACAAAATGGTTTATATCCATCCAATTCCAATTTAATTCCAGAAGTGTAAAGTGTTCTAAATTAATGGATGGGATGGATTTATGAACTACTGCAGGTGTTGTGTTAATACAAGCTGGCTGCTTGTGCTACCGCAGGGTTCGGGTCGGGTTTGGATTTGAATCCGAAATTGCTTAGATGCCCATTTATATATATATGAAGCAAAGATTTGTTCTTGTTTTGGTTTGTGTTGAGATGATATGATATGATATGATGATTCTTGAATTGGTGATTGCTCATTTACATATGGTCCTCTGAACAGATGATATTTATCTCATTGATTTGATAAAATTGATTGGCTGACACGTGTAATAAGTCGAACTAAAATGTTAATGTGCCCGAATAAATCACAATTATTATATATCTTGGTGAAAAATAAAATAAAATTTATGATTACATATGTGATTTTATTTAGAGTTTGCTGGAAGACTTGTGGCCATTTGTCTGCTGCTCATTCTTTTCCACTTCAAAATCATCACTTTCTCCATCATTCACTTGTACCACCTACCTCAATCAAGTGAGGGTTAGAACCTAATTAGTCATAATCAATATATAATACAAAAAAAAAAAAAAATAATCAATATCAAATATAATAGTACAAATTCAGGATATGAGTTTAGTTAATTAAATATAGTATGAAGTAACAATACATCATTATAACAATTCACCCATCATTTAATTCATTACATGTTGATTAGGGCATATCAACAATCTATAAAATATCCCACCTCAATCAATTACTAGTGTTTATTTGTGTTTTATATTTAAACCATTATATCTAAATTTATAATTTTATTTTTTAAAAAAAGAAAACGATTAAAACTAATAGTAAAAATAAGAATAATAAAGACATGGCAAAACATGCATAGAATCAAGTAATTGGAGCCTTACATTATTAATGGGGCTTTTTTCCATTTGGGTGTTGGGATTGGGAGAGTACAACTTGCCTTGATGATCGACTTGTACATTTTTGACATTTCTGCCCTCACCATTTTCCGGAGAGTATAGCTCTCCCTGCTGCACATCACCTTTCTTGCTGCTATGCATCATTTTTAGTTTTTTATTTTTTATTTTATAATTAATCAGCTTTGTTCAATGCCATTTTTATACTTCACAGAACAAGTGACAGGTGGACTGTCAGCCCTTTCACTTGTGCCACGTGTCAATTATGTCCTATGTCCAGCTCAGTCTTTCTTCATCTTTTGCGAGTAATAAAAATCCAGGATTTGTAACCAATGGGCTTATCTTCCAGCCCATTAAGAGTCACAAACGGTACGTTTCTTTACACTCTAGTTTGGGATTCTTTTTTACCGTAGGTTTGAGATCGCGCGGGAAATTTCACGGTTCGACAGTCTTTGACAGGGTTAGGGTGTAGGGCTGCAGCGTTTTTTGTTTTTTAATTTCTCACCACAAGCCAGAATTTGTATTCCAGAGGGAGGCAGAAATCTAGGGCGGAGAGTTGGCCGGCGTTTGGGGAATTGTCGTTCGACGGCAACAAGGCGATTAGACGGAGATTCGAAGCGAGGAGCGGTGTCTACTCAGATCGTCGGCCCCGACCTAACCGTGCGTAAAGTTATTCCCCTACTCTACGAAACAATGTATGCCTGCTTTAGATTACTGTCGTTACTTTCCGCGTAGTAGAAAGGTAGATCCGCGTTTATTTAGGTAAATTATTTTAAGATCTACATAATTTAGGCAGCGGCGATAGAATGTAATTTTCTTGCGAAGGAAGAAGTAGGGTGTAGTAGAAGGTTATACTTGTTGAGGTTATACTTAAGCCATGGTTTGTTAGGAGACAATACGCTTCGAAATAGATGTTCGCTTAATGGTGTTTTTACAGTAGGAACAAATACTACCACTTCAAACGAGAAAGGTATTACCCTGAGCAGCTGTTGCCTGTGGAACATTTCGAGTTGCTTTGGTTGTCTCGTTTTCCGGTTGTAGTCTCTTGTCCACGTCATTTCGTCGAGTAGAGGAATAGCTTGGCAGTGGGGGCTTCCATCATTATATTTACTACTGAATCCCTTGAAAAAAATGGGTCCTCTGTTACGAATCCTGACGTTGCTAGTTTCCCTATAGTTTTTCAGACTAAATCCTCTCTCATTAACATATATACGTGTGTGTATATAAGATATACATACGTATTATACATACACAGGTATAAATGTGTGCGGAGATAGATGGATATGGTTTATTTTTGGGACAAAAGATTCCATGGGATATTTTTTGAACTTATCTCTTTCTGCCGCTTCACTTTGCACAGAAATGTGTTGCGAATTGGACATGTGAACTATAATTGTACTTCACACACATCCTCTGGTTGCACTCAATAACGGCAAGTTCAAACCGGAGGTTTGGGATCAGATAGTGACACAGTTTCACGAGGAAACTGACTGCGAGTACGACTTGGAGCAACTACAAGGAAAGTTCAAGCGGATAAAAGCCTCGTACGGTCTACTGCGTGACCTTGTTGTTCGACAGACTGGGCTTGGTTGGGACTCAACGGCGGGCCTGATCGATGCGAGTGAAGCGCATAAGGTGACATGGTTAACGATATGCGCGAAATCCAATGATCCATTACTTTCTTACCAAATGGAGCATGAAAGTGATATACCCATTTCCTTAGGCACACCCCGGGTATAGACATTTACTGACGCATCCATTTGCCCATTGCCCATTTCGATTACTGTCACGATATGTTTAGAAAACAGTTTGCCACGGGAACTGGTACTCAGTTCAACGACGCACCTCCACAAGGCGTGGATACAAACGAGGGAACTGAGTCGTGATCGGCGGGCCCCTCAACGGTTAGGGGAGACGGATTCTCTACCAGTTCTTCAACGTCAGAGTGGGGGTCGGGTACCTCGTCGGTGCTGATCCGGTACAAGGTGAGATTCGCGACGGAGTTCGAGAGCTGCGGGCTGAACTTACTGACTACCGGAATGAGCGGAGATGATCCTTGTTCGGAGCTCAGCGTATTCTGCAAACGTTCACGGATCTCCCACAAGATGCATATCTCCGAGCAGCTAATGCAATATGTAATGTGAACCGTCGACTTCTCTTCCTATTATGGATCCCGGAGCTGCAAAGGATATGGGCTTTCTCATTGGTGTGACGCAAGGCAATGGCTTGTACGTTTTCACTTACTTCAAACCGATTCTAGCTACTATAACTTCCTTGCCATCTAAGTTGTATGACGCTGTTCTACTACTGTTGTTATTATGTTTGAGCTATATTAAATCGTTGTTTTTGGATAAATTATATAATACTTTTTTATATTTTAGTAAAATTACATAAAATATTTTGTATTTTATTTGTTGCGTGATATTCTTTTGTATTAATGCAAAATTAATATGAAACATCCTTTTTATCTAAAATTTTTGTTTAATTATCAATAAATACATAAATTAAGTTTTATAAAAAAATATATATAATATCAGTTTGTCAAAAAAAAAAAAAATAAATTAAAGAACGAATGATTAATCAATTATTTATTTATTTTTATTAAAACACAAACTACTACAATATAGTTGAGCCAATATCATTTTTCCAATATGTGAGTCTTGTCCTCAATGGCAAGTTCTTCCAATTGAATAATGATTATTGTGTTGGGTGGTGGGATTTTGCTATTTTCAAACATCACTACTTACTACTTACATTTCAGGATTGTCAAATGTCATACACATTAAATATCATGACATATAATTAAGGGTTTACTAATATTATTATTAACAAACAAGGTACCAAAACTTTATGGAATTTCAAATTTTTATATAAAACTTCTGTCTCATTAGTAAATAAAATTGTCACCGATTAGGTGTTGGTCAAAACTGTTGAATTTCATACTGACTAATCCAAATAAGTATTTAACTCTTCCCTTAAAAATCTAATTGATATGTAAAATAAAATAGTATTTCCCTTGTCTCAAATTTTATGTCCATATCGTCATTTTAGTTTGTCTCTGTCTTTCTCATTTTATTCATGTTTTTTTAAAAATATATATATATTTTAATTATATTTTAGATTTTTTTAAATTTTATTCAAAATTCTAACTCCAAACAAACACACCCTAAGATTATTTTAATTTCATTCAATACTATTACAGTATAAGTTAGTATTAAATTAAATAAATTTTATTAAATAACAATAATAATAATTCTTCGGAAAAGGACCACAAGGCACCACCCACGCACCATTTTGGTTGATCAGAATCAGAGCAGTAAGTCGTTTCTTTCTGTTGTGCCGTATGCTTTTGGTTTTCCTCTCTCTCTCTCTCTCTCTCTCTCTCTCTCTCTCTCTCTTTCTGTTCTATCCATTTCTTCACGCCGAATCAATCCGATTCTACCAATCTCTCTTCTTCTTCTTTGATTGTTATTATGCTATTGTTTTGTTTCTTTGATTCGATTTGATTGAGTTTCTGTTGTTGTTTTTGTTTTTGTTAGGGGTGTTTTAGAGAGAGAGAGAGAGAGGGAGATGGGGAGAGTGTTTGTGTTAACACTTGAGGGGAAGATCTACAGCTGCAAGCACTGTGGAACTCATCTTGCTCTCACCGACGACGTCGTTTCCAAGGTCTGCACGCTTTCTCCTTTTCTTTTATTTATTTATTTTTAAATTAAAGTAAAATCGAGGATAAAATGAATTGATTATTTGTTCTCGATCTGGTGTGGAATTATTTTTGTGTGTATTGCTGTTGCTGTTCCCATTGATGATTATGATGATTGTAGTTTTGTTTTATTGTACCAAAAGATTGATTGATTGATTTCAAAGTCTGGACTAAGATCCAAAATGATCTTTGGTTTGAAAGGTTTATTACTATTATTATTGAAATCAAAATTATTGATGATTTAATTAGTTCATAAAGATTGTTTTTGGCTGATAGATTGTTTTTTTGGTGGTTCAGTCTTTCCACAGCAGGCATGGGAAGGCTTATCTCTTCAGCAAGGTGTAAGTTGCTTTTATTACTTGTAAAATTTGAGGAGCTTTTCCATGGATGTTGCCCAATATATACACACATATATATATATATGTATCTATTTGGTAGAAAATTTCATTAGAATGGTGGGCATTTTCGAAAAATTTTGTTGCCTCCAAAACTGTTGTTGTTATTCAGTATTTTGGTGTTATTCATCTCGATTATCATTCATCCTAATCGCGGAGGAAAATGTATATGTATGTATGACTTTGGTAGAGAGTTGCATTAGAATGGCAGGCATTTTCGAAGAAATTGTTGCCCGGAAAACTGTTGTTGTTATCCGGTATTTTGGTGTTCATTCATCTCGATTATCATCATTCATCCTAATTGTCGAGGGAATTAGTGTTAGACTTCCCTACTAGTGATCCCCTCCTTTTCACTGAATCTTTTAGGGTTAATGTAACTCTCGGCGAAAAGGATGAGAGGATGATGATGACGGGATCACATGTAGTCGCAGACATCTTCTGCGTCCAATGTGGTTCGATTGTTGGCTGGAAATATGTAAGAACGATTCTACTATGCATTGCCCATTTGTAGCAGCAGATGTTTATGGATTTTCTACAATGATCTTATATAATCTACAGGAAACTGCGCGGGAAAAGAGTCAGAAGTACAAGGAAGGGAAATCAGTTCTCGAGCGGTCTGTCTTTCGACTATCAAACACTTTTCTTACACTAGAGACTTGTAAAGAATTATATTCGATGTTCTGAGATGGATGGTTGGTTTGTTTTGATTTTGAACAGGTTTAAGATATCGGGACCCGACGGGAGCAACTATTGGATCAGCCACGGGGTGCACATCGGCGGGAGTGACGCCGACGATGGTTAGTTGGGGGCTCGAAAAGACATAATCAAGTGTACATTCTTATCACAATAATAATAATATGTACATATCTGATTCAGCAATTTGTGCATTCAAGAACTGGATTTTTAGCTATTGAACTTTGTAACAAATCACATTCTTCGATCCAAAGATCGATTAAATTACTCATGTCAATACGAGTAACATTTCCATTTAGACACATTATATGTACAGAAGTGAAAAGCTTCCAGTTTTAGACAACAGGAAAGAATTGAGTGTCTGAACGGCGGCTGAGATCATGCAACATGACTCGGCCTGGCCATCGAATCATGTCGACACTCGGAAATAAACTACGAGTGCTTATTATACAAAGGTGCAAACATATGACGAGAGGGGTCGTGAGGCGAACCTGGTACGAAGACAAGGATGGATGTATGTCCGAGAATGTATCATCCGAGGGAGTAAACCATTCGATTGGAGAGGTCTAAGCCGACCACGTTAGCGTATCTCTGTAACTGGACTTCGAACGACTCCCTCTTCCGGGGATCGAATGCATGTTTTACGTCCTGCGAGAAAAAAGCCGACGAGGATAAATCAAACGTTGTATCGAAGGATAATGTGGGAAGTTTCGGGGGACTTTTAACGTACTTGGTATCGCAGACGATTGCCTCTTATACCGAGCAGAACATTGCTGGTGTCGACATCCTCCGGCGCACCGCTAGCTTCACAGTCCGATTCGCTGTCGGAACAATCCGAGTCGATTTCCGTCATCTCGTCGTCGTTCACAAGAACATCGTTTGAGGCCTCGTCGGGAAAGGAGCTTTGATGCTTTTCCTTATCGGAAGCAACATCGTATGATGATTGCAACGACTCTCCGGTTTGTAAAGAGCGCCAATCGGATAAAACCACATATTTTTGTCCGTCGAGCAACGGCTTCGCAATGTCGTACGGAACCCACCTGCATAAGAAAAAATCGATGACAGGAAACTCAAGCTCGACTACGTAAGTATTGTGATATGAACTCGAATAGAACTTACTCGAAGCGAAGGGGGCAGAGGAGCTCGGACGGTTGATACGAAGCTTTGTACCTCATCTTGCTGCAGGAGTGAATGTAATAGCCGAGATAATAGTACTGGAGGGTCGGGCATCGTAGTTGGCTCTCACGGACCCATTGAATTTCTTCTAATGCAGAATACTTGCCGAGCGATAAGAACGCCAAGTCGGGATCCCAAAACAAGTATTTGCTCGACAAACATTTGGGGAGGATATCGATGACACCAACAGCAATAAGTTTCCCGTCCAACACATACTGCTGATGGAAAGAGCCGAAGCCACAAGGAGGAATGTCAACATCGCTGTCACCCGTTGGTTCAACGTACACTAAAGGAGTGTCGACTAGAAATCTCTTGTACGAACTTTCGGTGACTTGCTCAGGCTTGTCGTTGTGGACTTGAAGCTGGTATTTCCTGTATAGAAAGTATTCTTCGGAATCGAAGGTGGATCTTTTCATCAGAATCTCGAGTCTCTTCCGTCTGCGTTGAACACTTCCACCCGAGCTTTCCTCTACAGGTGTTGGAGATGGTTTCAGTTTTGTGATTTTCTCGGCTTCGACGAACTCGGCTTTCTTAGCTGTAGAATAGAAATTTATGTGTCCATTGCACGCTCTTGCTGTCAAACCACAAGTTCCCAGCTCCTTCAAATGGCTAGATAAACTTTCGGCGATCATTTTAGGAGAAAGGTCGGTCGAGTCTTCATTTTCAGATGATCTCCCATTGCCGATATCTTTCTTCAATCGCTTTAGAGCGGCTGCAATCTGAAAGGCGATGTTGCAAGAGAAAATGAGTTCTTCAGACATTTCTGCGTGCAACTTCCTTTTAGCTGATGCAACTTTTCTAACGGTAGCAATTGGCAAATGTACTTCGGATTTAATGTCCATACACTGGATGTATGATTTTGCAGCATTGTCGACTTTTTCAGACAAAAGTTGCATAGTCTGCTCCGATTTGTCGTTGCCATCACGACCAACTAGACATGATTCCATTTTAGCAGAACTGTCTCCTTTATCGCTTGCATTACTACATGATCCTCCATAAGTATTTAGTTCAGCATTTGACTTGTCCAGCTTTTGTGCATCCAATTTGCCGTCTAGAAACCTACAAAAGACCAATCCATCAATTTTCACCTGCCGGAAACTTTGTCTCTATTTAAAGAAGTAACATGTGATTGCCAGGCAAATAATTGAAATACTCAGAAGAGAAGAGAAAAACAAAGGGCCTTGGAGCTTGAACAGAAAGGAAATTAAGTCGATTGTCAGGGGATGAACAAATAAATCCAGAAATTCAGAAGGGGGTATTGTATAAAACCCAAAACTTCGAGTAACATTTCCCAAAAATGAGAATATTTCAGCACATTCTGTGACGACACAAATTACCAATGCTCATGTCATGCTCATGGATCAAAAATATGTCGGCATGCCATAGTCCACATACCTTTGCATCTTCTTTTGTACTCGAATTTGCTCTTTAGAAGAAACAAAATCACTAGCTTTGAGACGAATAGTATATGAGGGGCAGCAAGTTTTCTTCATGTCTGGTTTGTACAAGAAACAGCCAGATCTTCTCCAGCCCCTGTCGAGAAGAGCTGCAAAGAAGTACGAAAATCCTCTGGTTTTATTCAAAAGATATTAGAGATAAGCAAATAAAGCAATATAAAGTGCATAATTTTTGGGATACAGGGATCTTGGTCAAAGAGAACTTGTGATGAACTAGCAACGAAAATTCATTCAGAAAAATAGGAATGATCTATGATAACCTACAAGTAGCTGTGAAATATGCTTATTCAGAAAATGATAATTTCTAGAATTAATGCATTCCTAATTTTGTTCCGGGGGTTAGCACACAAACTCACTCACATACAGATAGAACATGCCATCAGATTTATCAAATTATGGATTAGCATCATCCCAAACTAGGAAATAAAATAAAATACATGAAAGTAATATGCACAAAAATGTTATAATCATAATCAAAACACTGATTAAAAATCAAGCAGACAAATTACCTAATATATATAATTTCAGAAAGGAAAAAAAATGAAGCCCTGAATAAAATATATGGAAATGGAGCCAGGGCACTAACCTTGATAATCATCAACGGTGAGACTCTCTGCCCATAGCCCTAAAATCAGGGAAAAAATAGTCACAACAGAAACTATGAGCAGGGACAAAGCATAACAAAGGGATGATACCACTGCATTCAGCAGCAGGCAAACGAACCAAAAGATATTCAATTACTTATGGGTGAAACATATAAAGACATGAAAATGGCAGCTAGCAACTTAATAAGTAGCACATCCTTGCAAGACAATGTTACATTAATAACAGAACATAAGGAAATGAAGTGATCGTGGATAAAAGCTTGTCTACACTTTTTTAAAGATAGCAATGTAAACCTCAAGAATGTGTGATTCCGCCATGAAGAAAGACACTAGACTAGAAAAGACAACACAGCAATACAGTAGAGAAACGTCCATGAAAACCTTAATTCCAATTACGAAAAACCACAATTGAAAAAGGTTCCAATTTATGTTTGATCCAATCTGACATCGAAAATGTTACACTCAGTATTGTTTGCTCCTTCCAAATTTCTATTCCTAAGATGATGAAATTCAAAGTTCCAATTTTTGGAGAACCAGTGTTGGTATGTTTCTTTGTAGTTTTCAGATATTTTTTTAACATTACAAAATACGAATGAACAAAACATGTGAATATAATAAAAAATGTAATGTAAACTATCATAAACTTTCTCACAAAGTAAAAGCACAATGTTTCCACATACTCAAGAATCCATCCAACTTAGCGAAAGTGTATAGCTCAACAGATCATCAAATTCAAAATTATCCTCACAGATATTATAAAATTCCCTTCGAATAATTCAACTGTCAGATACAAAGTGAAAGAAATCACAGCAAAACACGCAGATCCATTATTCATTCACAAACTCAAACTTCCTCATATCAAAACAACCTAGCAACAAGATTATCATCAACAGGCGACCAAGTAACACACCGCAGAGCAGAATTAATTGAGGCGCCAGAGACTTACCGTGAGATATACTCGTGTAGGCACCAGATTTACAGTAGCCACATGTGCTTTTCCTGCGGCCAACATCTATCACCATGCTTTCGCCTCTGACATCATTTCCGCCACCGCCGGCGCTGCCGCTGGTACTCGCTCTGCTTCGCGACGCCATCACCGGATCTTCACCGATTAAATGCAACACTGTGCAGCGATCTCGATTGCGATAAGTCTCGCGTTTATCAGTCGGGAAAATTGTCCGCAAGAACTCCGCTGGTAAATTAATAGACGCTGCGGAAGGAGTGGTAAATTGTCTTTGCACGATTATTTATTTATTTTTTTTAAATGATTGTTTTTTTTTTTTAATTATTATTATGAATTTACAAATAATAAATGAATGACAGGTAAAAATATAAAATTTACGTTTGAAAAAAATACAATTATAATTATTGGACATCTCAAAGTGTAGGATATTTGTTTATGTACAGGGACACTATTAATTATTATTATTATTATTATTATTTTAAATTTAGGTTTAGTACAAAGAGAGGTATTTGTGTATCCAAAGATTTGACTCGAGTTGTTATTACTTCTCGTGCTCTGTTAAATTTACGTTTAGTTTTATATTTTTTTTGTTTATTCATAATTTAAAAAGAAAAAAAATGTCTACTATAAATTTTTATATTAAAGTTAAAATAATAATATTTTTTTATTAATAAAAAAATATATTCAAAAATTTACTTGAAAAAAATTACTATTTACTAATAACTTCAGTTACAGTAATAACTTCAGTTACAGGCCCAACCCGGCCCGCAATATATAAAAACGTAATATACAGAAGCACAAAATCTTAAAGGGCGGCTATGTACTGGGCGGGTTTGGGTCAAATGGGAAACCCGACCCGCAGGCGCAAGCCATTTCCATTTAAACTCCCATTCCTAATATCCATTTGTCAATTGTCTGATGGCGCCTTGCCGCCGCCTTCTTCGTTCGCCATTCGAAACTACCTGGTGTCGCCTCCTACAACTACAAGCTATGGCGATATCAAGATTGTAAGTTGAGTCTGTTCCACCTTTTGAAACTCTACTGTCGAAAGAGAATTGTAAGGATCGATCAAGCATTGACGGCGATCTTTGACTTGCTGTTTTGTTATTTTAATTTGAGCGTGATGTTTTCGTGGATAAAAGTGAAGAAATTGTCAGAATCGATCAAGCATTGACGGGGATTTTTTACTTGATGTTTTGTAATTTCAATTTGATCGTGATGTTTTCGCGGATAAAAGTGAAGCAATTGTCAAAATCTATCAAGCATTGACGGCGATTTTTTACTTGCTTTGTTGTTATTTCAATTTGATCATGATGTTTTCATGGATAAAAATGAAGCAATTGTCAGAATCTTTCAAGCATTTTCAGAAATTTATTAGCGTGTTTACTATTTCATTTCGTGCCTTCTAATGAAAGAGTATATGATGGAATGATTTGGGAACAACATACATACAGATGACTGAAGGTTGATTGTTCATTGTTGTATTTGATTTTGCATAAGTGGTTCTCTTAACGAGAACATCTCCAATCATTCCTTGTTCTTCAGAGAAGATCACGGGATTCTTCTCCTAATTCAACACTTAACAGACTGCATACAAAAAGATGGAAGCCCCAAAGTTGATCGCTACTCTCCAGAATACCATCATCTATTCATCTCAGGCCTGCAGGTGCTATGCTAAATTGCTAATACACTCCATGTTCATAGATTACACATCGAACTTCTTAGGGTATATGTTTCCTTTTATTTATTAAGATGTTCTATATAGAGATTTTCACATGTAGCCTCTCAGCTATGACAGATTGAGCTTGAAGACACTCTAAAGTGATTAAAGAAACATTATGACTGTGATGATAATCAATCAAGTTCACGAATTTTGTTGGTAGAACAAGACAGTCCATGAGTGTTCTGAATTGGCATCTGTAAGGAACCAGAATGCGGTGAATCCTGCTGCTTTGCCTTCTGCTCTGAATGAGATAACAATGGCTACCCATGGTGATATCTCAGATGCCCTAGGAAATCAGTAGAGTTCAAATGCTGTTTGAAGATTAAGACTATTGAAGAAGCATCAAGATTGGAATCAGCTGGTGCTGCAAAGTTGTATGAATCCAAGGGCAGAGCAAATATAATGGAAGGATCCGTCGGGAAGTTCCGGAATGATTGATGTTAAAAACTGTTAATGAATTGAGGGATGAATGCTTCCAGACCAGAGCTCAATGCAGATTGAAATGCACACAAATGTGTATTATAACTAGTATGATTTGAAGCTGCAAGAATCCATGCTGAACTTGAAGAATTGGATGCAAAACTGATTGGGTTCTTGTAAGAACAGTTTGTACCAAGTGGGGCACTGCAATCATTACAAACAAACTGAGAAAAATTGAAGTAGATAGAACAAGAATCAAGGAATTCAAGAAGAGATATGGCAACATGTTGAGAAAGATCTTTCAGGTACCATTCTCTCTGTGTTCATCTTTCAAGTTAAAGCTGTGTGATTTAATATGATTTGAATAAATATACTATGTATTTTGGAATTTATTATATTTAAATTTAAAATATATAAATGATTTGATTATTATTATTATTATTTTAATTTATTGATAAATAGTTTCGAAAACATCAATACAAAACCCTACTATTACGTGGGCTTTTATATAAGCTTTTACAATTATATAAAAGGAAGGGTCCCTGTCCGGTCCAGTTATTTGTTGCATTGTGTTTTTTTCGAAAAGCAGGAATGTTCCGGCTTGCAGAGTCGAGCGTCTCGCTCTCGCTACTGGTTCATCTCCTCGAACACAAGTTCGGCAACCATGGGTATGGATTTAGATCACGATTTTTCTTTCCTTTTTCTGTTTTTGCGTGAAATTATGGCCCGCGGTCGCTGAAATTTGTTGTTGATTTACTTTTAGGGATTTGAATGTTGTGGTTTTCGTTCCTTCTTTTTGGTAGTAACGTTTTGCAATGTTCCATAATTTCGAAATATTGAAATACTTGGTAGTGATAACTTATAGCTTTGGATCTGGAATGGATTCGTATGAACATAATGAATCATTTGTGTGAATACGTGATAGCTTCTTCTTGAGATGTTGATAGTTTCAGAACATATATAATGATTTACTTGTGTGAATACTTGATAAATTCTTCTTGAGATGTTGGTAGTTTAAGAACATATATAATTAATTATTTGTATGAATACTTGATAAATTCTTCTTGAAATTTTGGGTGACTCTCTCTCTACGATTCACCTAATCGCGGTTTAGGGTTTATTTTTCCATATGTTTTTTTCGTATCGTATACTATATAGTTTTGGATCCGGAATGATTGACGAACTTACTGTATAGATTTAGGAGGATTTCTATTTGGGTATTCCATGGATCCGCAATAATTTTACTAGTGTGTTTCGATTCGAGCACTATGTTTGGGTATGTTTAAGTTATACGACTGACTGTAGATATTTCTTTCCCAAAATTATACAATAAATATATCTTATTGAAAGAGAAGATATTTATGAAAAACATTATGAACATTTCCATGGCTGTGTCTGTATACAAGCTGAACTTCTGATTGTTGTATATGGACGGAAAGGTCATAGACATTCCGTCACTCTTTGCCCCCTTTAGGCCATTCCAACAATTAACTTCATTATACCCAAATTTTGTTCTCTAAATAAAATATTTCACATATGCAAATAAAATATTTCACATATGCTTATTTTGATGTGATATTGTGAGAGAAAATTGTGTATTTTTATTGGAAATTATGTTGGGTAAATAATGTTTATTTAAATTTTTGTTTAAATAATATTTCACTAAACTTCTAATTATTTAGATGTTTACTCAATATATTTGGGCATTTCAGGTGACTGGGTATGTAGTTCTCGCTTCTCTGATATTTGTGGTATAAAAATCCCATTTATTATTACTATTATTATTATTTTCCTTTTCCCATTTACTTAATTTTTTGCATGTCTAAGTTCTTGTTGTTCTGCATGATTTGAAGTTTTTCCAGCGATTACATCATAACTGGAGGGTTGTCTTGACAAGTTTATCAGATCAATTATTAGCGGGAATTACATTATGCAAATATTCCGTCCTGTTCCAAAAAAATGGCTCATTAAAACTTTCAACCAATTTAAGTTTGCTAGTAGCAGATGATGTGTTTGATTGAAAAGTTTGTACCTGAATTGACTTACCACCTGTTTTTCAGAAGTGGATATCAGTCATGGCGATCGGTTCTTACCTTGCAGCAGCAGCACTAAAGAGGTCCAGGCTAGTGGGATAATGATTGTTTTTATGATTCAATCTCATTTCTGCAGCGTCTTGATGGATATATCATTCATCTATATATTGCTACTAGGTCATCGATGATCCATCGCCAGCCAACACATGAACCGAAAATTCATAAAGAAGGTACTGACTAACGAGTTTCCATGAATGCTATGCTAATGACAATGTGTGAGCTCAGTAACCAAATCAGTGCAGCTCGGAAACGGAGGCTTGATGATGATGATGGGAACAAGTGTTTCTCTTGAAGAAAATTATATAGAGGTGGTGGGTGTTATGTGTATTTTTTATAGTATTATGTTATGGCTGCCATTTTTATAGCTGATGTGCCATAGGTTGGTTATTTACACATGTTTATATTATTATTAATGTCCTCAGAAGCCCATCTGATACTGATAGGGTTGTATAGAAATAGAGGGTAGAGAACCTATTATTCATTTTTTTATTCTTCTTCAGGGACAATAGCTTTAGTTTTTGCTTGGATAGTTATTTTGCTATTCGTTAAATTAATAAATATACAATAATAATAATTACAACCTAACAATTAGACTGAAAATGGAATGGGCTGGATGGGCCTTGGTGGGCTTGTCGGGTCACGGGTGACTATTGTGGCACTATCAGATCATTCATGCCCGACAGGCATTGACCAATTGCACTTGGGATTGTCCAGTTAGACCAAACAGCACGTGGCCCTGTCGGGTCTGAGCAGAGAGCATGTGTATCTGTCGGCACTTGACCAACAGAATTTGGGCCTGACATTACATTGGGCCGTGAAGGTAACCACTGCTCGTGGATCTGTCGGGATTTCTCGGGCAGCACGTGCTTCTGTCGGCGTGTGTGCGACATTCAGGTGAATTTTAATTGGGCCTGTGCCGACATCTCCATTGGGCCTTATGGGCCGGGAGAGAACCGACACTGGGCTAGATGGGCCTTGACAGCTACACGTGGGTCTGTTTGGATCTGAGCAGGCAGCATGAGATCCTGTTGGGTGCTTGGAGACAAATATTGGGCCTGTTCAATGGGCTTCCGCTGACATTACATTGGGCTATATAACCCACACAAAAACAACATTTGGGCCTAATGGTCCAGGACCACTGCGCGTGATTGGAATTTAGTAAGCAGACAGCATGTGATCCTGTCGGGTGTTTGGAGACAACTATTGGGCCTGTCAAATAAACTTATGTTGACATTACATTGGGCCATATAGCCCAGAAAGGAAAAACATTGGGCCTGATGGTCCATTACCACTGGACGTGGGCTTTGGCAGACAGCATGTGCTTCTCATGTGATCCTGTCGGGTGTTTGGAGACAGCTATTGGGCCTATCAAATAGACTTATGCTGACATCACATTGGGCTCTATAGCCCACACAGAAAAAAATTGGGCCTGATGGTCCATTACCACTGGACGTGGGCTTTGGCAGACAGCATGTGCTTCTGTCGGCTGTTAAGCGACAGCTGTCGCGACTGAGTGCACCTGGAGAGGATTTAAGGCAGACAGCACGTGCTCCTGTCGGCTCGTTGGGCACAACGTTTGGCCTATCGAATGGGCCTACACTGACTAAATTGGACTCAATTGAGTTTGGGCCCAACATTCAATTGGGCCTTTTGGACTTTCGGCAAACAGCATGTGCTCTTGACTGCTGTTGTATAGCAATCATTGGGCCGGTAGGAAACTTATTCTGCAGGATGGGCCTTAACCAATGCAAGTAGGTCTGTCGTGCTCTTGGCAGACAGCACGTGGGCTTGTAGGGTCTCTGTCGACCGCACACGTGAGCATGTCTGTAATGGAAGAAAAGTGAGCGTATTGGATGGGCTTCTGCAACCTAATATTGGGCCGGATGCTCATTATACACGGGCTGGTCAAATGCGAATGGCTTTTCAAAAAAGCATGCGAGCACCGGCTCAAGACGTAGATATTATTTACATTCACATTTTTTTATTATTATTATTTTTTTTAAGTTTTTGACATATACATAAATTGTACATTTTTTATTTTTTATTTTTTTAACACGCGAAATAGCGCACTAAGTATAGCCATCGAACCTAATAGATCAATTGTACTCTTGTTTAAAAAGAAAAAAAGTCAAATACATATTTACTTGTCACAAAATATTATCACCATTTTTTATTTTTTATTTTTCAAAAGAGCCTTATTTATTGGTCACTTTGTACTCACGAGAAAAATTAAGGGTGAGCATTTGAGTTTTTGGTTCGGATTTGGCAACGGAAATGAAAATCCAAAATCCAAATTAAAAAATCCGAATTAAATAAAAAAATTTGAAATTCCTTTTTTTTAAAAAAAAAATAATATTTAGATTTTTATAATTATTTTTAATATTATATATATAATAAATAAAAATAAGTATATTAAAATATAATTAATAATTTTGATTTTTTATTTTTATTAAAATATTAAATATACAATAAAAAAGATATATTAAAATATTATATTTCGAATTTTTAGTATACTAATTCGAAATTATAAGATTTTCAATCCGAACCAAATTGTAAATTTTGATTTGGCCCTGGATTAGATTTTCAGATTTGAGAAATTTTGGTCATCCCTAGAAAAATCGAAACATCCTCGTACATTGCCAGTATTGTATGATATCATACCAAAAAACCTAACCATAATATTAACATGTAATAAGACACCCAAACCAAGCAAGCACACACTAATTGCCAGCATGATATAGAACTAACTACTTTCATCCTAATCCCTCTGAATCATATAATCCAATAATTTGGGACAATAAAATGGTTAAATAGATTGGTCACATCACATCACATAATACACACATGCATCTTCTTGGCATTGATCTCCATATAACAAACCAAAAACAGAGATCTAGCTCAGAAAACAAACCACTAGTCTAAAAGATTGAGATTTTCTTGTCTACTTGTTTTACTTTTGCAAAAATAAACAAGTAAAACATTTAGCTTGATTGATTGCCAACACCACTTTGGAGAATGACAAAAAGAGAATAGTTGTTCGATTGGATACATATTACAGCGGCTCTCTCCAGAGGGAGCACTAAATATGTATCCTATCAAACTTAACTTATGCGCATGAACAAGATGAGTGTTACTAGTTGATCTAACAGCAAGGAAGTTCGATATGCAGTATTTATAGATGCATGAAAAATAACACATATGGCTAATCCTGATTTCCAGGTGAATGCAACACACTATCAGATTATAACACAACTATAATAAATTGACCCACCCTTTGAAGAGTGTATTTATATAAATAAATAAATAAATAATGCAAAATCAAATACTTACATAGCATAGCACAAAGCATGTCACTACTTGAAGATTCTTCAAGTTATTGACTTGGCTGTTTGAAACCCAGAGAGCTCCTGGTTTCTTACACTCACTATAAGCATTAAGAACCCGGGTAGAACCTAGCCATGCCAATTTCATGTGCAACAAAATAATAAGTTGCCAAGACAGAATTTAAAGTTTGTACAGAAAACAAAGCAAGCCATTAGCATAATTACCAAGATGTGACATAAATTTTTGAGACAGAAAGCTCATCCATGACCATAACTGTTAACCAATAACTATAGTCTAAGGGGATTTCTTATCTGAGGTTCACCAGGATATTACACCATTCTATTATATGTAGGTAACCATTGCATTGGTTCTGGTAAATGAAGGGATAGGCACTGGATTGGGTACTTACATTCCAACTTGTTCACCGGTGGAACCCATGCAACATGTATAGGGGATTCAGGATTGAGAATAATGTGACAAAGAAACCAGGAAACAGATAAGTATAATATAGGAAGTTCATGTAAAAAATTTCAGTAGTTTAGGTTCAAATTCAAACTACCAAGTAAGCACAATGAGTGAAATTGAACACTAGGAATAAAAGTTCACAACTAACAGGAATATTATTCCTAATGTTTCAATAATAAACTACTCAAGAAGTGATGAAACCACTTCATTCATTGATTACTTAGCCAAATAACCACTGTATGATGTTATGTAAATGAGAATATACCTCTCCCAAATGCAGTTAACAATGACCTCAGTGTGCCCTAATTGAGAACCTAGCATTAAATCATCACTCAAAACAGAGTAGCCACTCAATGACATTGATCCAAGACATCGCACAAAGAACCGTCAGACTCGATTCAAGACCTACAATGACGATGACAGAAACCAGATTTAGGAATTGTTAATGAATATATAACAGTGGCAGGAAGAAAAACTAATTAACTGACAGTATTGGAGATATCGGACTAACAAACCAGAGTTAGGTTTTGCGCGTGATTGTGGTCTTCTCCTCGGATTGATTGCAGGGCGATGATGGTTGAGATTCCGCCAGCGATCCTAATTATTGCACCACGCTCTCTTCGACGCCTTCTATTCCTCAACCACATCGCATCTCCCTGTCTGCGCTCGTGAATATTACGGCGGCAAGCGATCCTTATCTAATTCCTTCAAATAATCACGGCACATCCAACCAGAAACAGTGAATCCAAACAAAATCAACCGATCAACCAAACCGCCATCTTCGGTCAGAATTCTTAAAATCCATAACTGAATTCAAATCACGATCAAATCAAATTACAAGGCAAGCAAGACACCTAATGCAGAGAAAACCGACGACAAAAATACAGAGAAATCGCCATTTCCCTGTCTCTCGTAAACTGAAATAAAGAACAAGAGTATTCTAACAAGTGAAAACCACGCAGGGAAGACAACAATTAAAATATCAAAATGACAAAGCGTAGACCGACATTGAAGTGGGCCGAGCCGGGCCGGGCCTAACCAAATTGCTAGATTTCTATGTTTTGTAAAATGTTTGAACCGATACAACAAAATTAGAAACATGAGCAAATTTATGAAGGGGCATTTTAGAAGTATATAACAGGGAATGCAGTATTACTAAATTAGCAATCACACTCACAATTTCTTCGTATATTAATTTAATCATCTGTTCAAGTTGTAATAATTTCTTCCTATATTAATTTATTTAAATTTTAATTTGAAAAGATTTTTTTTATATAAAATATAGAAAATTGTCTAGATAATAAAAAAAACGAGGGTAACGTAATTGTTGATGTATTTTTTCAACAAAAATAAAGTAAAATTCAAAGATATAGAAAATATCCTTAAACTTGATTAATTAGTGCCTGAGATTAGGAATCTCTAAACACTGTATGGTACAGAAAATAAACTGGAAAATAAAAGACTGAAATTTAAAGTGGTGATCCCCAAATCTGACTTTGCTTTGTTGAAGTTGATTGAAGATATCTTGCCAAATGATGATTCAAACCTTTAAATATTCTCTGGGGAACCGTACTGAAAACCGTCACCCGAACGATTACAACGTCTCCTTCCCAACCGTCTTCCAACCCTTTTCATGCTGACACGTGTCCTCAGCAGACCAAAATTATCCTTATATTTCACTCTTTGAGCCGACCACAGACCTTCCGCTCTTTTGGCCCGACTTCATCCTTCACCCGACCTGCTTCTTCGCCCGACCTCACTTGGGCCGACCTCCGCATCAGCCGCCCTCCGTCTTTGACCGAAGACCTCCGCATCTGTCCGTACCTCTTCCTTGCCCGACTTTCCTCTTAACAGACCTCTGCGTCTGCCCGAATTCGGTCTGGATTTGGATCAATTCTTGAGATCTTACCTTTCTTCCTTTTCCCGACCTGAAAGCCTCCCGACCTGCGGACTTCCCGTCCTAATGACTTTCCGTCTTGAGGCCTTACCGACTTGAAGACCTTCCGTCCTGAGGTCTTTTCATCTTGAGGACCTCCCGACCTGAAAACCTTCCGACTTGAGGTCTTTCCGTCTTGAGGACCTACCGACCTGAGATCCTTCCGACCTGATGACTTTCCGTCTTGAGGACCTCCCGACCTGAAGACCTTCCGACCTGAGGTCTTTCCATCTTGAGGACCTCCCGACCTGAAGACCTTCCGACCTGAGGTCTTTCCATCTTGAGGACCTCCCGACCTGAAGACCTTCCGACTTGAGGTCTTTCCGTCTTGAGGACCTATCGACCTGAGATCCTTCCGACCTGAGGTCTTTCCGCCCTGAGGACCTTCCGACCTGAGGTCTTTCCGCCCTGAGGACCTTCCGCCTTGTATTTTCCTTAGAAATAAATCTATTTTCCTTGATTTCCTCACGGTGTCCTTCAGCCAGTTCAATCAACCCCATTGTTAGGCCCATTCTTTTTTTTACCTTGGGCTTTTAACCTAATTCTAAATTTCGTACGTAACAACTTGCCCGCCGCCAAGGGACTTTCAAACGCCATTTAACAATCAATGTTTGGAAGTTCGTAAATCACCACCCTCGTGAAAAACTCCTTTAGCAACTGCACCAGTTACTGCAACACTCCTGATTAACTTCCTTCTCCGCACTACAAGCTTTTGCGAATCACAATCCCAAAACACTCTAACCATGGCGAATCAATACATTCCTGCCCTTCCCTTCGACGGAACCCTCCCGGAGGGCCCATTCTCAGCCTCGAAAGTACTGACTCCGACGATCCGTCCATATTGCACTACTCCTGAAGATTCAAATCGGATGAGGGAAATCTTGGAATCCCGAAATTCCTTGGCTATCAACAGCCCTAACTACCAAGCAGTTCGCATCCGAGACAGCATCAAAACCCATCTCACAGACCCAAAAGATCCTTACCGCGCTTGGTATCGACGGGTAGCAGAACACTTCCAGACCCAATGGCGTTCCCAAAAGATCGACCAAGCAATATTACTGTCCACCATGCCTATCAACCTGCATGAGAAGGTGTTGTTGGCCATGTCTGCCTTCTGGAATGCGGAAAATGGGACTTTCCTCTTCCCATCAGGCCCCTTTGGCCCAACTCTTATGGACGTTGCAATGATTGCGCATCTCCCAGTCGTGGGTGAAGACCCCGTAATGGGAACCCTAGATGGGCAGGAGCCATCAGAAGACCATCCAGGGTGGTCTTTACAAGGTGTGAAGGAATGGGGTTGGACAAAGTTCGCAACCGACCAGCAAGGGGCTCCAGGGACCCCTGTAACCGACCGGGAGCATACTGCCTTTATCCTTTTTTGGCTTTGTAGGTACGTCATTGTTTCCCCTTCCAAATGTGTTCTTCCTTCTCATCTTGACCTAGCCATTCATATCGCGTCAGGTCGTTTTTTCTCTCTTGGCACCCTGTTTTTAGCCAATCTGTTTGAAGGACTCACTAGAGTTAGCCTTCGCTTAACAGATAATGATAATAGGAAATTAGACACTGCCGCGTCGGGTCCTTTTTGGTTTTTAGAACTTTGGTTCCGACTCTACTTTCCCAACGCGTTTAACTTAGGATCTCCACCCACTATGCCAACAGCTGAAAAACATTTGGGACTAGCCCTTAACCGACTCTGCTCAGGACGCAATAACCTCCAATCTTCCGATCCAATAATAATTGCAGTTTTAACAGATACCCGCAGTAACTCTCGCTTTTCTATGTATAAAAAATATGCGGGCTATGCTCCCGACCATTTTTGGCCTTTCCCAGTACCAAATCCGCTTCCGACTCCTGAGCCTTGTCCTTATTCCACTTATCCTTTTGCCTGGGACGTTGCCCTCAAACCCAGGTCTCTTTTCAGTAGCAAAAAACTTGATAAAAAAGGGCAGAAAACTTTTTACACCTTTAATTATGAACCTCAATTCCTGGCGCGCCAGTTCGGCTGTTGCCAAGGTATCCCTGGACCCGTCGCGTGTCCGCAAATAATTTTTCAAAGCCCTGACCGACGAGTCCTACCTAATTCAATCCCTTCTTATATATCCCAGCTCACCACGTACATAATTTCCAATTCTTATATTCCTTTCCGCTCCAACCCTGAGACTGTAGATACTTTCAATGAATGGTGGTCGGTTGTATGGCCCCTGATTTCCCCTGATGAGGGTCGGTTGCTGAACATACTCCTTCCACCCCAAGGATTGGTTCTAGGGGCGGCTAGACATACTAGCACCCAGCCACAAACAGCCGCCCCGGGGACCGGATCTAGTGTTCCAAAACGAAAAAGGAAAGCTTCCCAGCTGCAAACACCCCCGACCTCTGGGGCCGACCAGCAAGCTCAAGCAGACCTAGGAACTACTAGGACGTCAGCAAGGACCCGACCCCGACTAGGTAATTTTTCTTAAAACCGTGAACCAATTCACTATATCTTAACCTTGATTTCACTTATCATTCACCAGAACCGACCTTGGCAGCACCGACCACACAACCGACGCCAGCCCCAGCTGACCAACCTTTGGTCCCGACTGAGGCAGTTCCTCTTCAAACCCCTACTCCACTTCTCACTTTGCCAATGAGCAGTCGGGCAGAGGACCCGACGAGGAGGCAAATTCTTCCTCCTGCACCGAGGAGCGGTCGGGCCAGGCACCCGACCAGGAGGCAATCTCTACCAGCAGTGCCTACAGAACCAGTAAGTTCTCTCATCAGCACTCCTTAGTATTCTAATGATCAACCCTGATATAGTTGACAACAAACATTTTCATGATTTTCCACAGACACCTTCACCCATCGGATCAGCAGCAGGGGTCTCTTCTGACAGCGAAGGAACTACTTCCCAGATGGGTCGACCGCCATACATGGCATCAGACTCATCCATTTCGAAGGAAGGACCAACTGCCCTCGCCGAAGCTGACCCTCAAAACGACATCCTTGATGTTGCTGATCCCGAAATCGGAGGTGCCGCAGAGATCCCGGCTGCAGTGGCTCTAGATGCAGCCGCCCAACCTGCAGCCACCCAACCAGCAGCGGCGCTCCCTCTAGCAATCGAGTGGCAGGCAGAAGAACCACCTGCTGCAATCCAACATCCAGAAATGGAAGAAATGTCTTCGTCCGAATCGGAGACTTCTGTAAATTTGGTAAGATTCCACCAATCCATGCCATAATGTTTCCCTCGGAGAACACTAACTGTTTTATCTACCACGTTCCAAAGGGACCCAGGTCGGCACCTCAGCGACCATTCGCAGCAGCCGACGAGTCGGCTGCTATTATACCAGCTGTCTGCCCTACTCGACCGACCTCATTGCTGCCCCCCTCACTGACAGCAGTCCGCCCAGAGGTAACACATATCTTATATGAATAAATTTGCACCTCCTTTGGAATACTTATTGACATTGTAGGACTTACAGGGGCCTTCGGACTTAGCTGTCCTATCGACTGTTCCGGTTCCGGCGGAGGCCCGAACCATATTCACCGAGGCCATTAACCATCCCCTGTCAGAATTGAGATCCGACTTATTGGACAAACTCATCCAGACGGTTGGTGGCCTTCTCTTTTACACTCCGACGGAATCGCCAGCTGTCCCCATTCTGCATCGGCTGATGGAGAGACTTACAGAGCTCAAGACTGAAGTGGTAGTCATTGGCCTTCTGTCAGCCGAAACCCCCCAGCCCGACTTCGATCAAACAACGCTGGAGAATTCTTTGGCTAAGACTCGAGAATCCCTTCAGCAGACTACTGGAAGACTGGGTGGTCTCCTTAGTACGAAAGCTCTGGTTGATGATGCCATTCAGAAAAAGGAGGCAGAATTGCGGGAGCTAAGGAAAGAACAGTCTACCCTGGATACGCAAATTACCAATGAACAGCATCTGCTTGAGAAGTATACCAAAAATGAGGCTGAATTGGATCAAGAGCTGAAAACCCAAGCCCGATCCCAATTCATCAGAAGATATCAGACGG